GAATTGCAGTGATCGTCTCCTTCTCTCTTATAGATAACTAAATGAACAGGAAAGTAGTTTATAACAATGGATGATAGCTGCATATATATGTATTGCAGAAGCTTATACGATAACAGTGTGTGTGTTACAATCACAATCGTTTCAACAATTCTTACTGCCAAAACAATACAATAATTATAAATATCCTTCAACTGGGAGATGGAAAATGGATTGTTGACCTCACCACCACCACCCCTATCACCATTAACGCCACTCCCATAACTACCCCAACCATTCCTACCCACCACCACCTCTCTATTATCACCATTAACGCCACTCCCATAACCCTCCCAACCGCTACCCACCACCACTCCCACCACCACCTTCGGAAAATTTTTACGTTAGTGCATGACCAGAGTGAGTAGCAAAATTCTTATTTGTTTTTACCTCTGCGATTATATGTGCTATGTAAACAATGGCCACATCAATATTTAACAGCACCAATAGCTCTGTTGTCGACACTGTTACTGACATATTTAATGGCTAATTCACTGATTGACGATTCACTGTACTGTTGGTGTGAGGATGTTGATAAATCCAGATGGGAAGGAGGAGATGGGGCAGGGGAGGGCCGGGCCCTACAGACCGGGCTGGCAGCTGTTTCCATGGTCAAGAGACCACGGCCGCGTTAGCGGGCAGCGCCGAGTACACACGTCATTACCCTATGAAGGCTGAGGGAAGTGTGTTGGAAGTATATTATATATATAAGATTATAAGAAAATATACCTGAATATACACGGGGGAGTAAACGTAAAAGGTTATAATCGATGTGGATTGAGGTCAGGAGGAGGAGTATTGGGTACAGGCGAGAGAAAATAATGTACAAAAATAAAAACTGCGGTAACTCCACAAGAAATTATGAAAAACCCGGATAACTCCTTTTCATAGGGTTTTGTTGACGGCCTGCCTCGCCTCACCCCCCTGCCTCGCCTCCCCACCCACCCCACCCCACCCCACCCCACCCCACCCCACCCCACCCCACCCCACCCCACCCCGCTTCAAATAAAATCGTATGGGAGAGAGAGAGGATATCAGTAATACATCATTATTCATAGTAAGAGTTGTGGTCAGCTTCAGGGATCAACCACAGGTATTCTAAGGGACTATTGGTCGAGCCCACACGGAATTAGACTCTTATTTTGTCCTATTTAAGTATAATGTTTCTCTATAGTCACGTTTTTTTATACATTGTTCATAACTTATCCTCTCTTTTGTTTTTCCTTCTTTTCCCAATTTTTTCGCAAATTGTCTTTCTTGTTTCTTTCTTCTCCTTTCTTCTTATTCGTCTTCATTTTTTTCTTAATTTTGGTGTTTTTCGTTCTTCATTTTTTCACTTCTTAATATTTTTCATTTTATTTTCCGTATTTTTCTTTCCATTTTTTTCCTATTTTTCCCTCCTTTATTCATTAATTCCTCCTTGTTTCATCTGCTTCTTGATCTTCTTTCTTATTTTTTTCTTTTCTCCTCTTGTTCATTATCCTACGACTGACTTCTTCTTTATTTCCATTTCCTCATTATCACATCATTAGTATTGGAGTCATAATTACATGCCCTCTCGTCTGTACCTTTTTACCTATTAATAAATGTTCTAAGTCAATAGACAACACAACTTAGGGGGAGATGTGTAAGGGGTGTGTGATTCTTCACCTTGTAACAAGTGTGGTGACTCAGGGTGAAAGTGTTGTGACAGCCATTACGAGGTGCTGAGTTTACCTGTGAAAACAAAACGTCGACACGAGTAGGTTCAGTTTTTTTTTTTCAAAGTGGTATATAAAAAAATAATAATAATTCTCATCTAAAGGTTCGTTTGTCCAAGCCTTGAGAGTCAGCCATGGGATATTATATACAGCGCTTTCTGTCTTCAAGGTTGGTTGTATGTATGTATGTATTTATGTATGTATATGTAGCATGTATGTATGTTTGTCTGTGTGTATGTATTTATTTATTTATTTGTTTATTTATTTTTTAGGGGTAAATTATTTTTATTTTTCCCTCTTCTCCTAAGTGGATCGAGGCGAAGAAATTCCACCAGTGTGTCAGTCAACAGTAAATCTGGGACAACAAGGTGGGTCTCAGTGAGTGTGCAGTACAGTAGTGTGTATACAGAAGACTTATACCTGTACATATATCCTTGACATATACCAGGAGTGATCAACAGCTCCTTGTCCCATTTATACCAACCACGCCATTGTTATTAGCATGTGTGTGTGTGTGTGTGTGAGTAAGTTAAATTGTTCTGACAAGTTATTTCTGGGGTCAGTCAAACTCGGTGGAAATAGTCGTTAGTGGTGGGGTTGTGGTGGAGGTTGTTGTGGTGGTGATATGAACCTGTTTTGAGGGAAATTGGAACATTATAATTCAATTTCTAGTTACAGGGTTAATTGAGGTCACTATAAAGACACTACTGTTTATAACTAGTACCTACAAGTTTACATTTGGTATTATGGAATTAAAATATTAAGCGATTATATAATGTTTCAGTTGATAAATAGAATAACTGATATTACCGCATATATCATAGGCAGTCATAGATATTTTTTATTTTGTTTTCTATGCTTCTGAGCGTCAAGATATTAGAGAGGGAACGAAGGGAGAGAGTAAAGCTGGAGGAAATGTTAGTAAACCAGATGAGGAATCCAGGCTGAGGGAAGTGTAAGGGTTGAAACAAGGAGAGAGTGGCTCAATGGTCACGAAACAGGTCTTGGAAAGAAAGTTTCAAGGCAGTAATTGATACAGGTATGGGAGCTCTTGGTGCGGTTGACAAGTTGAACTGGTTTACTCTGGGAACAAAATTGAATAATGATAAAAAGGTAATGTGACGTGGTTGAAGTACTCGAGAACAAGGGACCAAAATGTTTACAAAATGACCTATTTCTTTCATATTTGACCAGTACGATAAAAAAATGTCTAAATCTTACTTATTTTGGAAGTGATTGTTTGGGGTTTATTTGCAAAGTGTATTTAGCCAACTTTCATCATAGTTGATAGAAAAATGACCGTAACAGCAGCTTGAAATTTTGCGTGTTTGGGTTGCCTGCCATTTCATCCTTGAAAATCCTTAAAAAAAAATTATAAAAAAATTAATGACAGAATCAGGGGAATGGTGAAAGATTGCTTCCAAGAAGAACAGGAAAACAACTTTATCTCCCTCCCTCCCTCCCTCCCTCCCTTCCTCCGGCATGACATATAATTATCTAAAAAAAAAATAAGGATTAGTCTTATTTATAAAATTATGTTGACAACAGGAGAAACGAACACTTGTATAAAAAGAATTAAATTGTTTATTAATTAATGAAAAAATCTCAAACAAGTCAAATAATATAATAGTTATAAAAAAGAGTTTGGCGATTATCTAAAAACCTGTTGAAAAAATGTGACAATTTCTCCAAGTAACTATTGGTGGTAACAATATAAAAGCCACTAATCGTATAAAGACAGGTTAGTGTTATTTCAGTCTCCATGTGTTGTCGACTGGTGGTACTGGAGGTGGTGTCCTGAGATAACTCACCACGTATAAGATCCCCTAGGTGTGTGTGTGTCGGTCTGTGTGTTAGAGATGATGAAATGTAAACCCTAAGGTTTTATTAATCAGTTTTCTCGTGGTGATATAATTTATTCTGTTATACTTGCTAGTAAATGAAAATACGTGACAATAGGTTTGACCGGGCATAAGGCGTCGAACCTCCAGATATGAGGAGATGGCCAGCACTCATAAGAACATAAGAAAATAAGGAGTCTGCAATAGGCCGGTTGACCTGTGCATGGCAGCTCCTGTCGAGAGTTCTACCACTCTCTATTATCCATGAATCTATCTAGCCTCCTTTTGAAACTCTCCAGAGTTCCAGCACTTACTACAAAGTTGCTAAGCTTGTTCCACTCGTCCACCACCCTATTTGTGAACCAGTTTCTTCCTATCTCCCTCCTAAACCTAAACTTATCCAACTTAAATCCGTTGCTCCGAGTCCTATCCTGCCCGGATATTATAAGAACTTTATCTATATCCCCTTTATTGATTCCTTTCACCCACTTAAATACTTCTATCATATCTCCCCGCACTCTTCGTCTTTCTAGGGAATGCAAGTTAAGTTTCTTTAACCTATCCTGATATGGAAAGTTTCTAAGTCCCGGAATCATTTTCGTCATTCTTCGCTGCACCGACTCTAGTGAAGTGATATCCATTCTATAATAAGGGCACCAGAACTGAACCGCATAATCGAGGTGCGGTCTGACTAGCGCAAGATATAGTTGCAATAAGACCTCTGCACTCTTATTACTTAAACTTCTAGATATAAAACCCAATACTCTGTTTGCCTTATTTCGAACATAAACGCACTGTTTTCTAGGCCGTAGGTCCGGGCTTACAAGTACTCCTAGGTCTCTTTCACAAGTCGACTTCTCTAGGTTGATGTTGTTAAGGCTGTATACATTGTCAGTATTTGTTCTTCCAATATTAAGTACTCCTACTCATCAGCTGGTATATGGGCGGGAAATTGACGATTATTGTGTAAATATCACATACGTAACACAAATCCACGAACTAGATTTATTTAAGATGCTCTTTTGTTTTTAATGAGAGGAAACAGGAAGGAATATAGTTTTTAAATACGGATTTGTTACCTGGCGTGGGTATAGTATATCACTTGCTGTAAGCATGTCATCTACTGTGGGGTTTGTCACCTTTTGTGGATATGCAATCTGATCTTGAGTATATGTTGAGGGTATGGAAACAAATGTGGATCTGTCACATGGTTTATGTCAGGTACCCCCATTGTTTTCTGTCAGCCATCCTCGATAAGTCACCCATCGACATCATATTGTCAAGCCTGCACGTTTATTAATCATTTAAATAAGGTAACCCATTAGAGAAAAGCAGCTATATCAGAACAGTTGTCAAGTGAACGGTGAGCCGCGTCCTAAGTTGGGAATCAGCCAAGCGAGGGCGCTAGTGTCTCTCTCTCCAGACCCGCCCCACCTTTCTCGTCAGCTGGCCCAGGCTGTTGGCTGGATTCCCCCGCCAGCCTGGACGTGTTGGCTCAGTATTCCCATGAGTGGACTTACATCGGCGACCCCTTCAGTGACAGTGGATTTAGAGACTCCCTAATTAAACAGTCATTATTGGCTGGGGATATTGCCAACGGTCAGTGTTAATACTAGTGTGTAATATATACAGTGTTCATTCCTTCTTTGTATGAAACTAAGGATACCTTTATCAGCTATCTACAGAGAAAGTCGGCAGCACGACCTCTAGTGTTGTGTGGCGGAGTCATCACTGCCTCTGTAAAGCTCTTGTGTGCCTCTTAACATAATTGTGACCTGAGCGATTTCAAAGCTTCCACCAAGGGCTAACATGTTTCACGTTTTGAGTTATTATACTGTTAAGTGTTTCCTCGTATATCGCCAGACAGTTTCCACCCGTTAGTGAGTAGTGCCGAAGTGTCAGTGTAGTTAGTGTGTAGTGCTTTATAATCTTGTTCATGTTGATTGTGAATATTTGGAGTGAGTTCCTTAGTCCTAAGTGGTAGTTACAGTCAATTCATAACGCCATAACAAGCCATCCATACAGGGTGGCCTCCGCTCTCATACTACCCATCCTCCTTAAGTCAGAGGTGATCGCTGTATACACTGGGCCACCGCAGCCATACAGACCGCGTGTAGTTTATCATATACTGGAGCGCTTGCATCACTGAGTTGGGTAAATACAGTTGCTTGCATCACTCACTGGGTCAAGAGATACAGTGACTAGAATCTTTCAGTGTGGTGGTCGTGGCTTGTATGGGAAATATCATCACCTCATGTTAGGAGACTTGTGATCAACATTTATTTTTAGAAGCGAAAGTAAATAATTTCCTTGGTGGTGAAAGCGAAAGTTCACGAGTGATGGTGAGTAGGTACCCCTGGGTGTGTATATCGTGGTTATACCTAAGATTTCGTGACGTGGTTATCTATTAATGGTATGGCGTGAGTGTTTCTAGGATGGTGTGGCGTGGATACACAGGTCTAGCTTTTTTTGTAGATGTATAGCTTGTAGAAAGATGTGGTGTGGGTGTATGTGTGGAGTGTGTCACCGAGAGTGGATACATTATGAGTGGTGAAGTGTGGGTATGTGTGAGTGGTGATGGCACGGGTGGGCGGAGTGTGAGCAAGTGGCATGACGCTATGTAAATACTGGTTACATTATCAGGGCGAGGGTGTACTTAGCTGCTGTCATTTTAGGAGTTCTGACGTGATTATAATAATAATAATAATAATAATTTATGGTGAAGGTAAAATACAAAAATCAAAAGCTGTATGCTGTGTTTTGTGTGTGTGTGAGGTACAGTCTGTTGTGGCAGTGGTTCAGATGGTTAGAAGTGCCCAGGTCGTGTAAACGCTATGTCATGATTTAGCATTTTTCCCCCTTGAGGTACCTAATATAGCGTAGCGTAAGTACCGTTTTCGTACCACCCTTTTATTTTCTACTGTGTTGTGTCTCGGTAATTGATGTGGACGACAATGGGATGTAAATTACCGCATCCTTTACCAACATTCCACACAATGTCACAGTGACTCTACTGGAGAGAGTCACTGCATGGTTGAGGCTTCACGCTTGGCTTCCGATGATTATTTACAATGTAGACACAAACAAGCACAGTTTCTCCTCAACAATAAGAATATGATGAAAAACAAAACAAATACTGTGGTTAGTTATCTCATCTTTATAAGCAAGACGTTAACAGTTCCTAAAGATTTATTCGAGGAAAATATCTTGGTTAAATTCTTGAGAAAAACCAAGTCATCTGTACAACGCTTCCCAGGTGATGAATCAACTATTCCTTGTCAGTGAATTAGCCATTAAATATGTCAGTAACAGTGTCGACAACAGAGCTATTGGTGCTGTTAAATATTGATGTGGCCATTGTTTACATAGCACATATAATCGCAGAGGTAAAAACAAATAAGAATTTTGCTACTCACTCTGGTCATGCACTAACGTAAAAATTTTCCGAAGGTGGTGGTGGGAGTGGTGGTGGGTAGCGGTTGGGAGGGTTATGGGAGTGGCGTTTATGGTGATAGGGGTGGTGGTGGTGAGGTCAACAATCCATTTACCATCTCCCAGTTGAAGGATATTTATAATGATTGTATTGTTTTGGCAGTAAGAATTGTTTAAACGATTGTGATTGTAACACACACACACTCTGTTATCGTATAAGCTTCTGCAATACATATATATGCAGCTATCATCCATTGTTATAAACTACTTTCCTGTTCATTTAGTTATCTATAAGAGAGGAGACGATCACTGCAATTCTAATAATGATGATGTGACGCGGCCGACAACATTACACCCAGTGAAAGACGTCTGTGAACTGTGAACAATGGAAGCTCTGAAATAAATAACATACCGATGATGTTTATGAGGTATTACTGCATCTCTACAACTAATGTGTCTCGGTGTTTTAGATTAGTAAATACATAAGTCATCGATTATTTTAACTTAGAGAGATCTTCGTGTGTCGGGTTTTGTCGTGTACCATCGGTGGGGATATGAATGTAACCTGGGCTGAAACGTATGTGAAATGGTTTAAAATAAATACTGTGTAGGTGGAATCACTTGAGGAATGGGTTGATGGGCGGAGGAAGATTATATAAATAGATAGAAATATTGACATTCGCTCAGAAATTAAGAGTAAGCCATCTAAGGTGGTTTAGTCATGTAAGCAGAACAGATGATGATCATCTAGTTAGGATTTATTCATGATTACAAGGTGGAACGAGATCACTGGGCAGAAGAGTAACCTGGCAAGAAAGAATTTGTGAGGGACATCAACTAAGAGACGCACAGCGTCAACTTGCTCTATGATGATGAAGATATCAGCGCCTTAACACTCTTAACCTGATTCAGCATATTTAGAGGTTACGTTTGATGGAGGTCGAATCATATCAAAGAATTCGGGAAAAAAGTTGTAAAATCTTAAGGTTATCGACGTTTATATACTGAGCAGTGTTTATATTCTTGAGTTTTAGTGGGGTCTGGTTGAGGCGGGTTCATCATTGCTATAACTGAAAGGGTGGCATCGTGGGTCGAGTCGGCCCCTCATTAAAACGCTCTGTTTGAACAGGTTACGGCAGTAGAGATGTGAAAGTGTTTTCTATTTTTTGTCGAGGAGTGTTCTTGTCCTGGTCAACTGTTAGCTGTGACTGGCTGGCTGTCTGGCTATAAATATGCATGTTATAGATACTACTAATTCATCTATTAAAACCTTATAACATCAGCGTTTTTATTATTGATTTGCATTAAGTTTTTGTGTTGGTATGACTTTCTGAGAACTTTACTTGAGTTTGTGTTTTGTTGGCAATTATGATTTTGTATATTTACGTTTGACGATAGCGTTCGTCATTCATGGTCGTGGTGGACTGTATCTGGTGTTTGACAGAAGTTACATTCCCTTTATTTATAACCTTATACTGAGAACATGTAATACAATTTGTATTTTGGTTATTCCTATTACATATTACTTAAAGCAAACTGTGAGTGGAATGTACTGTTCTGGATCTATCTAGCGAGGGTTTTCATACGCAGATTACATACCCACACCTTCAAAACATGTCTGGCGAATCATATAGACCATTTCCATAGCGTCAGATTTTGGTTTTTGAATGAATGACTTGTAAGGCAACGATGGAAGTATATGGTATTGTTGAAGAGGCTCATTGTAGGGTGTCACTCTATTGTAGCCTAACACCAGCAAGCGAAAAAATGCCAAATTAAGACTATTCCTTGATCCTTCTACTGTGAATAAAGTTTTCACAGAGTTCAGAAGCTGTCAGTCTCAGGGTAACATTTTTTTCTTTTGCGTAAGGAATTTCAAGGGCTTTATATAACTGTAAAAGGTTAAGGTTGAGAGGTAAAGGTTTGTGTCTGGACGCACCTGGAGGAAGGGTCAACACCCCCTGGCTCCCTCAGGCTAAGACTCTCCTGAACGAGCTATAGAACCCAAGATAGGTAGATACCAGGTAGCCCACTCCCATAGGATCTACGCTAATGAAAATAAAAATGACATTTTTATTTACGTATTTTTGAAGGCTTATGGTGGTATTAAAAGTTGTACAATAAATGTATGGAATGGAGATTTTTTTGTTTTATTTTAATTGGGGCCACTGATTAAATATATAAAATAAATATAAATATTTTACTTGCGACGCTTGCAACCGCCGGATTCCATCCAACGTCGCTGATTGGCTAGCGATGACATCACTTATTAAGCTCCGCCCACTTAGTTACATCAAACAGTAGCAGATAATAAATAATACTGTACCACAATATTACAAACTCATGAAGTGGCAAAAGGGGCGTGGCTTAACGATCTCGAGAGTAGAGTTACCAATTAGTGAATTCCTATGGGCCTGCGTGAGGCGACCTGGTATCTACCTACCTTGATAGAACCCACTAACGTGAGGGGGGAGGGAGGAGCAAAAACACGACCTGTATCGTACTTAATCAAAAGTGCCAACTACTTTTTCAGGTAAGTTGGATATTGAATTTCTTTAAACGTTTTTTTTTTCAGCTTAAAAACAAAAAGTTACTGCACAGTAGCATGCAAACCTGCTTTATTAAGTTACTACCACCACCCCACCACCGCCTCTTCAGGAGGAACTTGTTGTTGTGAGAATCTCAGAGGAAGACTGGCCGTAATAAGACTCAAACTTTCTCATAAGATTGTCTCGTTAAGGCTCGGGTGTCAGGAGACACGGCCTCATGGGGTCAAGTGCAGGTGTTGTAATCATGAAATGCCAATACAGTTTAGAGTAGATCTTTATGGTCACAGTATGATGGTCACTAAGTAGAGGAAAACCCTACTACCTGTAATATATCTCGCAACAAAGGTAAAAGGTTTAAGCTGTTAACCTTCACCTTAATATGATGTTAAGCCCAAAAAAATTAAATAAATAAATCTTAGGCCGTTGGGAAAGTTTAAAAAAGATCGAATGTTGGCCGCCGTCGTAGGAACATAGGAGATTAGATCAATAAAATAAACAACTATAGTACTGAACCAAGTGTAATGATTGTTTATCAGACCACAGCTTACAGCCCAGAGAATTACAACACGTATAACAGTAAGTAAATGCCCTCCTGGTAACCCACAGATTTTTTTTAGATTGCCCCAGTGGGGGCTAGTTTATTGGGCACCCCCTTACATCCTGTGCAAGGTGAAGCGCAGAAGCGTTTACAGCGCCCAACAGGGAAGCATGCTAAGTTCATGCTTGCCTTTATGACTCGTGCATTAAGGGCGTAAAAGCCTGAAGGGTCATAGGTTTTGTCAGCAAGTTACATAAAGTGACAGAATAATGAGCGTGTGGGGGGAAAGTTCCCGGTACATTTCATATGTTTAGGGCAAAGAGTGGCAGGTCCCTAATAATGTCACGTGCCAGGCCTGTCACTAGGAGGAGGGATATCTGGTCAGGGAGGGAAGAGGTGTTGGTAACGGCTGGGGACCTGTAGGAGGAGGAGGTCATAGGGCAAGTGAGGATGTAGTGACGGAGGGTGTGAGAGTCGGGGTAACCCATATACCAAGTTGACCCACCCTATAGTGACCCAGGAGGCCTGACCCCGGCCACTAAGTACTTGAGTTAATCCTGCGATATGACCGTGTTAAAGAAACTACACCTAGCTTAGACACACCCGGGCATGACCACGCACCTGGGCAAAGACAGCTGTCCAGGTCTAACCAGTTTAGTGATAAGAGGCAGAGGTAATTTGCCGACTGGTTCTCCTCCATATAAAGGCCCTGCAGTCCCGTCTACGGGTCATTAGATTCCTGATTCAGATTCCATTGAGACGACTTCCACAACTCGTCACTAGTCGAGGAAGACTTCCCTCCCCAGCACCGTGTCTCCAGCTAGCAGTCTCCCACAGGAGACATAGTTCAGCAGCACCTGCTGGGCCTCCCTTAGGTCACACGTGGGTCATTGTCAGAGCTATTCATAGGGTGAGTTACTTACGGTGGGAAGTGTATTAATTTCATGTTTATGTCCAAGAGTCAGTGTCTAGTAACGTAAATTTAATGTTCTAGTAACTTCGATATAATATTGATATTTATGTGTCCTTGCCATTCAGTTAATATATATATATATATATATATGCAAGTAAATCACTGTAGATGCGCGTGATCTAGGTATATGCTGATAACCACAAGGAAAGAAGAAAACACGAAGTCTGTACTCACCCCTGAAGATGTGAATTACACGAAAGCGCTTGGGAACTTCGTGTTTTCTTCTTTCCTTGTATTATAATATATATATATATATATATATATATATATATATATATATATATATATATATATATATATATATATATATATATTTATTTATTTATTTATTTATTAGCCAATTTAAAACTTTCCCATCGATACCATGAGCCTTAACTTTTCTCAGAAGCTTCTGATGCGGTACTCTGTCAAACGCTTTGCTAATGTCTAATTAAATAACGTCGTAATGTTGAGAGAAATTTACCATTTCACAAAAATTCCTCTCAAATTCCTTCACAACTAAAAACCTGCAACGTCAATGTGGCATTTAAAAACTCATGCACTGTTAAACAAATGTTAATCAAGAACTCCCCCAACAGTACAAGTGGCTGTATTTATAAAGTTCCTTCCAAGGAATGTAATATGTTTTACTTAGGCCAGACAGGTAACTAGACTTAAACAACATAAATACAGTGTTAGGACAGGCCAGGAATCCAATGCTCTGTTCGTTTATTTGAGGGATAATAAACATTGCATTGACTGGGATAATGCCTCCTCAATATTACCTTGTAATTCAATTGACAGTCGGAACATTATAGAATCTAGTCTCATTAAACATACCGAAGCAGTCAACATGAATTTGAGTAATGGTATGTACAAACTGGACAATTTTGTAATTAAGATTTGTAACCAGGTGAGAAGGTCGGGTCAACTTACCCTCTGACCTGACTACCGACCGTTGCGGTGCTTTTTAAAGATTAGTAGGGTCATTACCTGACCATTGTGGACCTGATCTCACCCTCCTCTGTATATATATACCTTGTTTTGTACTTCTCCTTAGTCTGTACTCACCCCTGAAGATGTGAATTACACGAAAGCGCTGGTAAATACTTCATCATTATGTTAATTTAACGTTGTGTTTTTTCATTACAGAAGAAGAATCCTTGGAGTGTTCTGGAGCTGTACAGGAGTGAGCAAGCCTTGCCTCAGGATGCCTCCCTCACACAACACCCATGTCAAGTCCCCGCCACCTCGCTCCGACAAACATGAGGAAGGTATGGGAAGGCGAGCTCAGGCCGCCCCTCCTAACTCGGGTCCCGTCACGGTGGTCAAAGGTTATTATTGGATTACGTCGAATCAGAGTTAGTGTATAAGGCAGAGATTAGAAATTTCGTTTAATAATTACTGTGTGTGTGTGTGTGTGTGTGTGTGAGGTGAGTGCAGATGTTTGTGGTGGTGAGGGACTGGGACTTGACGATAGAGAGGTCATGTTTGCAACCCAACTCCCTACAAGTTTTTCTATCATCTCTTACGCTCACTTTCTACTGGCCTCTGCCACCACACCTCACTCGGTCGTTTCTCCTGCTAGGAAGGTGCACTCCAACCTCCTTAGTAACACATACACACGACGCAGCAGCACATAACATACCACTAATATGTCTTGGTTTGATAAGGTCTCAGAATAGTCGTACGCGACCATGGTGATGACACTTGTTATAATGTATATCTTTATTTGTTTTTATTTTATGTCAGACTTCATGAAAAACGTAAGAACAAATATTATATTTATCTTTACTAACCGTTGAAATAATCATATGTAAGCTAGGCAGTAAATATAAGGGTGTGTGGGATGTGAAAAGTGACTAAAAATATGTAACAATAAATTCAACGTCACACGAGCTAGCACTTAACGCGAAGAAAAAATAAATAAATAAATCTACAGAAGTTACCCAAGCGAAGTTTGACTGGTGGCATAGATTAGCGAGAGAAAACGATATAATGAGGGAGGTTTAATTAAATTTGCTACCCCTCAACCGCTAGAGGTGGCCAGTGGTATGGGTAGAGTCATCAATTATTGTTCTTGATAATTTTGCCTAGGGTTATTTTGAAGCCCAGTACTCTTCTTGATTCCACGGTTCTACAGTACCATCCCGCGTGAAGAAGTATTTCCTTGTGTTTGGTCTGCATGATAACTTGGTGAGCTTGATGTGCCCTCGTGTTGGTGATGTGTGACATTACAAAGAAATGGCTCGGGTTCACGTTTTATATTATCAACCAACTCATTTATTCTATTTACAATATTATTCAAGTTGTGGTCAATTACAGATATAGTCATGCAGTCTGTGTGGGTCGGGGTTGTGGACTGACACACTGTTCTCCCTGGTTGCACTTGCCTCCGCCACTTTCCCCTGGCGTATCACCCACAAAACGCCGTCCCGGATCCTTGTTCTTTGATTCTTTCTCCTCTGCTTCAGGAGTGTCAATGTTTCTTGTGCTTCTCCCTCTCTGCTGCTGTGCGATCTGGACTATGAAAGTGTTCTGAGAGGTTTGGGTCTGTCTTTTTGGTGGGTACTTTGTCTGTCCGGTGACGTGCTACCTACACTCATCTGTACTCTCTTATTCTTCCCTGGTCCAGCCACTGTTCTGGGGATAACGATTATATTCAGACATACTCTACAATTGTTCTAAGATCTTATCATGTCATGTGTTTTTCTCTTACATTCAGCCTCAGTCAAGTGACCTAAACAAAAATTATATATTTCTTACCCTCAAGTCGACCTTAAAGCTCATGTTGATCTCTTCACTGGTTTTGGACAATAAGACTTTCTGTATATGTAGGCCCAACCATAAAATACTTGTATACCGGGATTAAATATGACTACATATTTCTATTAATTATATGAACTGTATATAATTTCACATTAATGAAATCAGTAGTTCGAGCGGAGAATTTTTTTTTCACTTAAGATGGCGGCCAAACGTTCACAGTTTTTCTGAGGATTTTAAGCGTTTTTGTTATAGCAATTGACAACTTTCCAGGTTTCTTTGCAGCTTAGAGGAGGGAACGTGTCAATGTCTTCCCTTGTAAGTTGTGACGGATGGGATGAACAAAACGCAATGAGTCTGGGAGATTCATTAGTGGCTTTACAGCAGCCTCTATAATAACGTTTCTATCGTCATGAATAACGTAAATTTAAAGTTATTGAACGACGAAATTACAGCTTGAGCTTTGGCTTCTGAAAAATAAAATGTCAAAAGTGTCCATAATTGAATGAATTTTCGTTTATGTTTTTGTTGTAACTAGTAGTGATAATATTAAGAAGACTAAGTTTCATTAAAAAAATATATATATCCCTTCTGTGACAGTTAAGGAACAGAGAACAGTAATTAGACTTAAGCTGCATCTCGGGTGTGTGGTCAAGCGTAAAATGACTTGCTATAAGCGTAATTACACCTCATTATCAGGTAATTTATTCGGTAAATAGTCAGGGTATTTATCCAGATTATTAACTCGGTATTTTAAGCCATGACATAAATTTCAAGGTACTGTATTGACATTTGATCACAGTAACGATAATATATAGCGGCGGGAGTAAAAGGCTGGTGGATGTATTTACAGTGGCTCTTCACACCCTACGGGAGACCAGTAAATATAGAAGAGACGGGAGGACTTGGGGAGGCTTAGCAGTGTTTGTTATGATTGTGATATTAAAAAAAAAACGCTCTTACTGTGTATGTATAAAGGTTCAGTATTTCTGTGGCGATAAACAGTGGGTAAGAAAACTCAGAATCTGTCTTGAAAACTATCATATACCTAAGCTGGAACACCTGCCATGAACACTACTAAGACTGATTTGACTAAACAACAGCTTTATGAGGTAAGATAAACATAAATGACTTCTAGTAGATATATTTACGTTCAACAGAAGAATTGTCGGAGTTGAGGTGGAATGGGTGGCGGGCCGGGGTACTGACGGTGATAAGCGGCCTCTACGGCCAGATGACCCTTGCCCGCCAACTGCCACCCGACCCTCGTGAAGACTCGTGGCTCCTTATGTACTCCCCCTTTCCCTGCCTCGGCGTCTGCCTCTTGTACATAGTCGCCGTCACCTGGTGGGGTCCTCTCTATATGAAAAACAGGAAACCCTTCTCAGGACTTAGGAGTGTAATGATGGCCTACAACGCCTTTCAGGTCGTGTACTCTGCCTGGATGTTCTATGAGGTAACTTACTATGATAAGTTCTGGGAGCTTACATCTATAAAAGATTTTCCGAAGTATGTACACTAAAGCTAACTGTTGGTTCTGTAGTAACAAACACCAGCTTATAAATGTCTCTCTCTTGCTCCTGTGTTTTATCAGAAACTTGAATGAGAAATTTCTATGAAATATAATTGTTTTGCAGATGTGTATTAAAGTAATCTTGTTCATTAATTAATATTAGCAATTTTTTGTCGCAAATTGTTTTTTTAATACTAAACAACGTATAATTAACTTAAACAAATCTGTTCACCGAGAAATGCACATGGAGAGAAAGTAGGGTAATAAAAATAACGCTACTGTATATTATTCAATTGACATTTATAGCAGAAATCAGTTGTTTTACTTCTGACGTGAACAGTTAAGATGTTTTCCACTCCTAAATTTAGATCACATAAAGGTGTCTGTTGTCCTCTTAAGAGATACTACTAATAAAATGTTTTAAGTGTGTAATTTTGCTTTTCCAGGCGGGGATGAGCGGATGGTTCGGTAACTACTCGTTCATCTGCCAGCCGTGTGACTATTCCGACCATCCCCAGGCTATCAGGGTGAGTACTACGTGCAGTGAACCATCCCAATGAGTGTAAAATAAAGACAAATATTAAAGAGGTACTTCAGATAAACTTCTTCACCATTTATGAACTATTACCTGGTGAGTACTTCCACAATTAACTAGTGTAATAAGTGTGAATATATCCCTAGTCATTTTATTTAGTCAGGAACTAAATATTGAGAGTACCGAATTATCCAACACTTTCTGACTGAATAAAAATTCACTGATAATATTTATTTGATACTTAATCAGTGACAAACTATCCAAGCATTTTTTTTGCATATTGTTCTATGTTGTATTCTTCTGTGACAACTCTGTAGGCATAGATTTATCTCCTCTCTTCTACCTGTGGCTAACATTCAAACATTCTCCACAGATGATGCACTGTGCATATTGGTATCACTTCTCAAAGTATGTGGACTTCATCGACACGGTCAGTAACACAGTTTTTCTTTGGCGCATCTTGTTGAACCCAGAACCTTGATGCTATAAAAACATGTTGATCAACTTTACATATTGTGTTGGGGATATACAGTATACATACTTCTGAATTGTATTTTGTTTTTGCACAAACCTTGAATTTAAATGTTCAAATTAACGTTCAAATATATCTGGGAAAAGTCTCACTAATATAGAGGGAAGGAAGGCTTGACGTTAATTAATATGAACACTCGGTGAAGGATCTTAAAGATGTCATTTGTATTGACAGGTGTTCTTCGTCCTACACAAGAAGTATGAACACATATCACTGCTGCACGTGAGTCACCACGGCCTCATGCCTATCAGTACGTGGTATGGAGTCCGCTATCATCCAGGTGAGTGTGTTGTTGAAACAGGTGAGAGCAACCTTGATACACACACGTATAATTACTGTATCAATGTTGGTCTTTTCTTTCAGGTGGTCACAACACATTTTTCGGGTTCCTTAACACTTTCGTACACACGGTGATGTACTCGTACTACCTGCTGGCGGCCATGGGTCCCCGTGTCCGTCCGTTCCTCTGGTGGAAGAAGTACCTCACCACACTCCAGATGGTGCAGTTCACCCTCGTGTTCCTACACTCCTTACAGGTAAGTTAAAGGGGGCCAGGCTGTGTAGTCCAGGGATGTACTGTACTACCAACAAGACTGATCTGTGTACACGGAGATATACTAGAGAGAAAATATGTGTGGTTTGGGTGTCTATGTTTAGAAGAAGGTTGGGTGTCTAGAAGTGTATTTGTTCATAGAGGACAGGCTGATGTGGGAGAGAGAGAGAGAGAGAGATCCCTTCAGTATTAACTAAGACTAACCCCTTATCTGTTTATAGCTGGCGTTCGTGGAGTGTGAGGTGCCGCCAGTACTCATGACCTGGGTGGGTTTCGCTTCTGTTATGTTCTTCATCCTCTTCGCCGACTTCTACATTAAGGCTTACCGTAAACGTGGTCAAAATAAGGTGAGTTTCCTATAGCTCTTGTCTTGTGCCTTAACCTGTTCGGCATACTGAAAATATAATCATTATCAGCTGTTAAAAATTTATTGCTGATTGACTGGATGACAGTTTTACTTCACTGTTTTCACTACTGTATATAATTGGGGCAGTTCTTTCTGCCTTGTGTCAATTCAACTCCTTTACCATTGCACTAATATTTCATCATATGGTTGGAGATCTTAACCAATATTCCTTGCGTTTTAAATTCTTGATCTCATTTTTGGGGCGAGATGTTGTGAACCGGATTAACATTAGTTTTGCTCAAGGGCATTTTAGTCTTGTGCTTCAATTTGCTTCTTGTGATCGTGTTTGTAAGTTTCTTGAGTCATGATACAAATAATGAAACTAGGATTGCCTAATAAGTAATTTACCACTGATATGTAAACCTGTTTCTTCGTCATTGAGAGATAACAAAAAAATTCTTCCAACACAACTTGGAAAATATTTAAGGAGTGTTTTTTGTTGTTTTATATCATGTTGAAAGACAAATTATCATGAGTATATGACACTAATTGTTCTGTAGTTCTTAAGTTTAGTGTTTTTGTAATTAAGAACAATTTCGCTTTGAATGTTTCATCTTTGAGAGTTACATTATTACATATTGACAATTATATAACTAACACTAACTAAAGCAGTTGATGTAATTTGACTACATGCATTTATGGATTTACAGGTGAAGGCAGAAGCCACCGGAGTGGAGAGAGACCTCACTACAGAAAACTCGAACCACATTCCAAATAAGATTCCAAATTCTATGCCCAGCGTAGTGTCCAAGGTAGTATGGAATGGTGTAGCTAATGACATGTCCAACAACACCCGTAGTCGTGTGTCTTCGGTCATGTCCACCGGCATCATCAATGTGGTACTCGACAGGCTCTCCAGCATCGTGCCTCGAGGACTCCAGTAAGATAGGTCGTATAAAAAGTTAGTTAATCCTTATATTTGACTGTTTAGAGTGCTTCAATGTACTGAAGGCACACAGTGTTGAACTTTGAACTCTCCTCCATGAAGGATGATTAGTACAAAACCTTCTCCTGCACCCCAGTCACCTCACACCCCAGAACTGTCATGTGTCAATTTTTTAGTGAATTGTACTCTGGAAATATTTTTATTTTTTCTCTCTCCTTATAACCATATTTGATTGAGAATTACGTTTAGTTTATATTATTGTATAAGTAAAATTAGGACCACAGTCCAATGGAACTGTCATCTATGATAATAAAAGAACCTGTCTGTCTGTCTGTGAGTGTCGTGTGTTCCAGCCATAGCTCCAAAACGGAAGCAGTTAAGGACCTGAAACTCTATACACATATTACAGTACTATTGACCACTGTCGCCATGGTGATTGTGGGATATGGTTACCCGTATCAGGGAGGGCAAACTGTGAACCAGTTTAGGTTAAGTTGGGTTGGGTTATGTTAGATTAGGTTGGGTTAGGTCAACAATGTACATTTCTGTCTTTTTTTAATGAAGTAGCATTTATTTGTAATTATTGTGAATTGTTTATGTAATAAAATTTCGACAATTGATTTTCTGTGTGAACCAACATGACGCTGGCACCAATCACGGACAATGACTTCGTGTAATCACTTCCTCGAGGGAATATTCTCTTCACGACGAGACTAAGAGGACCTGTGATAAAATTGAAACATTCTCATAGTGAAGCTGGACGTGTAGTACTGAGGTTATCTGAATTTATATTACACTAAACATTTTCGCCTCCCAGGCCCTGACGTGGGTCAATGACCTGTGCCCGGGTGGGCTAATCCTCATAAAACAAAAAAAATCAGTTAGAAACACCAATGATATAAGGAAACAGACGATAAAATGGATACAGATGCAAAAGGTATAATACTCAGTAAATTTGTACAGTACTACTATCTATGTCTGCTGATGCCATGATATTGTTAAATTATTAGGTGGATCAAGTGGATTTTCCTCTCGCTAAAACAGTCAATTACAGCAGGTTTTTTTTTCTAATGTAAGAAACTCATCCAACCACTTTTGTTTGAGTAATTTGATACACAGAAATGTCTTGTGTGGTCCCGACTGCAGTGTTTACATGTCACAAGTAAACGTGATGGTTGTTTGGGTGTTGGTCTTCCCTGTTCCTTGACTTGATATTTCTCTGCAAAATCTCAGCAGGTGATAAGTTTATTTGACGAGCCTTCAGTTACATTAATGGTTTCTATATGACCACTCGTCCTGGTAGATGGAAAATCACTCGATATTTACCATATATGTGTTGAAATACAAAAATCAGATGGGAGGAGAAAAAACCCGCCCAACATGCAATACTACAGTATATTGAACCACTTCTTGTAGGCCCCAACACGAGTACTAATATTGTAAGGTTGCCAAGTCATATCAATCTTCTAGCATTATCGAAGTAGCATTTCTTAGGCAAATTTAAAATGAAAATAGCATGAGTTTTAGCATATACAAAAATTGCACAATATTTATTCAGCAATTCAAAAACTTAATGAGTATATTTTTTAGTAAAATTAATCAGGCTATAGGGGAGAATACTGTACACGCGGCGACATAATACCTGGTCTTGTATAAAATTACTACTTTTGACAGTGTTAATGTAAATTAAAGTTTCCTGAACATTTGAGGATCGGAAAAAAGAACACAAAATTTATATAAATCTCTAAACGTGTTTATACAAGATTATTTTCTCAAGTATTATAAAATCACCTTCCAACAGCAGCATGCTATTGGTTTTTATTCTTACGAGGCATTAAAGTTTTTTACCTTATATCCGATACAACTTTTTCGGGAACAGGACACTCGGGGTCCACAATTTTATAGACTCTTAAAAAAAACGTATATAACATCTCTTGATATTAATGTGGCGATAAGAATAAAAAACATATGATAACCTATATTTAAGGGTATTCTGTAAAACTAAGGTACAGTATAACAAACACTGACTTCTAGTTATGTGAATAGCCAGCCAAGAAGCGCAACTATATTTTCTTCCTAAACAATGAAGTTTATAGATTGAAACAAACTGTTCAGACTTCTCATGAACGCGTCAATACGTCTATACCAGATGGACAAAAACACAAAATATCTTCAAAATATCATGACGTAACCGGGCTGAATGTTACAATACCGTCTGACTTAAGGTAATTGATGTGTAAGTTAGTCAATACAAGAGATTAGGAAAAGTTTGTTTATTCTGCTCTTCTTGTTGAATGAGGGGGGGGGGGGGCCTTCGTCACATACATACTGCTATGCCTGTCACAAGTATCACACTAAGTAATCCTCCTACAAGACGGTATCCCTCCTGAAGCATGTACTGTAGTGGAAACATTTTATGGGTATCACGTGTTTTGGTCTTTCTCTGCCTGCCAGGGGTTTCAAGCTCCATCTGTTCCTGTTGGATTGATGAACAAGTGTTAGGACGTGTTACCGTGTACACCGCACCTCTGGGACTCTAGCTTGGGTCCATAAAAGCCTAATCAGTTACCATGTTGTACCAATATGAGGCACTGCTTATGTTTTGACACCGATGGAGGGTAAATCCATCGCTCTCGGCCTTCACTTCACTCAAAGCTGTTCTTCGGCTGTAGTTGATGAAGGTAACTAACCATATTTATCCCGTCCACTCTATGCTATAATGATTATATATTTTAGTTTTCGTATTTTCATGTACAACTAATATAATATGCTGTTATATGTACAACTGTCAAGAAATATTTTATCTAGCTGATTCTTTCTTTTCAGCTACGGGCAACAGTGAAGCAGTACACTACTCTCCAGGGTCTTCCCCAAACGTTCCAGTAATAGATGATATCAAAGGACCACAAACTAACACAAGAGTTGTAAGAAAAATTAAATACCAAGCGAGTGGACTTATTAGGGTTAGTGTTAACAAAAAATTAGCCCTATAGCCTTGTAAACTTGTAGAGGAAGGTTGGTACGTATTAAAGCTCCGCCCATATGTTCTGTTGTGAAGGCTGACGGAGGGAGTTATTGTTACCCCCTTACAGTACAGTACACTGTATGTAGCCACCTCACCATCGACTCGGGAGGAGCTCTCTGTCTCGTCCACGTGTAGGAGTCCTATAACCTTTTTCCTACATAGTTATTTAGACAACTGCTACTGAGTACTTAATCGTTTAAGGTGTGTTGTGTTTACGTTCAGTCTGTTTAGCGTGGATATCGAGGAATGGAAATTTATACTCTTGTATTTCCTATTAGTTTTCTGGGGGTAGAGTCAGTTGTGTCTTTCTAGTGTTATGATATCCTGCGCTTTATAACTTGTTTCATATGCATAGCTACTGTATGTGTCATATATAGTGTTGTGTTGCCTTCCCATAGCTTGTGTCACATGCAACCATGCATAGATTCTGCCATATGTAATCCCTCTCAGCTTGTGTCATGTACAGTAGTTTCTTTGCTTGTTTCATGGATTAGAGAACGAATCTTTCACTTTTTCCTCCTCACACACACACACACACACATAAATTATGTATGCCATTTATAAGATATTCTGAGAGAGTTTGCTCTCTCGAATGACTGTCCAAACGTAGCGGGAGTCAGGTACACCGCACTACCTATAATATTCCCTGGTTTGTAGTTTAGGAAAGGCTAACTCACTCGTACTAGGATCAAACCTCTTATTTATCTAACTTTGTATCGTATCGTAAGAGTAAACATAAGGACGGGCTTCTTTTTATCATGTTTCATTTATTTATTTATTTATTTATTTTTTGTTTTTTGCCGTGACGTATCCAGAGAAGACAATGTATACCGCATTTGTCTTTACTTTCATCACTGTTTATATATCAACAGCGTAAAAACAAAAAAACAATCAAGTGAAGGAATATTGAAAGTAATATCGAATCAATATAACAAAACATCTTTAAAAAGTTTACAAGACGAGAAAACGATTTTATTTGATGTCTAAAATAGATGAAATTTTTTTTAGTGTCCGTTTTACATTTATGCTTATGTGTGTTTATATGTTTTATATATAATATAGTTTAGAACATATAAGGTCTCTTTGTATATACTGGGTGGGGACATCACTTTATTTCTATTCCTTCTCCTTTCTCTGTTATATCACGAGTCATCCACCTTCTCTCTACTCGCCTCTTTAATAATCAACCTTTAGTTTCTCTTTTCTCTTATGTCAGCAGTTCATCTGTCTCCTCCTACTTCCTTGACCCTTTCTCTCTATGTATGTATTTTTTTCTGTGTATCTGTAGTCTTATTTATGCTCACCAACCTGTCGTCACGTTTCAGTTGTTTCCAGTCTCTCTGCGCCTTCACACATTCACCTCTCTCTGTATCTTATTTCATTTATATTTACACTTTTATTTTTGATTATCACTCCCTCCAGTACACTCACACGGTTCATTGTGTACCTTTGTGAAGCTTCTCTTAATTACAGTACCTCACTTCTCATCTTCCATAGTAAGTAAGTAGTCGGTCACTTGTTTCTCGTGTGACTCAGAGCAACTCAGCATCTCTGATTCTCTTGGTGTTATTCCTTGTCTTCTATACTTAAAGACACTAAGTACACTATCCACGAACGTAGCTCATATCTACTAATCGTTGGCTTCACCAGTTAACATCTCTCAGTTTAAGACGGTGAGTAAGCGTTTAATCAACACTAGCTGCATCACTGAGGGCGGCAATAACTTATAATACTGCACTGCCTTTATCGTGTTCATCGTCTTCGTCATCATTGTCTTAGTGACCAGAATTGTAGTGACACAACATAATTCCCCGCCACTGTTGGTCAAGTGAGCTAATAAGAAGTAAGTGGTAGAAACATAGACAATATCTCTGTGGTGTAATCATTGTTTGGTCTTGTTTATTGACTGACAGGTATGAGTGGGTGTCTAGCTCTCTCACACATGATCTCTGGCTCAGTATCCCCACAAAATATGTTTCCTTTTACGCTTTCCCTAACGTAATTCACTACAATTAATTTAGGAAGCTTCAAAACTGTGATAGTTTGAAGACGGAAGGTATTCATTGAAAATATGCTTCTTTGTTCATATACTGCAGAATAGGGTGACCTGGCAGTCTTAGTATTCAGGTACAAATTAGATGGTACTGGTTTGAAAGAAGTTATTATCTTGATGATTCTTGGACTACAATTACAAGGGAGAAGTATATGTATATTCTTATTACCACGGGGTTATTAGGGCCCTTCTCCCCCGGAGAAAGCAGACAGGGTTGGAAATGTCCGAGTCACTGCCTATGTAACTAAATAGAAAAAAACCCTCAAGGGCGGACAGGTCACATTGGTTCGAGGGGCGAGTCAGGCGAGACTTTATGGAGGATACTGGCTGGTTTTTATCAGATTTTTTCTGCCATCTTCATAAAAAAGAGCAGTTTTTGTTTTACAAAGCCAATGTCTCTGGAGCTTTGCTGTTGTTACTTAAATTCACTCCACTTACTCTACTTTTTCCAAGGTTACCGGGGCGCCCAGTGGGGTGACTACTCCGGTCTTTAGATAAAGAGAGTAAAACTTGATTAACCTTACACAAAGGTGACTGCTTCTTTAACTAATACACAGACCCTCGAGTCAACCTGATAACACAAGTTGTTGTAGTTTATATGATACATTACCAAGAAAATTCTGTTGTTTATGAAGCTAAACGAGCGTCATTAACATCTTTGCTGTTTTCACAGCTCAACAATATTCACTTTCAACCTTTTTTGTTTTTCCTCAGAACTCTTTGCTGTGCGTGTCTTGAAACTTGCCGAATTGGACGGCAGCTCGGGGTGAAATAGAAAGGCACAGCCCCAGCAAGCATAGGAGGCAACATTTTTCTCTTTCTGGACAGTCAGCGACTAGCCGTCAGTGCTGCAGCTTCAAACCCATCTTCTCTGGACCTGACCTAGTGAGGTGACGTAAAAAGCAATCGTTCACGTGAAAAAGATTTTTAGTGTCGGTACCACCACCATTACAGTACCACCGTCACCACCACCATTACAGTACCACCGTCACCACCACCATTACAGTACCACCGTCACCACCACCATTACAGTACCACCGTCACCACCACCATTACAGTACCACCGTCACCACCACCATTACAGTACCACCGTCACCACCACCATTACAGTACCACCCCCACCACCACCATTACAGTACCACCGTCACCACCACCATTTCTTTTCTCTTATTTCGCCATTTCATCTGCCTCATATTTTCCTGATCTTTTCTGTTTAATTGTAGTCTTGTTTTTGTTTTACAAAGACAATGTCTCTGGAGCTCTGCTGTTGTCAGTTAAATTCACTCCATTTACTTATTTTTAGCCAAGCTGAAAGTACAAGGTTTTGTGGTCATGGTCTAGGACGCTTCCTCATCGAGCTGACTGTAGACACTGAGGGACACCTGAGAAAAAATACAATGCAATTATTTCGAGACAAAATCTATTTTTTGTAACAAACATGACTGGATTTTGTACAGTACATTGTATAAATAACATTGTCATGTAAGTTTACTATCTTCACTTACATACACTTTTTATTTATATTTTTGATAAGCGTTATTTATACAAGTACTGTGTGCACTTTGTAACAATAATAACTTTCTCTTGGTTGGCAGTTCAGGAGTCCCAGTGAGCTGCCACCCTAGGATGACTACCTCACAAGAAGCAGCTCTGCCAACACCACGCTCTTGTCCTCAACAATATGAAAAAGGTAAACATTATTTATTTTTTGTGTAATTCCTGTTCGAAGATATAAGTTAGTGTGTGTGTGTGTGTTCTCATTATCAGTCTTAAGTATCTTCCACACTGTTCTACCGCAACTGTATTAGAAACTAGAAAATGACTACATTTTCTTGCCCGAAAACTTGAATAAAGAATATTCTGTGCTTGTATTTTAATGCTGGTTGTTTAAAGATAAAAAAAAACAAGTTTTATCTAATAAGGAATTAATTACTACCCAATATTACTCTATAGGTTTATAACTCGATGGTTAAAAATATTTTCCTAGACTAATTGCTAAACTTGCTCAGACACTTAGAAAAAAGTATTCTTAACTTTCACCTCATCAGAGCTAGTGATTAAGTCCAGCCCAGCTCAGGCAGACAGAGACGGTTTATAATTTTAGAGCACGTACCTCTCCCAGTGCCGGATGGGAAACGGGTCTTAGGTTCACTTTGGTGCTTTTTTGTGTGTGTGTAGAGAAAGGAGGGGTGAAAGAAGATTAGAGGTGGGGGAGGTAAGTTATAGTTCGGAAAGTGAAGAAATTTAGGAGGAGGTAAGAGAGGGCTGGCTGACCGCCTAGCTAAGCTAATAGTGTGTTAGGGTTGTGTCATGGGTTAGTTATTGTCTGTCGGTGCTTGGGAAGGAATAGGTAACGTGGGGGGGGGGGGGTCCTCTTCTTTGTTGAGGAGGCCGGCCTTCTATACAATGTGGAGTTTTATCAATTAACTTTTAAATGTTTTTTTTTATGAAAGTTCGTGTTATTTATTACTTATGGTTTTTTACCTTGCATTATTTGATTTTGGTCTTTTAAATCTTAATTTTAATTCGGCGACATGACCTAAGCTGTTGCGTCACCGGGAGTGTAATCAATCAATCACTCCTCAAGAATACATTCTAACCATTGCCTAAACAAGAAAATATAAATCTAATGATGAAAACCTTTGTTCCTGACAGATAGTTTACAGGAGCTGAGGACTATAGGGAAGCAAGTAGCGGTACTCATCGTCCTTAGCTATACGTATGGTGACGTGATGGTGTACCGCAAGCTGACTCCGGACCCCCGTCAGGACACTTGGTACCTCATGCGTTCTCCCCTACCCACCATCATCACCTGCTTCCTGTATGTGGCCGCCGTCACCTGGTGTATACCGCACTACATGAGCACCAGGAAACCCGTGTCAGGACTTAGGACCAGTATGATGGCCTACAACGCCTTCCAAGTCGTCTTCTCCGCCTGGATTTTCTGGGAGGTAAAATTGTTTTAAGCTTCCTCAGGTACTGTATGTTAATTTTATAAAATCTAACATTATTGTACCCAGTGTTGTGTTCTAATGATGGTAATAGTTATCATTACATACATAAATAATTACCACTGAATCGTAGTACAGTACTGTATTTTGGTCTTGTATGGAGAAACTTGTGAAGTATTTTGTTGATCTATTCCAGCTCTCTTATCAGAATACACAGAGAAAACAAAGTAGATATATTTATATAATTTATTGGTTTACTAAAATACTTTCGTGCTCCTTTCAATTAGTTTGTTATTATATTTATTCACTTAAGAAAATTAAGGTGGAAATACAAAATTCACAAGATGAAGAGAAACATCAGGTGTGTGTGTGTTCACAGACCTTTTGCCGTACTTAAATGTAATAAACTAAAGTGTAATATACTGTTTATGGTGTTGACAGTCAGGTGTGGCCGGATGGTTTGGTGATTACTCCCTCGTGTGTCAGAGGTGCGACTTCTCTGATAACACTGAAGCAGTCAGGGTAAGTCAGTACTGCTACACGTCAAACACAACCTTTTTAAGGAATCTTGGGGAATAATATAATGTATATATAATTAGCCAAACGAGAGTCGTTTAATGGTAATTTGGTCTCAACAAGATGATGCTTTCCATTGGCCAATCCCTATTGTTTTTATAATTATATGGTAACCAGTAGTCTGAAGATCTTTATGTAAAGATGAAAAAGTGGAGGATGACAAACGCCCTACTCGCCCTGATAACAAGTAATCTTTGAAGTATTGTTTAAACGTATAGTACTGAAAGATCATAGTGTTGCCTGCAGACTAAACTTGAATATAGAGGAAACATCTTGTCATAGTTCACAGTTGTATTGTTATGGTTGACTTAGTTGGCTTAGTTTACGTTAATAAGGTGTTGGTTTGGTTCGCTCTAAGGTTATGTATAAACAAAACTGTACATATGCTTAGTTCTCTGAATGTTCCTGAATATAGTTTAGTAATAGTATGTACACTCTCACCAAAAACTTCTTGAGCGATATAAGCACTCTGCAATCTAAAAAAATAAACAACGAATCTGAAACCATTCCCAGGTGACAAGCCCCATTCTGCTCATTCTCACACCCATCGTCATGCCCAGGTGTTGGAGTAGTTTTTGTTGAGAGTGTACATGTTAACTATTGCTTGTATTAACGTCAGTATGCCCTTCCACAGATGGTACATGCTGGCTACTGGTATCTCTTCTCTAAGTTTGTGGATTTCATAGACACTGTAAGTTATTTTTTTTTTACTGTGCTCCTCACTTGGTTCAATTCTTCATAATTCTTTGGGTGAAGTTATAGCATTAATATCAGACTTGAAATACCAATAATCAATTGTATTGCTGGTCATTCATTGTGGGCTCTCACTCTGCAGGTATTCTTTGCTCTACACAAGAAGAATGAACACATCTCTTTGCTACATGTGTGTCACCATGCCATCATGCCCGTCTGTATGTGGTACGGCATCCGCTACTATTCTGGTCAGTACAGTTGTGGGTACAGTACTGTGGTGAATCTGTAACTTTGTGGGTATCTCAGCTCGTTCTTCATATGTGGCAAAGAATGATTTTAGGACATGATAGTTTCTTTTTTCTCTTACAACGAGATATTTGTATGTGATAATGTTATTAATCTTCCAGGTGGCCACACGACACTCGCATTCCTTCTCAACTCTTTCGTACACACTGTGATGTACCTGTACTACCTGCTGGCGGCCATGGGTCCCCGCGTTCGTCCGTTCCTCTGGTGGAAGAAGTACCTCACCACACTCCAGATGGTGCAGTTTACAGCCATCCTCATCCACAACTTTTTGGTAAGTTATCTTAATTATAGTTTGTTGGTATAGAGTTTAGTCTTGGGATTATTCAGACCTCTCACGACATTAAACGGATCACATGGCTTCAGTTGATGAATTCCAAAGCTGTATTACGATTATCTGAGACCCCTTTGGTGATCATTTGTTTGAGGCACCCTGGAGGCCCTTAGTCATCTTGGGATACTTTAATGCTATAAACCTTTGATGTACTCCTGAGGCCTGAGTCAACTGGGCACCCCAGAGACGGTATTCAGGAGTATGTTAGTCAAGGCCCAGGAGCTCCTATACTTCGGACTCTTTACTCTAGAGTTCCTTATAGTTAAATGACACGCACTAAAACTTATCTTTGGGTCTTGAGTGGTCGCATGTATCACTCCAGGAGCCGCAGGAATCACTTGAGAATCAACAGTTTTTTATATCAACAGTTATATCGTGAAGAGACTAATAAAGACAGCATCACCATATAACTATATCACAGGCGCTGTTTGTGGAGTGTCCTGTGCCGTCGTCGCTGATAGCCTGGGTGAGTGGCGTGTCACTCCTCTTCTTCGTCCTTTTCGCTGACTTCTACATCAAGACGTACCGGAAGCGTGGCAAACACTAGGTGAGATAACTGATTAGTCTTTAGTGAGTTTTCATTTCTTATCATTAAAACAGATAAACCAGTAATAGATAATTATTAAAAAATATATACACTGTATATATCTATTTTGATTATATCCACAAATAGTCATAACAATGCCAAGGTTCCCATAGATTTTGACTGCCAAATATAACGTTACTATATTATTGTTTTCCTCTTCAGATAACCACTGAAGCTAAGGGGAAGTAAAGACCCCCCATTGAGGGTCTGATGGCATCAATGTGTCCAACTATACAATAACACGTCCACTGGAGGGTGCAGCAGGCAGAAGCCGAGCAGGTCCGTGAGGTGATCGACTCTCCAGATGAGGAAGTCCCTTAGCACTTACCTCTGTTTTATCGACTGATGTAAACATATCTCCCGGCTATCATGTGCTGCCTAATGGCTATTGCTTATGATCAGGTTAGGAAAGGAAGTACAGTAGTATATCCTATCTTGCGGTGTGTCGTGAAAATACCAGAGTATATGTGTTGAATGAAGGTACAGCCTCCATGTGTATCTAGTCAACAGTAAAATCACTCGAGATACAAATTAGAATACTCTATTTATACATACCTACTTAAGTCATAAGAATATGATAATTATAATAGACGTGATTCAGTTACACTATTAATTCTGAAAGAGATATATGATTATTTAGTCTATTTTGTATATTATGATCATATTTAGAAGAACATAGAGTCAAATATAGGTAATACTTTAGCCATGTTATACTGATACGATTCATCCAACCACCAACAACAATGAATCGGTTGTGTGTGTGTGTATGTGAACGGCTGATGACATTCTTAAGCTCATATTATGATTTTCTTCTAATTATCCTTCTAGATGAGTTAGAATATGAATGACCTTTAGCTACCCTTTAAGGTCCGGTTGTTATGGATGTTTAAAATGGGTATTAAATTATCCCAACCTTTTTGTAATGATGTTTCTGATATGATAAGAGTCGGGGGTTGACAATTTTCAGATAAGATGATATTTTCCTATAATTTTTTGGTCAAATATCATTCTATATGCGGATACTTTTTTATAGTTCCAGACAGATGTAGAATTATTGTTGTAGGAGACAGTTGTAGTATAGTTTGTCAATGGTGATTATTCTTGTCTCCGAATCTACTTTTAACTGTCATCAGTCATTATAGACCAGTTGTAAATTTTAGGTGCGGGTTTGTATATATTAAACGCCGCACCATTACTTGTTTCTTCTTATTCTACCGTTGGGGGACGTAAGAAACTGTGTAAAAGGAAATTTAGATACTATAAAGGAAAACACACACACACACACACACACACACACACACACACACACACACATCACTGTGTTGTTATCAGCGTCCGGGTACAAAGGTCAAAGAGGATTTTCAACAGGTCGATTTTATCGGTCGTAAAAGAAAGAAAAAACAATGAAAGAAAATATAGATTAAAAAAAAAAGTTGATGTCCTCCCGGACACGGTGACTGGGACGACCACCAGAGCCGGGTGTTGGTGTGGTGATAACTATTTACAGTAGATGTTGAGTCACTAACACAACACATGGTATATGCTGTGTCACTTGCCGGGGACAAATGTATTCCACCAGGCATTCTTACTCTTTTCAGAAATAGACCATTTGCGTCACAGCTACTGATTGATTGAAAACCTCTTTAGGCCTGAACACGACTTTCATTCAGGGCATGAAACAGTGGTTGCAGATGCACTTGCTGACGATTAGCGCCCGCCCCCATAATGATACTTGTTTGATCACCCAGTACTGGCATCACTAACAGGGGAAGAACTAACACATCTGTATCGCATGCATAGATGTAAACTATTTTTCCAACTTTTTGCACTTCAGCAGCATACTGTACAATATGATTAGTGTATCTGACTACTTGGGAACTTTCCAAAATCCGCTACATTTATGATTCAGTGCGATTTGACAACCCCATTCATGTGACTAGTGACGACTGTCTTGAAACTCGCCACAACTTTTCATGCCAGGAGATGTTTTGTTTTGGTGCTGCTAAGAAATATGTTGAAATGCTTGATGTGTGTTGCCGTCCATTATATATTAAGGCATGGAGGTTGATGCCCCTTTTGATTGGCGCTCCCTTGTGCTCTCCTTCAAAGACTTAACATTATACTTGTCAAATACTATAAATGCAATGGCATAATCTTGACTTTTCTTGTCAATAGAAGTGATGAGGCAATTAGCAAGTCCGTGCAGTTATTTGTTTCATAGAGAATACATATATGATTAGAAATAACGAACCCTGGAGTGAATACAAATTTCCATTTAGGTGATTAAGCATCCGAAATGACATTGAGAAAAACAAACACATAAATGGACAAAATTTCTAATTTTCCAATTACTAAAATCCAAGATGGCAGCCATTAATCCAAGATGGCTTCTAAAAAATACCAAACAAGATTTTTGTAAATTTCAGGTAAAATACAATTGAAAAAAGGGCATTGACAAAAATCTATATGAAATTCCCACAATATGACACAAGAACATATACTAACAACCCAAACTGCATTAAATCCACTCTTTCAGCTTCAGTAAATATTAAGTCACTCAAGAGAAAGAGAGAGAGATATATATGTTTAGCTTTAACAAGCTGGTGATGGAGTGATCAGTTTTTGCTCAGAGCTTTTTTAATGATATTCTTACACTGGTTCAGCTCCAGATAATGGTAGAGCATGGAAAGAACACGATAATGATGTTCCTACTTGATACAAATTCACTTTCAGGAAATTTACTCGATTTATATGTGCGTGTGAATGATAAGTACTGTAACATGCATTCGGTGAAAGTGACACGGAAGTAATGTGTTCAACTCCGGATATTTAAGTACCTAAAACTTTGTAAGCCTGAATATTCAAACATCTTAACGGAATAAACCAAATTCGTGACCTCAGACAGAAAGGAGGTAAAGGGTAACATAACAAAAGAGTAACATGAGGAAAGAGACACGTTAAAGGACTTATTGCCAGTTGTTGTTGGTGCCTGGTGAAGAATCTCTGGTGACGGAAAGACATTGTCGTGTTGGTCGCGTTACTGCAGTTATCATAGTTTAATTATTTCCTGTTTTAACTTATACATCATCTAGACGCTTTAAATAACTCTGAGGAAAGACACATAACAGATCACAATGACAAGTTTTATAGCGGAGAAACTAATAAGAGGATAATTATCGATTAAATGTGATGTGTTCCTGAAGGTAAAGATGTTTTGGGACCTGACAACAAGTGTTCAGATTCATGATGGATGGAGAAAGTATTAGCATTTCGCTGTCCAAGTAAGAGCTAAATGAGAAAAACAAAAATGATTCGGACACTAATACGACTTAATTTTTTTTTTAATAATCTTTTGAAAACAAGTCGACTATTTTTTTTATTAACAGTGACTTGCATCCGTTAATACCAGACTAATAAAGCATTTTTTTTCTCGCTTTTAACATCTTACAAAAAACTAAACTTATTCTTACTATTAAAAGAAGATTCCTCATCCTGTGATTATTGCTGTCGGGATACAGTAGTTTCAGGTGAACGTGAGCACACAGTCAGTTACGTGTCAGCTGAGGAAGAGAGCACACTACACTCTCTGTCTCCCTTTAGTGGTAAACTTATACAGTATTAATCTTCTTTTTGGTTGGTTTGCCTCTTGACTTGTACATCAAACAATATTCTGATCTATTATAAAATATGCCATTGTTGCCAGTTATAATATTGCATTTACTTGGTAGTCCATCGTCGCCTTTCAGTATAACTTTTAATGGGTTCGTAGGTGTGTGTGTGTGTGTGTGTGTGTGTGTGTTTGTGTTTCTCTGACTCCTGAACTAAATGAAGGTCAATCTTACACCTCAACCTGCCTTCGTCCGCTTTTTCCATCCTGTCATCATCAAACCTGTCTTCAATATCAACCAGTGAGATTATTTTGAATTATCACCGAATGAAAGCAATATATAATCAATGTTTTAGAGATATAAAAAAAAATTATTATTGATATGTAGCTTAAAAGGTGAATATTATTATTATTGTATTCTTAAACACAAGTAGAATATTTATATGAGTATTTTTAACTAGGCGTATGTATATTTTTCAGTCATTTATGGTTTTGAAAGCATAATTGATTAGTTTTATTTTATTTTTTTTACGAAATTACCCCATTGTGTTTTTATGGTCACACACACACACACACACACACACACACACACACACACACTACATCAACCAGTATCAGTGACCAGATTAGATTAGGTCTTACGAGGTTACTTTACACAAGATTAACAAACTAAGGGATTAAGTGAGTAAGCTTTTGTATTTCTATGATGTTAATATATTATCATATAACAAGGGTGACCAATAATGGAGTACAACTATTCACCTACCATATTACAATGGATTAACCTAACCTAACCTCTTATAATCGCCACTCAACAGTTTCGGCCGTTTTCCGCCACTGTGTGTGTGTGTGTGTGTGTGTGCACTTAAAACTCGTTAAAAACCACTCTCGTTACATTGTAGGAAAATAGTGTTTTTTAGATGGTGTAAGAGAAGGGCGAGCTTTGTATTATTAGATGGTACAACATTAACTAGCTTTTCCCTCCTCCAAGCCTACCTGCCTACCTACTCCCCTTTGCCACACTGCCCCCCTCCCTACCTCTGCTCTATCTTGCTTGTCACCCTCCACCCTTTCTAAATACTTGCTTCATTATCTATCTTTCTGTCCGCTTGTCTTCCTGCCTTCCATCCTGCCTTCCTCCATCCCATCCTGCCTTCCTCCATCCTATCCTACCTGCCTCTTTTCCATCCTGCCTCCCTGCCTGTCTTCCTTCCTCCTCCCCTGAGAGAATCTGTTCTTTGTTCTTTTGACCGCTGAAAAGAGAAAGTTTTCCCTCAGTTTTTCTTTCTCATCTGTGTGTGTGTGTGTGTGTGTGTGTGTGTGTCGTAGAATAAGTCTTTTCTCGGTACACAAGGAGGTAGTGTGGTTGGTTGGCATTTCACATCCCTGACTGTAAAACTTTCTTTGTTTGAAAGTATTGGAAAAGATTTAAAAGTTTATATTCAGTTTATTAGGCAAATTATAAACCACAAATGAAAGGTTGATTGAGTTAAGGTTTATGAGTTATGTTTATTTATCATAGTTGACACCCCTCTGGTCCTCCCCTCACATGACACCCTCTGGTCCTCACATGACACCCCCTCTGGTCCTCCCCCACTCACACCCCACACTGACCTCCATGACACCCTCTGGTCCTCCACCACATGACACCTCTGGTCTTCCCTCACATTCCCTCTGGTCCTCCCCTCATGACATGGTTCCTCCACTCACATGGCACCCTCTGGTCCTCCCTCACATGACACCCCTCAACCTCCCCTCACATCGGTTTCTCACTCGGACCCCCTCTGGTCCTCCCCTCCACGACATCACCTCACACACCCTCTGGTCCTCCCCTCACATGACATCCCTCTGGTCCTCCCCTCCCACAGACACCCCTGCCTCCCCTCTGGTCCTCCCCTCACACCCCCTCTGGTCCTCCCCTCACATGACACCCTCTGGTCACTCAATGACACACCCTCTGGTCCTCCCCTCACATGACATCCTCGGTTCTACCTCATGACACCCTCTGGTCCTCCCCTCACATGACACCCTCTGGTCCTCCCTCATGACACCCTCAGGTTCTCCCTCACACCCCTCTGGTCTCCCCTCACACCCCCCTCTGGTCCTCCCACATGACACCCTCTGGTCCCCCTCACATGACACCCCTATGACACCCCCTCTGGTCCTCCCCTCACACTCACATGACACCCTCTGGTCCTCCCCTCACCCCTCACATGACACCCCTCTGGTCCCTCCCCCTCACATGACATCCCCTCGGTCTCCCTCACAGGACCTCTCTGGTCCTCCCTCACATGGTCCTCGACACCCTCTGGTCCTCCCTCACATGACACCCCTCCTCCCCTCACATGACATCCCTCATTCTACCCTCAAATGACACCCCTGGTCCTCCCCTCACATGACACCCTCTGGTCCTCCACTCACATGACATCCCTCGGGTCCTACCCTCACATGACACCCCTCTGGTCCTCCCTCTCACATGACACCCCTCTGGTCCTCCCCACATGACACCCCTCTGGTCCTCCCCTCACATGGTCCTCCCCTCACACACCCTCTGGTCCTCCCCTCACATGACCCCTCCATGACACCTCTGGTCTCACATGACACCCCTCTGGTCCTACCCCTCATGACACCCCTCTGGTCCTCCCCCTCACATGACACCCTCTGGTCCTCCCCTCACATCCTCAGGGCTTACCCCTCTGGTCCTCCCACATGACACCTCTGGTCCTCCACATGACATCCCTCGGGTTCTACCCTCATGACACCCCTCTGGTCCTCCCCTCACTGACACCCTCTGGTCCTCCCTCACATGACACCCTCTGGTCCTCCCCATCTGGTCCTCCACATGACACCCCTCTGGTCCTCCCCTCACACACCCCTCTGGTCCTCCACATGACACCCCCTCTGGTCCTCCCCTCACCATGACACCCTCGACCCCCACAACATCCCTCTGGTCCTCCCTCACATGACACCCCTCTGGTCCTCCCCTCACATCCCTCAGGTTCCCACACATGACACCCCTCTCCCTCACATGGGTCCTCCCCCCTGCACACATGACCCCCCCCCTGGTCCTCCCCTCACATGACACCCCTCTGGTCCCTCTCCCTCAGGTCACATGGCACACATCTGACACCCTCTCTGGTCCTCCCCCTCACATGACACCCCTCTGGTCCTCCACTCATCTGGTCCTCCCTCACATGACATCCTCGGGTCTCCCCTCAAATGACACCCCTCTGGTCCTCCCCTCACATGACACCCCTCTGGTCCTCCCCTCACATGACACCCCTCTGGTCCTCCCCTCACATGACACCCCTCTGGTCCTCCCCTCACATGACACCCCTCTGGTTCTCCCCTCACATGACACCCCTCTGGTCCTCCCCTCACATGACACCCACAACTGTAGGGTGGGGTGTTGTATTCGGTTATGTCTGTCTGCCTGTTTTTGTGCCCCCCAAAATGAATCACTAGGATGGCCTCCTCACTCTGGTCAGGGATTGTTAGAGGAAGTCCAGTGAAATGTTGACTAGAGTAGCTTGTGTGTGTCTTAAGTGGAGAGGATGCTGAGTGGGTGACTGAAGTAAGTTACTGGAGTGGTCAACAAGTTTACCGGGGCGCCCAGTGGGGTGACTACTCCGGTCCTTAGATAAAAAGAGTAAAACTTGATTAACCTTACACAAAGGTGACTGCTTCTTTAACTAATACACAGACCCTCGAGTCAACGTGATAACACAAGTTGTTGTAGTTTATATGATACATTACCAAGAAAATTCTGTTGTTTATGAAGCTAAACGAGCGTCATTAACATCCTTTTGTTGTTTTCACAGCTCAACAATATTCACTTTCAACCTTTTTTGTTTTACCTCTGAACTCTTTGCTGTGCGTGTCTTGAAACTTGCCGAATTGGACGGCAGCTCGGGGTGAAGTAGAAAGGCACAGCCCCAGCAAGAATAGGAGGCAACATTTTTCTCTTCCTCGACAGTCAGCGACTAGCCGTCAGTGCTGCAGCTTCAAATCCACCTTCTCTGGACCTGACCTATTGAGGTGACGTAAAAAAACAATCGTTAACGTGAAAAAGATTTTTAGTGTCGGTACCACCACCATTACAGTACCACCGTCACCACCACCATCGTCACCAACACCACCGTCACCACCACCACCACCGTCACCACCACCATCGTCACCACCACCACCGTCACTACCACCATCGTCACCACCACCACCGTCACTACCACCACCATCACTACCACCGTCACCACCACCACCGTCACCTCCACCAGCAGCAATAACAAGAAGCAGTCACAGTTGCTACAGGATTCAGTGTTGAACGTTTTTATTTAGACTATTAACATGTTTAGTGCAATTTATAAATCTCGCGGCAGTGATGACAACAGTTAGTTAACCTACGTGATTTATGTTCCTTTGTGTCGTTTACCTACGCCACCCCTAAGCCACCCATAACCCCATACCCACACACCACCCCATGGGCCACACATCCCACCCATGGGCCACACATCCCTTAGTGTTACACAAGTTACACACCAACCTATGGATCACACGCTAGGCCATGGGTCACATACCAACCCATGGATCACACACTAGGCCATGGGTCACACACTAAGTCATAGATCAATCACTAAGCCATGGGTCATACACTAAGCCATGGATCACACACTAAGCCATGGGTCACACACCCCACTCCATGGGTCACACACACCAGCCCATGGATCACACACCAGCCCATGGGTCACACACTAAGCCATAGGTCACACACTAAACCATGGGTCACACACCTAAGCCATGGGTCATACACTAAATCATGGGTCACACACCAGTCCATGGATCACACACTAAGTCATGGGTCAGACACCACCCCATGGGTCTCACCATGGTAGAATGTAGCAATATAAATTTATGCAATGGGGTCAACAGCCGCCAGGGAGAGCAACTCTTCTCCTTTACTCAGTCTGACACAACTCACAGGTGACCTTCAACCCCAGTATATGAGCAAAAAGGGGCAGAACATCCACATTATTCGATGAGTTGCCCAAGGCGTCTTTCACTCGAGCGCCAAGTAAAGTAGATAGGAGGGGAAATATAGAGAATAATCCCCAAAGTGTATATATTAATGATGTCTTTTGATCTATGTAAAATGGTCCAAAATACTCATGGAACCGAGGAGAGGAGCTGAGGAGTGCATATTATCTTCGCAGCGTCAGGCAGGTTAGGAAGTACGTAGGCAGGTAAAGGTCACACACTGATCTTAGCGTGGGGAGGAAAGTGGGACGCGGAGTGAATACGAGAAACTAGACGCAGTTTTGGTGTAGCCTAGAGGTGTGATTATTGTGTTGCAAGTTTGTGTTGCCCCTGACCATCTTGATCTCTCTTTTAATTAATGTTTTATGTAAATACTGTTGGAAGAAATACTGACACACACACACACACACACACACACACACACCGTCCAAGAGAAAGGAAAACTCTCCTAAACTCACGAGTGCATATAAGGCTTCACCTAACCCCAGCTATATACAAAAGCTGATTCTTTCGATCTTGAGAAAATAAAGTGTAAGTTGTCAGTTTCAACGATAAATTATAAGGCTTCAATGTAAAGTTTCATCAGTCGTGGATTAGTTTGGAAATAGAGTAGTTGATGGATGGAGCAATTTACCAAACATCATTAACTCGAACACGCTGGGTAGCTTTAAATATCGGTTGGGCGGATATATGAGCGAAAGGGGTTGGGTGTAAACAGGACTGTCCAGTATGAGCCACTAGGCCCGCAGCAGTTTCTTCCATTCTTACGTTTTAATTATGTTCTTTTACTTGCAGCTGAAACATAAGATAGTGGACCCAGAAGAGAAAGTTTTGAACATGGCGCCGTCAGAGAGCTATCACGACCACCCCTCCTCCGCCCAGCAAGACGAAACAGGTACAGGTGGCAGTCTGGCCAGAGCCACAACATGACGTAATCTCTCAGTTGCTGGTTGATTTATCATATCCATAATTTTTTGTTTAGATTTACTCACAACTTTAAGAGATATAAAATGATGCCTTTAGTTAAAACTTTTACATATATATAGAATGATTTTGTCTGGGAAAAAATTCACTGAACGTAACTCCACTTACAGTGTATTTATTAACCGTAATGGGAATAATTTATCCGCTTATCGTTGTTTCACTTGAAGTCTATACTGTATATATAGAGAGAGACAGAAAACATTCTTAAGAAATCTAAATTTTCATGCAGGAGTTGTGAACGAGTTGAAGATTAATGGAAGATGGGCGGCAGGCATCACCATTCTGTGTTTCTTGTATGGGGAGATCACGGTGGCCAGCCAGCTGCCTGTAGACCCCCGCCAGGGATCGTGGCTCCTCCTGCAGTCGCCCCTCCCCTCCCTCCTCTTGTGTCTCCTCTATGTTGGCATCGTCACCTGGTGGGGACCTCTCTATATGTCCTCAAGGAAACCTTTCTCAGGACTCAGACCCTTCATGATTGCCTACAACGCCTTCCAGGTCGTCTTTTCTGCCTGGCTATTCACTCAGGTAGTTCTTTATGTCACTGTTTGTTAAGCATCTTCACTCGTTACCACGACTAACATACATACTGTACACCTTGATCCGGAAATGTTAATCATGAAGTGAATCAAACAACTGTTCATATGTTTTACTATATTTTATAAGATATTTTTGGCCACTTATTAACTACTTCAACACAATTATCATCAAACATATTTGTACTTATTAAAATATTTATTCTTGTATTCTTTACTGATCTTCTATTATGTCTTGCTTTCACAGGGAGGACTAGGCGGATGGTTCGGCGGCTACAAGTTAGTGTGTCAAACGTGTGACTTCTCTGATGACCCAAAGGCGGTCTTGGTAAGTCCCGACACAACTTCCTAAGTCTTGTAAGTGACTCACAGGGACTATCAGTATTCAGTACTTGAAATTATGGTTCTAAATCACATGTGTATCGCTAGATATTACTTCGATTTCTCCGACATAATAAATCTAACTTCAGTGGACAGTAAACTTTAATAAACTGATAGACGGAAGAGTTTGCCGCCATCCATCTTCCTATCGTTAACATAAACCCTTCTTTAAACCAAAACAAAAGATCATCTCCTTGACTAAACCTTTCTTATATGTTCTATAACTTATGAAATGTAAAGAATAGCTTTTGTATTAGCATATATTATATATCACTCACGGCAACCTCACTGCAGATGATGCACGGCGCCTTCTGGTACTACTTCTCCAAGTTTATCGACTTCATCGATACGGTGAGTTAACCTATAAATGTTTTCTGTCTTTTCCTAAGTATTCCGCGGAGACTTACCATTCATTATATGGCTCATGACTGCTCCACTGAGGTGCTTTAAGTGATTTCTCTATAATATGTCTTTTTTCACTTCATTGCATAATTCACACTGACTCTTTCACTTATTTTTGTTTGTTGAAGGTAGGCTGAGCATCCTCGCGACCCTGGGGCTATTTGGACTTTAGATAGTTTGGTGCATACTGTATATCGTGTTAAACTGTAGAAATTATTAGGTGACTTATACTGAGCGTCTGAATCAATATATGATACACCTAGTTTGAAACAAGAGTCCGTTACATGTCGAGAAATCGTAACAATTATCATATACTAACTGTAGATGTCTTGAGTGTGTGAGAATTTTTGCTGCAGATCTTCTTCGTGTTGAACAAGAAGTACGAGCACATCTCCGTCCTCCACGTCAGTCACCACGCCCTCATGCCCATCAGCCTCTGGTACGGCGTCCGTCATCAGGCAGGTGAGTAAACCCTTTATATCTAGGTGACTGTACATAGCCAGTTGGTTACATACTGTGGTGCTTTTATAACTAACCGTGTGTCTAGTGAGGTGCTTGTGTAGCCAAGTTCTTTTATAGCCATCGCGTTATATGGCTAGGTGCTTGTATTGCAAACTGGGAATGTAGATAGGTAGTTACATAGGCGTGCAGTATAGATGGGTGTCACGTATAGCTAGTAGGGACAGTTTATAGCCATCAGATGTCATACACAGTCAGGCAGGTGTCCGACAGTTCGGTTATAAGACTTATCCGCTGTAAAGTCAGATGAAACATATCCACTGTTTCCGAGTGTGTAGTTTACTAGTGATCAATGACAGTAATCAAATAGAAATACTGTGCTCCTTTAATCCACAGCTCATGTAAACAAATATTAATGCAAGTTCCTCTGACTGCCATATTAAGATACCATGTTCTCCTCAGGTGGTCACGCTACCTTCATGGGTTTCATTAACTCCTTCGTACACGTTGTCATGTACTCGTACTACCTGCTGGCGGCCATGGGTCCCCGCCTCCGTCCCTATCTCTGGTGGAAGAAGTACCTCACTATGCTACAGATGGTGCAGTTCACCATCGTCTTCTTCCATGCTGTCTCGGTAACACTATTTTTTGTTGTTTAGTGAAAGTGATGTTTGTTAGAGGAAGCCGGGCGCCCCATACGGCACCATCGATCAACTTGTGCCATTCACCGAGGCATATCAGGACAGAGCATGTTTATGGGTTCTAAAGTTTTAGGGGATTTTATTACATCAGGATTCTAAAAACATCTAAGGGTTCCACGGGGCATCTCAAGTTTGCAGGGGCTTTTTGGCATTCCAAGAACATCTTTGTATTCCAGGCTACCTCCCACGCTGACAGGGTAATGTTATAATAACTCTTACTTCACAGGTGGCATTCGTGGAGTGTGAGGTGCCGTCAGTGTGTCTACGATGGGAGTGCGGTATTGCGGTCATGTTCTTTGTCCTCTTCGCAAACTTCTACATCAAGTCGTACCGGAAAAGCGTAAAAATCGAGGTCAGTGTCTCAGTGAAACGCTTCCAATTTTGTTTTTCTCTCTCCTGTGATAACGAATCCTAAGACCCTTACTTGATAACCATTATTTCACCTATATATTCAATATTTTAGTACCTTACTATAATAGATATGTAAAATTTTATAGGACGTCCGCACAGTAACCAAGATGTTTTCATTATACTGTATTCCCGTAATGCCTCAGAAAAGTTTTATTTTTATTTTTTATTAGGAGCTGGGATCCTATATTTCGTTCCTTTGTATTTTGTTAGTCTAGTTGTATGTTGATCTCTCTTGACTTTAAAAAAACAACTTCTGGTATAAGTTTGGTTCCTTCAGGGTAATGCTGGCACCAAGGTAACGATGCCAGGCCTCTCAAACATGTGTTACATTCACCCATCAAGCAAACATTCTTACAAAATGGCCTATGATTCATCAAGAGTAATGACCAACGGTTTCCCCAACGACAAACCCAACAATGTCTCCAACGGCAAATCCAACGGTATCCCCAACGGGAATCTCAACAGTATCCCCAACGGCAAGCTCAACAATGTCTCCAACGGCAAATCCAACGGTATCCCCAACGGGAATCTCAACAGTATCCCCAACGGCAAGCTTAACGTTATTGTCAACGGATTACCCAACGTACAGGAGTATGTGAGATTAAGAAGTGGTCGATTCCTCAGGTAAGGTTCCGAACCTCACACTGAACCCTTAACTACTACGAGACCTACACACCTGCTGAGGCCGCCTTCACACAGACGGTAGCTTATACGAGATTCACTTTGGGTTTATAAAGTATTGGAATAATTTCACCACTCATTCCAGGCAGTAGTTTCCTCAATGTGTGTGTGTGTCAAAATGATCACAGTGACGAACCAAGACGATGACACTGATAATATTAAGACATTATTAGTGATCTCACCCAACCTCAGGTACACGTAATCACACATAATATTAAAGGTTCTGGTGCTGTTCTCTACTGTCCTGTTTACAAATGAGTTTTCTTTCCTTGGTAAATCATTTGTTCCTTTAGAGCTCCAGTATAACCCAGTTCTCACCACTGTCGGACAAATGTCATAATTTCGTAATGTTTATGAAGTGTGTCATTTATTTGCATATATAGAATTGTAATAGAATCTTCAATTTGAAACGTACTGACAACAAACTAGTTCTTATATTTTATTCTTATGTATGAAGATTATGCCAATGACAGCTAGTTTTAAAAGCATTTAAGTTTGTACAGGTCATTATGAACCTTTAGCAAATGTTATGTTATGTTATAAGAACCTCGATATATAGGGTAAGTAGTAATGATTGAATTGCTTTGTTAACTAATGTGTAAATAACTTGATATATGAATGTGTCAAATCAACAACAAAACTATTGGTATTTTGCCTCTCAGTTAAAGCAATAAATACATAGACTCTCGCCTTCTCATTTTTTTTAATATTTTTGCCCAGAAAAGCAGAATATATATACTGTATATGCTTATAGCCTGTTGCTATTTTAAGTACTGTAAGCCTATACTTTATATCAGGAATGTACTAGTACTGTATTCTATTCAGTTATTACTGAACAATGTTGTTTTATGTGATGTTACGTATATAATTAAAACAAATTGTAAAATATGTTAACTTTTTTTATTGTTTTAGATATTTATTAATGTATTATGTAACACGAAACTATGTAGTGACACGAGAGAGACAAGGAATTAGTGTCCTACGTGAAATTTAACATAAAATTTGTATTCATTCTAGTAATCTGTCAGACATCTAATTAGTCTTTCACATTCCTTTCTTAAAACCTATGTAATCATTTCGTCTACACCTGGGAGAGGGTAGGATGAGTGGAGGAGTTAGAAGGAAAAGGTAGAGTGGGTGGAAGAGTGAGAGGGAGATGGTAGGGAGGATGTAGAGAGAGAGATACAAATTAATAAAGAAAAGCAGTGATAGATAGTCTGAGTTATCATTTCCTATGAGGTAGAAGATAACAAAGGCTATCATGGTGGGAGGTAGATAGCCACTATGACTCAAAAGAGGAAATGATATCACCAAGCTCATATATTATATTGTTTCCTGTGAGCTTCAGTATTGTGACACTTCCGGTTATCTATAGAATGTGAACCCTTGAGTATGATGACTTATCCTTTGAGTACGAAGACTTAACCCACAGATTATGATGACTTAAAGCTTCAAGACATATACCGTATTATTGTACAGTATTTACAGTAAAGAAAATGATAAAACTAGCGTAACTTTTCGACCCCAAACCTTAGTGACTTCTTTAACCTCTTGAGAACAAAATCACTTCTCAGCTTAAGTCGGTTCATTTTACTCAGCGGTAGATAGATAAACGGAGTGAGGAAAAGAATGAAAGACAATAAATATATCACTTCACTTGAGATAAAAACTATGGTACTGTATTTGTTGAGTATGAAGTGCGGGTGTGAGTGTCCATCAAAGATAACCTTAGGAGTATAACTTGAGATAAGAGACAGATATGTCATTTACTGTGGCAACTCGGTCACCTACCCACATGTGTGTTAACTGATTCGTGGTCATATTATCAGCTTCCCGGACTCAGTGCTGTTCTATATTGCTGCCTCTCCTCTGTGTGCCTCGTCCACCAACACTTACTTGGTATATAAGTGTTCAAACAAGTTGGTAGTAGAAAATACCAACACTTAAATGGTATAAAGTGTGTAAACAAGCTGGCAATAGATCTAACCAAGACTTACATGTTTCATAAGTACTGAAACAAACCGATAGAATATACGAAATTTAAGTTGTTTCAAATTATGGGTGTGGTGAAATCTTTGGTTATGCTGGGCGTGGTGGTGGGTTTTTTAAGTTGTCAGTCCATGCCCTCTTTTGCCTTCAACCTTGACCCGAGGGCCAGCTACCTCCTACAGGAACCTCAGTCAAGTTACCAAGGACGAGAATCCTACTTCGGCTACACTGTTGCCCTTTACTGTGATGGTATACAAGCTTGGTGAGTCTCTCTCTCTCTCTCGTGTTTAATCTCCGATATATTCTAGTGTTATTAAGTCGACATTTTTTAATCATTACTATAATATGAGTGTGTGTATGTGTGTCAGTACAGTCATAATACCACTATGGCGTGAAATTTGACTCCCTACTACCATAATTGTTATGTTGGTGTTGATAGGGCCATAGTGGGGGCGCCAAGGGCCAACAACACAATATGGTCGTGGAGCCCTGATGAGATCCCTGAACCTGGCGCCCTGTACGCCTGCTCCTTGTCGCAAATTAGCAGCCCTGAGTGTCACCAGATACTTGTTGACCCGACAGGTAAAGTATCCTAGTAGTAGAAGTAGTAGTAGTAGAAATATTATTATTAGGAGTAGTAAAATTATTATTAGTAGTAGAATTGTAGTAGTAGTAAAATTAGTAGTATAGGTTGTAGTAGAATTAGTAGTACAGTAGTAGTAGTAGCCTTATTAGTGTCCAGGTTAAGTTGAAATAGGTAATAATTGAACTGATAGCTGCTCTTCAGTCGTTACAATAACTAAACTACCCTATGATCTTTACAGGTAACGAACAATATAATTCGATGGGTAGTGCTATCTACATGGATAGGAAGAACTATGGTTGGCTGGGGGGAGCGCTTGACCTGTTACAAGGAGATGTTGATCCACTCATAGTAGTAAGTGCTTGACCTGATCTTCCCCGGCCCACGTTACTAGAGTACACAGCTTAGGCTGATGTACTAATTTCAAACACCATAACTTACCTGAAGTTAACCAATTTTACCTTATTTAACCTAAGCAATTCAAATTCATCTTAAAGTAACCTATAACCTAACTTAACCAAATCTATTTTACCTTAAACTAACCTTTACTTAAACTTAACCAAACTAACTTCACCAGACTTGTAGCCCGAGGTGGAAGAACCAGATAAATCCTAAGGACGATTACTACATGAACGGCGCCTGTTACTGGGCTGCCGTGAAGGACCTGCTTGATACAGGCTTCAACTCTCACTCCTGGAATAAACACTTGGCTCTCCTGAACTTAGGTGAGTTAATAACACTCTCCTTTATTTACTAATGTTATTTATGTTCATTATTGGATATAAACACTTCTGGAATATTCTTCGTCGAACCCATTTATTATTTATTATTTTGTGTGTGTGTGAAGAAGTTTATCATGTGGTTATACGCACACTGACACACACACACACACACACACACTTAACACTGTATTAATCTGTTACAGGTAAACAGAGAGTATTGGATCCTGAGAACAACATATACGTCTACTATTACCAGCTGGGACAAGTAGGATTGTCTGCCCACATATACAGAGTGAGTTATTTTTCGAGTTGTCTTTTAATGCGAGTTACGAGTGTGAGCAGACTTAGCGCAGTGATTTATTAGTACTACTGTAGTATTTGTTATTTATTTATATTGTTTAACCACTTCTAAGCTTACATGCCGTTCGGATATAGTAATGCAATATATTGTCGTTACCAAATAAACATTCGCTCCAGTAAGAATTTTACCCATCAGATCGATCTTCTCCCGCCAAGAGCGAGACGGAGTGCTATAAATATAAGTTAAGGTCCCACCGAGACTCGAACTCGGATTGTTGGATTCAGAGTCCAAAGTGCTAACCATTACACCATGGGACCATATATTAACACTTCCTGTATATAGTTTCAACTGATGTGCTATAATATTGAGTTTTATTGCGAATTAACATACTGGTGGTGTGTGTTAGTGTGGATCATGATGGTTTTGAACACACGCCACAACTCTTAAAGCTTTATGATCTTATTTTCTTTTCACAGGACGGTCTGGGACTAGTCATGGGAGCACCGGGAGTAAAACAATGGACAGGTATGTTACTTGACCTCTTAGTAAGGTTTGGTTAGGTCAGGTTAGATAAAGTTAGGTCAGGTCAGATTGGGTCAGGTTAAGATAGATTATATCAGATTAGGTTAGGTTGGGTTAAGTCAAGTTAGATTAGGTCAGGTTTGGTTAAGTTCGGTTTGGTTAGGTCAATTTGGGTCATGTCAGATTAGGTTAGGTCAGGTTTGGTTAAGTTAAGTTAGGTCAGGTTAGATCCGGGTCAAGGTAATAACGAGTCATCAATATAATAGATCCCATACTCCAGGTACTGTAGCGATCATTAACAAATATGACTGGGATGATATTGTGGAAACCAGATACAACCGGCCTGGAGAAGGTCCAGTTGACACCACCACCGCCGTCTTCCCTCCTCCACCACAAGCCAGCTGGTCTGACTATTTTGGTAAGACCTACTACAGTACATAGTTGTGTCAGGCGTCTTAAATGAAAATTCTGTCATTTCTAATAATTTAAAATGTATTTATATAATTTTCTGTTATTTTCTCTTACTATACAGTATTATACTCATATATCTGTTGTAGTTTAGAGTCTAATACTTGCTGATTCATCGACAGGGTATAGTGTGACGTCAGGCAGGTTTTGGGGAGATAAAGATTCCACAGTGGCAGGGGCGCCCAGGACCGACCACACTGGCAGGGTAAGTGGAATTCGCATCTGTGTTACTCAAGTAGAAACAGAATTTACTTTATATTACTGGTGTTAAATATATATCTAACTTTGCTACTCTTGTAAAAAATAAATCGACGTTCTTTTTAATTTTTTTGACTACTGATGCATATACATTTTTAATACCTGATATAATTCTTATAGTTTATTTTTATTTTTAATAACAATACTGCTGTTAGGTTAAACTTTATGGAGTTCTCACCTGTGTATACCTGTCACTGTTTAATTACTACTTACACACACACACACACACACACACACACACACACACACACACACACACACACACCAGCAGGTTCTCCCCCAGAAACCACTCAACACTACATAACTAGTATTTAGTTGGGTTGGTTTGGTTAGGTTTAGGATAAATCTGTAGGTTAGATTTGGCTAGGCGAGGTTAGGTTTGGTTTAGAGATGCTTGGTTCGTGTTAAAGACAGTCATTAATCATTTAACATCACCATGGCTCCCCCAAGATGGTGCAACAAAACAACTCTCACCAATATATAATTTTTATTTATCATATTCGCCACTTATGAGCTTACTAGCCGTTTGGGTTGTCTATCTTTTTTACTTTTACTTTTATCCTCTTCACCACTGATCGGTTCGTTAGCCGCTTGGGCGGTCGGTCACGTCTCTGTTACGCACTGTTGGCAAGTACTGGGCATGCACCGGCTCCTGAATGTATCTGAACCTGCTCCAGTGTTGGTCAAGTCTTGTCTTGAAAGAGCTCACTCTCAGTGCCGCCACAACACTTTCTGGTAGATTGTTCCAAGAGTTCACAACTCTCACTCCGAAAATTTTACCCCTCACAGTTATCCGGACCTGCGGCTTCTTTAACCTAGAGCTGCGACCCCTTGTGGGGCGAGTGTCCGCCAGCTCCAGGTAAGGACACTCGACTGAGTAGTGCACCTTGAAATGCTGGTACTCCTCAATCAGATCTCCCCAGTATTAGTACAGGAGGAAACCGGGTACCGGGAAACCTGTGGTGTTTGGTAGTGAGGGTCACACTGGATAATACCCTTCTCACGTGTGTGCGGGCCAAGGCTCTAACCCTTGACATATTGGTGAGAGTTATGCACGTTATCGCTGAACCACTAACACAAACACATTTAAAGGTATACATCTTCAAGACGTTAAACGGCTTTGTGAATATGGAGTGGGTGGGCGCCGGGCAGCAGCTAGGGGGAGGCTACGGGATGACGGTAGCAGCTGGGGACGTGACGGGTGATGGTTGGAGTGAACTCTTTGTTGGTGCGCCTTTATACGTTCCCAGGATGATTACGTCAGGTGTGTTATCATTTTATTTCCTGAACTTGTCAATTTAACTTCAATTCTTAGGGTCGACTCTAGTTCAAGTAAATAATCGCTATTTTCTAGTTCAATTTAATAAACAATGCTATTTTTTATTTCAAATTATGTGTAAGTTCTAATTTCTAATTAGCCTTAGAGAAAAACACTTAAGTTTCTCATATAAAGTTATTACTAAGCGGCAACATTTTCTGTTAAGTCAATAAATACAAAAAACGGCTAAATAATTGGAGTGATAACTATACTAAAAATGTCACTGACTAAGTTAATGTGATTTTTATGTTGCAGAAGGTAATTTAGAGGTGCCGGAAGCTGGTGAAGTTGTGGTGTATGGACGTAGAGGCTCCAGCAACCTCCAAATTGTGGCTACACTACTGGGGGAACCTTTATCACCAGGAGCGAGGTTCGGTTCCGCTATTTCCGTCATTGGTGACTTGGATCAAGATGGATTCCAAGGTAAGATCAAGAATGTCAGTTTGTTCATTCTTTTTCAACGATGTAAGTTCCGGGTCTTAATTCTTGGCCGGTGTTTGAGGACAGAAGACAGTGACCAACCGAAGATAATCCTGACGTAACTTAATTAAGCTTAACGAAAATAACTACAAAATATTGTGAGAAAGTTAGGTTAGGTACAGTAGGTAAAGGTTGGTTCATGTCGTCTGCCACCATCGATGGAATTAGTGAGAACCTTATTGGTTTATATAGCAGAGGACGTCCTGACACCCGTGTTAACCTCCCTGACTCTAAGACTGTCACTCACCTGGCAGATGTTGCTGTGGGAGCTCCCTTTGAAGATGGAGGTCGAGGAGCTGTGTACGTCTTCCGAGGAGGTCCTCAAGGCCTCGTGACGAAGCCCTCCCAGAAGATCTTTGCCAGGGACATCCACCACAGTCTACAGGGGTTCGGTGTTGCCTTCTCAAGGGGCGTGGATGTAGACCATAATGGCTATCTGGGTAAGACAGAGAGAGAGAGAGAGAGATTTTCACCTTGTCGAACCCTTTCCAACTTAGCACAAGGAGGTTGAAATCAATAATAAATAAACACTCATTCTTAATTTATTCATTCAGTCATCCTCAGAAAACACCTGCTGTACCTCTGTCACATTACGCTACGTACAGTCTAATCGTTCCACTTCCAGATGTGGGTGTGGGGGCTTATGCAGGGCGTGGAGGCGCGGTGGTGCTCCGGTCACGAAGCGTGGTTCATGTAACAGCCCGCGTGACAAGTGACACAAGCGTGGTGACCGAACCAGGATCAACCTTCACCGTGACACTCTGTTTACTGTTTACTGGTGCTAATGTACAGCTGACGACAAGTATGTGTTTACTGCTTACTGTTTTGTTGCTAATGTACTACAGTCGGGGTCCAAAATTTGCTCCCTCCTAAAATGAAAGCTCAACATCGACTCCAAATGAGATGAAACAGTCAGGTTAAGTCAGTTCAGAGACTCGTTCCGGTGACTCATTTTCACCACAGGGAGCGAACTTTTGTCCCCGACTGTACAGCTAACAAGTATATGTTGAATGTTTATTGGTGATTCTGTGCAGCTCTTACTAGATTGTGTTGGTTATTTACAGGTTCTAATGTACAGTTGACAATAAGGATGAGTTTATGGGTGAGAGGTAATTTACTATTAAATAATATAGCTGTAGACACATTATTTATTAATATTTAGCCTCTTTTTACTACAAAAACACTGCAATTACAGGATCATTTCTGGGGTTCAGAATTGGCAAGACGCTGGTTAGATGTGTGTGTGTGTGTGTGTGTGTGTGTAAAGAAGGCGTTTACACTCCGTCTATGGGCCCAAAAAGAATGATTGTCAGTTATGAACTCCTGAACACACACACACACTCCAAAACCAGCATCTTGCCAATTCTTAATCCCAAAAATGAATTTGTAACTGCCTTTTGTAGTAAAGATTATCTGGCATAAATAAATTACAAGTTTCTCTAAATCACTAACCTTCTTTTCCCCCACACAGCGATGAAGGTAGATGGAGGTATTGACGAGGGTCAGATGAGCCATCAAGCAATCTTCTTGATCTCTGGAACGAGTCAGGTCACGTCAGAAATCACTCTGAGGAAGGATGCTGACACGTGTAGTGCTTTTCCCATAAAACTGAAGGTAAGGAGAGAGAGAGAGAGAGAGACTTAATCTACTAACAATATATCACCTGACCTACCTATTGAAAACATATGACCTAACATGACCTACCTATCACCCCGCAGGAAAAACAGAAGGGAATTGATCAATCTGTGGCCATCACCTTCCACTTTAACTCTGCCGACTTTGACCCAGGTAAGATCAGGTCATATTTACATTATATAACATGTACACCCCCCCCCCAGTCGTCCCAGCTGTGAATGGGTACCTAACTTTAAAATTGGGGATGTGAAGGCGGTCGATTGCAGTACCGGCCACACTGCCTCCTTGTGTACCACGGCTTAATAGTCAGTGTGTTGTAGCACATATGGGAAATAGAAGTAAAATGCTAACTGTTATGATATTCCAAGACTTTCATAGTATTAGTTAATTATTATATATTTTTTAGACACTAGATGGTGCCAGAAGTGTGCAGTGTTGGCACCAGGTTCATCTACGAGTGCCAAACTATCAGTACCACTCGCCCTGGGGTGTGGCACTGACGGCATCTGCTCTCCTACCTTGGCACTACAAGCTGACTGGACCTCTGGACTGTAAGATGTTGCTCTTGTGATTTATGTGACTGTTTTAAACTGTTGGTGGCTGTTAGCATAAATATTAGAAAGTAATTAAATGTGCTAGTATACCTATTAACCAATGACTAACTGGGTTTCCTAATAGCAGTATAAAAAGTAACTAATTGTGTTAATTATTTATCACCATAACATAGTTTTAATTAAGGCATAAACCAAATGACAGTAATAATTAAGGTACTTGTATTTTAAACCAGGTGTAGTAACAATGATAATTAAGGTGTAAGGTATAATGAATATACTGTATATACCAGGTAACAATACTGATTAAGTAAACAAACTCTTACCCACCTGCAGAAACAAAGGAAAATACATTATTGGAAGCGACCTGCCACTCACACTTCTCATCCACGTGAAAGTGACGAAGGAACCGGCTTACCTAGGGTGGCTACAGGTCGTTCTTCCGCCTGGGTTATCCCCCAAGAACCTTCCTTACACCTGCACCATCACTACACCCCATCTGCTGGCCTGTACACTCACCAGTCCGCTATACCCGGGAGAGGTGAGAGGAATCACCCGAACTGAATCGCAAAATCATGACATTCAAGTCTATCAATATATTTTAGAAGAGATTATTTTTAAGTCTTTATTGTGAAGTGTAATGTGTTGTGGCAGGATGTTTTTATCAGTTGTTATCTTTAGTCCGTTTCCGCTCTCTTGTTGAGGGAGGGGGGGATACAGGAACGTCAGAGAAAGTGGGAAAATACTAATTCTGTAAGACAAGTGTAAAATGTGACAGGAGGAATGTGTTAATAACTACACATAGTTCTTAATACACTGTACTGATATACTCAGTAAACAAAGTGTAGAAAGTGACAGGGAATGTTAAGACATGAGGTTTATATATCCTCGCCTAGTAGTTCCTCTCTCCATGTAGAAAGTGCTGTGGCAACATGTAGAATTATCCACATTCCTTGTTTATATCCTCAACTTATAGACATAAAACTTTACACTGATTTGTAAACATTTAGATAATTATTTAGTAACGTCTGTCATCCGTGATTACACTAAAATACCTGTGCCTCACTAGCTAGTCTTTCTCTTCATTCCAGTTGCTGTGAGGTCTAGTTGATGTAGCCAGTTAACATGTTATTATCATTGTAGGAGGTGGTGGAGGTGGTGTTACAAGAGGATGGTAGCCTTGGAGGGGATAGAGTTGATGAGGAGGTTGAGGTGGTGGTGACGGCCGGGGCATCAGGGGCCGACTCTCTCACCACCACAGCTCACCTCACCTTACTGCCTGATGTTCGTCTTGCTCTCACTGGGTTTGTATACCAGGATTCTTTAGCTTTAAGGATTTGATACCAGGGAATTAGAGTTCTGTATTGTTTATTCTTATGTGTTACTCGTAGTGGTACATAAATTGAAAATCTAAGAGAAATTTTATGTTTAAACCTTGACCTCTTATGACTTTCTTCACAGGTACACTGATGTAGAGTACCTGTACTACAACCCGGCCAGCCCCGCCCCTCACGTCACAGTTGATGTTTTCTTCCAGGTCAGGTCACAGCTGATGTTTTCTCCCAAGTCAGGTCACAGGCTAACTTGGGGTCCTAGGTGAGGTCACAGCCTAACTTGGGGTCCCGAGTTAGGTCACATCCTAACTTGGGGTTCCATAGCAAGTTTTATTCTAACTTGGGGCCCCAGGTCAGATCAAACCCTAATTTGGGGGCCCAGGTCAGGTCAAACCCTAATTTGCGGGCCCAGGTCAGGTCATATGATGATGTTATTGTTGACACTGATATTGTTATAACATAACAAGACAACATTATTGTCTTGTCACATTTACTGTCACACCTTTATGTCACTCATGTAACACACTACCATACTGACAGGCAGAGAACAACGGGGTGACAAGTGTTACAGAGGTGACTGTGGAGATGCTGGTACCTCTGGCTTACATTCCACCATCAGAAGAAGCGAATATCACCTTTGGGATCATCAAAAATTTTTTGGTAAAGTTATGATACAAATGATCAATGTTTGTGTTTTGACCGTACGATAACTTCTCCTTTGATGTATGATAAAATCTTCTTTGATGCACGATAACTTTTAATTTACGATAATCTCTTCCTTAATCTACTAAAATTCTTCCTTAAATTACAATAACTTCATCTAGAATGTTTGAAAACTAATTTGATTTACAATAATTAAGAACTCATGAAATTCCTACAATAACAGGATCCTACATAATTATCGAGATTTACAATAATATCCTACATAAACGATAATTAACGGGTTCCTACCATAACATCATCCTAAATATAAAGTAATCACCATCCTATTATCATCCTAGGTGACCCCAGCAGCAGGAGTCAATCTGTGTCGTGTGGAGAGCTCTGAGGTGGTTATGGGCGGCGTTGCTGTGGGTGGTGGAATAGGATCACCGCCCACCGATATGACGCTGAAGGTGACCTGTGGTATGCCGGGGGTCGTGTGTGGCCGTGTGTCGTGTGGTCTGGGGCACTTATACGAAGCTCCAAAGATTAGCCTCCAAACTGATTATAATCTTACTTCACTCGTGGGTAAGTCTTTGTCTGTCTCTACTGATTAATACCATTCCTAATTATCTACCACACCAACCACTACTATTAACCAACCACAACTAATCATTTAACTATCAGCCAGGTATGGAGGTAACGCGTCAGTCACTCTCCACACCTGGGCTAATGTCACTACCCCTCCCACCTACACTACCAGGTAAGTACTGTGGAGCGTCTTTGGGATATTGATATTATTTATTATTATTATTATTTATTATTATTATTATTATTATTATTATTATTATTATTATTATTATTATTATTATTATTATTATTATTATTATTATTATTATTAGTGCAGGTGTGTGGGTGAACGTAGTACCGAAAGGCTGGCATCCTCCCGCTCCCCCACCCAAGGAGGCCCCCTTCTGGGTGTACTTCGTGGGCGTGGCTGTGGGCCTCACTATCATGATCATCATTGTCATCATACTCTTGAAGGTGAGAAACAGAATGAAGATGATAAAAATAACGCAATGCTGAGTGTAAATGTATATGAAAATGAATATTAAGTCAATGAAAATAAGTAGCAGTTGGTGAAAAGGACTTAGGGTGAATGTGAAGAAAAGTTAGAGAAGAAATGAGAGTTATAAAGCTATAATAACGGGGTGAAAAAGACAAAGTTAGGGTGAAAATGACTTAGGTTAAGGTGAAAATGATACAAAGTTACGTTAATGTAGGTAACTGTAAACAATAACATAACTGAGGCTGTTTACTTCTGTCTTTCTTAGTGTTTTGTCTGTCTATCTGTCCATCATTTAATTGGCTACTCTCTCTGTCTCTCATTTACTGTCACTGTCCCTCCTGTCTCACTCATTCCTTCTCATCCTCCACTCCCTCACAGGTTGGGTTCTTCCGTCGTCGGAGACCTCAAGCGGAGGACGACTCACCATCTCCAAGTATTCACGACGTGGAGAACTCCATTAGCGGAGACCCTGACCCAGAGAACCTCGAAATGGCTCAAAATCCCGACGAAGACCTGGATGAACCATTAACCCGAAGAGAAAATACCCCACATGACGCAGACGATGAAAATAGTGTTGAACCAGTGGAACAGTCTCTCTTATCTGGCCAGTGTGTTGCCCCTGACACTATGTAATGTCCAGGTACACTCGTAGATACCTTGTACAAATATTTTAGTCCTAGTCTTGGTTCTCAAATTTAGCAAACAAAATAACAAACAGTATTAGATGTAGTTTGTAGAATAATTTCCTATATCCTTGTAGTAATAATTATATACTTGAGAATTATGTAGGTGTATGATGGTTTGATATTTTAACATATATAATTACTCATATTTTCTACAGCGTTCACTAACTGTAATCTCACGGTTACATGCCTGACATTGCCAAGCGTTCCGGGGATATCTGTCGCAATTGTACATCAAAACACATTAGTTCTAGATGCTGGTATAATTGATAAAGGAATAATATTGGAACATGACAGAACTGAACATATTCTGTATTAAATTGTGTTTATTAAAAGAAATAAATTATTATATATATATATATATATATATATATATATATATATATATATATATATATATATATATATATATATATATATATATATATATATAAGACTTGACCATCAAGGAATATGTTCAGAGAAACGTAACTTTGGATTTATGAGTTTATTTAATGACCTAATACCGTGAGAATAATTAAGTGGTGAACAAAACACAAAATAATTTTAATAGTTTTCATTAATTATTACATACATTTAATTCTTGATGCGTGTATTGTCATTGTTCCTATTGTGACTTCTCTCTGTGTAAATATTTTCCAGAAGTTTTAGGGACAGAAACGTGTAAATAATAATAAAAATTCTTAAAGGCCTGGTAAAACAACCTTCAATTGTCTACAGCAGCCAGAGTTGTCTATTGTTTTATGTCGATTTCATGTTCAATCATAATCTATAAAATTAGTTTTCCATCACTTAAGCTTTAATCCAATCTGAATACTGGCGTTAAATGGAGAAACATCCTCTTGGTTCTGTTAACAAGACAACAACGAACACATCAGAGGTGAACATCCAGACACAACATTAAGATATGAACAAGAATCTCTCGAAGTGTAGCACAGACTATGAGCTTATGTACTGGATATTATTATGATGCAGGACTCAGAGACAATGTGCAGCGAACATACAAGTTGAAACAATTCTTTTGCTGACATTACTGATGAAAATGTAATTATAAATTCATCATCACTGCAGTAGATACACGGTAGATAGTTTATGATATAGATAACAGTAATTTATTATCTCTTAGTAGAATTAACACAGCATTTCATAGGGTCGTTGTCTGTTTGTTTGTAGAGGGAGTAAAGACGGAGGTGTTTTTGTTTTTAATTCCTCAAAGGCGCGAGTCAAGTCAGTGGGTGGTGCAGTGACGCTTGATGATATCCTAGTTAGTGCCTTTCATCTTCCCGCCAAAACACAGCTCACACAGGAATATGCAGCAGGAGACGGCCACGCCCCCAGTCCACACATAGAAGACACCCAGAAGCTGTGAGAAAATACATCACCATCAACACAGTGGGGACTCGATCTCATACAGTAACACACAGAGTCCAACTTCACGGATATTGGTACTTGACAGCTACAGTCAGTCTACCACGACCCAAATTAATGCTAGCTTAAATGTGTCTTTATGTCTCAAAATTGACCCACCAACCTGGATGAAACCTAAGACTTGGCGTCCAGTTTGTCCCACTTACCTGATTGAGAGTCATGGCAGCAGGTTCAGAGGAAGTTGTTTTTTCCCGATGACACTTCACTCCAAATGAATCTTCGTAATATTTGTGAATGACTCCCATTTGGCGCATCCACCTCAACCTACGGATAAAAATAGCCCCAGTTGAGTGTTACAGCGGCATCGTTTTCTGTGGAAAGTTAATTCAAGCTGCTGACACTTACCAGTGACCACCGTAATACAGTATCTTCACCAAGTCAGGCATCAACGACCTATAGTTAACGCTGAAAATCTACTAGTTGGTTTTACTAATAGCTTTGGCCAATAAATCAAATAATCTCTAACGGACAAGGCTGCTTCTTATGCCCAAGGGATTGCATAAATAGAATCTTGGTGTTTCACTATGTTTCTAACTACCTTTGTGTGTGTCTAACTACCCTTGTATGTGTCTAAATACCCTTGTATGTGTCTAACTATGTATCTATTTTTGTCTAACTAACTACCAATGTATGTCAACAGTAACTCTTAGTGTTAACGTCTCGATGCAGTGTAGAGTAGCTAAGAAGCAAATCAGTAAATTATGAACACTCAATTGTTCAGGAGCAGGAAAAAATGAAGTGTGGAATCAATATCATACAACGTACTGTAAGGAAAAAGTAAGTTTAGAAAATTCCTTAAAAAACCCGTAGAAATTTTCTTTAACAGGACGATAATGCAGTTGAAACTAAAATAGACAATGACATAGTTGATAAAATAACTTGATTACTATTGGTGACGAGGCAGCGGTGAGGGTGATGAATATAACAGCATGACGTGGAGTAAATAAGGGAGCGAGTTGATGGTGAAAATAATATAAACTTATTACTTACTTGTTGTCAAATATCGGTTTAAGGAGTGACCTTTTAGGGACAGCGAGAGCGGCGTACTCCTTGGCCATGGCTTCTTGACTGGAGGCGAGAATGCACCTCTTGTCTGGCCCCTGGTTGACGTTCATCATGTAGTACGCGCCAGTTACTCCCACTGAAGAGGTTACAGTACGGATAACTTGACAAAGATTCTCTCTCTCTCTCTCATAAAACTGATACATTCTACTACATTCACTACTGTAGACGGGCAACATTATACATTCACCATAGTAGACGAGCAACATTCAACTTACTGACAATGGCGATATCCATCTGCAGGAGTTCATCAAGATTGGTCTTACTGGTGCTGGTGGCTCCTACGTTCTCCAGGATGGTTCCCCGTTCCTCGGCTCGCCTGTACAGTGTCTGGTAGTCCCCAGTCTTCGTCCCCTTAGCAATAATAACCAGATAAAGGGTGACGTTCCTTATGTGGCTTTGGTCTTGATGATCTTGGTACAGTTTGGGGTATTATTATCGTTTCGGTCATGCAGCGAATTTAGGTTTAGGTTAGTTTACGTCAGGTTTAGGCTAAGTTAGGTTTGTTTGGGTTAGTTTACATCGGGTTTAGGTTAAGTTAGGTTAGTTTAGGTTACGTTACGTTGAAATTATGTTTTTTCTGATAATTTTTTATGTGTTTTAAATGAGTCTGATCTTCGGAAAATATATGCATGATGTTAATAATAGGTACTGTTAACAGTTCAATGGCGAGATCCATGTAATGCTGACCACTACCGTTGTTGAGGCTTTGTCCAGCTCCTGTTGAAGATGGTCCAGTGAATAATCTCCTGATGACGAGCCTTAACGAGATCATGGCTCCCGTAGGCTTTGTCCAGCTTAATGGTCCAGTCCCTGATGACGAGCTGACGGATGGTGGTGGGCGGCATACTCAACACAGGCAGGGAGAGGAAGGCCGTAAGATTGCCGCTGTACACCCCGAACACAATGATCACCACCATCCACATACACACATACACCAACCGCCCAGTTGAGCTCCGCGGCGGATGACACGACCCTGCAACAACCAGTGGGTCAGGTCAGGTCAGGTCAGGTCAGTAATGGTTTGTTGAATAAGTATTGAGGCCGTCAGTTAATCTGCAACATATTGAGAAGCTAAATCTATATTTTAGTTGTAAAATGTAAAATCAAATTGATCATGTTGCATACAAAATTCTGATGTCAGTTTGTATATGAATCTTATAGATGACATATTTTATAATGAAAAACTGTTCACAAGCTTATAAACCACCCACATAATATATACATGTGTGTGTGTGTGTAGACCAGAAGATACCAAACTACGTAATTCGATGGTTGATGATGGTCAGCCACCACTAAACTGTAACTACTGTGTGCCGGACACCAAACACTTGTATTGTGAGAGTTAGTTACCTTCCTGGGAACTCTGTACTTTACCTTGGAAGACGATAGCCTTCAGAATAGTAGTCAGCACGGAGAAAAAGGATACCGTCTCATCTTCCATATGTTGTCTGTTTTCATATTGTGAGGACAGTGTTTCCTCTCCTTGGCCTTGTGAGACACTTGGGCATAACCTGTATCCACTGGAGGGCCCACACGACCAGAAGAGCCACAAAAACGAGGCTGAGAATATAAGGAACGCTGCGATTGCACTCCAGGCCTGGACGATAAGAGACAGGATGGATCTCCTCAGCATTACAGAGGTTCGTAGTAAGTGTTGTAGGTTAAGTGCCTTTATAGTGTTGGTTCACCGAATGAATAAAAATACTTCATATTTTTTTCATTGGTATTAGATGTTGCATTGATTTTATTTATATATGGTATAACAATCATATGGTGAAATTTAGAAGAAGTTGACAATAATTTGGGGAATTATTAATCTATTTGTGAGTATATGAAATGGTTAGGTTATTGTTATGAAGGAACTGGCGAGGAACGAAACCTACCTGCCAGGTGTAAAGCTTAAACACACCCAGAGGATCCTTGAGGTACCTGGGTCCCCTCGTCAGGAACAGCGTTGGGTGGTACTCCAGCCACGAGGTGTAGTCTATGGCCTGGTAACGGTTGTAGTTGATGCTGAGCGAGGCGAGGCCTAAGTCTCCCTCCTGTTAATCAACCCGATCATAACGCAATAAGAATTACTGCTGGAAGACAAGTAATATTTTCTGTGTGTGTTTATGTTACGTTCATGTACAATACGTGTTAAAACCGGGTTATGTGCAGGTAATATCTCTGAGGTGTTCTTACTATGAAGGCGTGAGACTGTTAATGATACGGCTGCAATTGTTTAACATTAGTTTTATAACATCTTATTGTCTATAATTTTCCTCAGACAACTTTATTTCGTTCAAAAACATCCAACGAATTTATTTTTTTTTCATTCTAATAAATTCAGTAGTTTTTGTTTGTAGATAATTAGGTTGAATTTTGTTGCATAAAAATCAATTGGTTTCTTTATTCATTTGTACTGTTGCTTTAAGTTATGCATGGGAGCTATTCATTTACATGTATTGAATGCATAAGAATCTCAAATTACCATTTTTATGTCACATACACAAAATTCCTTCACGTTTTTAAAGTAAAATAGTTACTGCACCATCTAGTCTGGTACACAACACAGTCCCTGAGAGGAATAAACTTACCTTTCTTTCAATGTGTCCAACAACGCCATCATATGAGCCATTGATGGTCTTAGAGCCGAAGCTGGAACCGTCCATAATGATGAAACGAAAACCTAGACTCGTGGCCAGAGCATTGACCACTTTACCGAGGTAACCCACCAGAAACTGTCCCTGGGGCCCCACACGTACTGCCTCGATGAAGTTCTGTACCAAGAGAATGACTTATTAATATCAAAAGAGATAAATGCCTAATGTGTTGAAGATGATAACGACATGGAACCGATAACCTGGATAAAATAATATTAAAATTAAGATCAAAACAGAATCGAATTTTTGTAAAGATTTAAAATGAACTGAGATGAAACACAGCACAATTTCGATGACAACTCACATGTCCTCAAGAGTTGTAATAATAAATGAGGACAGAGAACGATTATAAACAGGACATCTCCAATCAGGTCAGGTCAGGTCATGTTGGTGGAGTATAAATTAGACAGGTACGTATTGTCCAGCATCCTGACCCTGACCTAAGTGTAGTAACAGGTCACATTAATGAGTCTTGTACATCATGTTTAAGGATAAGATTATTTGTTTTATGATTTAATGGCGTATGTTCATTAATCCTAACGCCCAATATCTATACCACTTTTCTAAATAAATAAATAAATAAATGGCATTCTTGACTCTTAACAGGATGGTGGTGCATGGAGTCAACAGGTGGGGAGGAGCTTACCTTCACGATGACCACCGTAATGACAGCGCCGTGCAGTGTATCTACGGCAAGTAAGAGAGAATCATGAAGCACCAGGCCGCGATTGTTACTGTACCAACAACCCGCCGTCTGTTGAAAATGGTGTTCGATAGCGATATATATTTTTTCTTAGTAATATCAATACAAGCTTACATTAGTTTAGCATATAGATACCTAGTGAAGATATACAAGGAATGGTAAAAAATGGAGTTCAAAACTTAGCTGCACACACACACACACACACACACACACACACACACACACACACACACACCTTAAGCGTGTAGGTCCCGCCAGGCAGCAGACGAGCTTGCTTTACCGGGGCTAAGCACGAGCCTCTGTCAGTCTCCGATGATTTTCCCAGAGATGGTGCTGGAAGATGCCACTCCAGCACGAGAAGTTTAGCAGCAAGACGTAAATGTGGCACCAATGACTTTTCAGGTATGCTGCCAGACGTAGGGTGTAACAGAAGTATATTGTTCTGTTGAATTTAAAATATAATACCAACAATACTATACAATGGTAATTTCCTTCAGACAATGTTGATGAAAATTTTCCATTCATTATAAAATATAATAATTAATTATTACTGCATTTGAATAAGCTGTTATTATTTAAAGATGTAATTACTACAATCAATCAATCGACGAGACGGGTGACAGAGACTTACTGGACTAAGGAGCATTTTTTGGTTCATCTGAAAAATAAGATGATGGAGTTAAGTCAATTTACTATATAATCTAATATTCGATCTCGTGAGTAATAATGTTAGTTAAATCAGGTAAATCAGAGCAGGTATTAGTGACCCAGGCCCTATTCTTGGTCACTGTGTCAACTTGGATCATAAGGGCCATGCTAAACCCAGGCCACACTACCACATCAACACTCACTAGTATGGCCACATGGGTGACCCAGGCCACGTCTCCCATCAGGAGGACGGCAGCTCTCCCCATTGCCTCTAGAACTTCAGCTATTTTCTCTGGTATTTTCACTGTCATGCTCTCATCGGTGACCTTGTTACGTTGTAGCAAGACACCTTCAACGCCCCCGTCAGCAGTAACAGGGCGGTGACGTGTTGAGTTCTCCACCATGTGTCCTGAGTTGGAAGAGGAAATTAAGTTCTTCGCTGACTAGCTACTCATTGTGCAAAAATTTTTCGAAAATGAAAAGTAACAAAATTTTATAAAACGTCAAAGGTTACCGACACGAAGCAGACGATAATCGAAACTGAAAAGAATAAAAATATATGAAGAAATTTAAATAATTAAAAACATTTCGATGAGAATTTTTTAATATGGGAAGAAAATTTTGTTTACCGTCTCGGGGTGTGAGCCAGGAGGAGAAGGAGCGGGAGTTGTTTGTGTCGTGGGCTGAGTTACAGGTGCGGTAGGTCGGGAGGCTGGACACACTGGTCAGTATGCCACGAGTCCACAGGGAACGGATCATCATTTCTTGAGCTGTTTCATTACGAATCTGATATAGCATAAGAATATCTTGAGATCGTTTAGGGAAAATATATATTCATTTCTTATCTTCAAATTTTACTTTTTCTGATTTCACTTAGCATTTTTGGGATCAATAATAAGTCTTTTTACAATCCTGATTAAATTACTCTTACGTTCTTAATTAATTTCAGTTTAAGCGATTGAAAGGAACACTTCTTATTAAAAAAAAACACCTTAATTTGTTTTAGTATACCTGTGTGATGGAGGGCAGGTGTTAACAGGTGATCACTGGGGATAAGAAGCAACACCTGGCGTACCCCCAGAGCCTCCACCACTGTTCTAATCATGTGTCCAGGCGTCGCTACAAAAGGAAAATATTTACCATAAAGTAAGAGGCTGTGTGTTTGCTAGTGCATATTCAGGTATAATTTACTGGTCACTGAAAAACAAATCATCATAAGTGTTTCAATTTGGTCCCATATCTTTTGGCATGTAATGGAGTGAGGGGAAATCAGAAACGACTGTCAAACTTAATCTATCTCAGATGAAACGTCAAAAGTGTTGTTGTATCTTATACGAATGTCGGGCATTTGTTCCCCTCGGCACAACCAAGACCACTGACGGCGGTAACACGGCTGGGGAACATTGTCGCAGCGGCCACCAGCATTACTGGATTGCCGTACGGAGGCTATTGACTAACACCATCACTATCAATATGGACCAGGACTTACCAGATACAACATAAGACTCCATTAAGTAAACGAAGAGCAGGATCTTTTGATACCTCATGTTGACCAAGTTGTTCCTCCCTGACTGATCACATGGCCACTGTCACTACGCACTAAATCAGCGTCATGCACAGCGCCACCTGGACGGTCATCGTACATGTACTTGAATCAATAAGTGGAGAAAGATGATGAATACTGTCGTTAAATCACTGTCACCTAAGTTATACCGTGGACATCTGGTCTTTATGTCAGGTAGTCTGTATTAATTATTATATATTACCCACTACTTTTTACTTCGATGATTGTTGAAGAATGTCAGTCTGGTTATAACATGTAATCTTAACTCTGAGTTTTTATATTTACAATTATCAAGATAATCATGGGTATAATCTTGTGAAATGTCATAATGGATTTTTTCTTCTAAATACATAATAAAAATAATGTAATAGTTTCATGAAGATCACGCCAGCAGAGTCAGAGAGAGAGTTATAGCTTAATGTTTACCTCCTAAACCCTAAACAAATCAACTATCACTGGAAGGAACAGTTTTTCCAGCAAATTCATATTCACTAAATTATTACAATACAATACCAGAATTTTATCTTCATCATCTTGATAAGAGTAATTTTCAAACCTAGTAACACTATATAATTATTCAAGGATTTGGTACCCGACGGAATTACTCTCCTCAATATTTTCAGCTATCAGGAATCACAGCCGCGAGCTTGATCACTCCTTGCTGGTGGACTCCACATTCACTCTCCAGATCGTCCGCGTCAGTCGAGCTAAGACATGGTGGCTCTGTGTAGCATCGACCCTCCGCAGTCCTCACGAAGGCAGACAAACCAACAATCACCTGAAATGAAAAAGTCAGTTGAACGTCTGTTATTAGAATGGTAGGTTGCTGTACCCTTGTATTTAATTTAGCTTGATTGTGTATTCTTATAATTAATTGATGCTAGTTATTATTATTTCTTTATTTAACTTTGCTATTAAACCAGCCCAGATAAGTGAAGAGGGAACAGGAACTAAACACACACACACACACACACACGGTCCTCTTCCGTTCATAGCACCAGGGCAGACCAAACAACACGAAATTTAATGTATAATTCCGTTAATGACAAGAATAATTAATCGTTATCAACAGGATCATCAGTTTAGAGTGTTATGTAAGAGATTCTGTAGAGGTATAATAGTCATACAAGAACCAAGACAGCAGAAGGGTGTGCCACTCGCCCCTCTGGTAGTGGTAGCGTCTTCCCTTTACTCTTGGGGAGACAATTATGTTTATATTTAGCCAAGGCTCCGTGCGGCGTATTTTACAGCTTAAGATATTATACATTAAACGAACACATACATTACCTACACAATTTTCGCTTATTTTTTTTTACGTTTTAAACACTTTTTTTGGTTAATGTGGATAACAAACATGAACTTATAATTTATGTCATCTTTCAAGATATTCCGAAACATCAACATTTTGACAATTTAGTGAGAAAATTTATTGGATGTGCACTTCTTATTGGAATAATATTACAGTGTGTGTGTGTGTGTGTGTGTGTGTGTGTCAAAAGATTAATGTGATATTGGACGTGTTACCAGAAAAAAAATATATTAATTTTATCAGAGTAATGACAATAATATTTTCAGGGAAGGAGTAGATCGTATAACAATTCTAACCTAATAAGTTAATTGCAATGAGTGACATTTAAAGTTAAAACAAAAGATTTATTTGTTTTTACCTCTTCGTCCAGGGTTAAAAAGGTCTTATCACTCTCGCTGTGTCTGTCTGAGTGTGAGTATCTATCTTATATGTGACTGATTATACATTTGTCGTTTAACTGAAGTATACATTGTAAACCTCAATTCCGACTTCTGACCACCAAGACAGAATCGCCCAACTTTGATTCTGAAATGGAAAAACCAACAGCCTTATGTAACAGTGATCTTGAATTTATGGATTCAATAGTAATTCCCTTATGTCTTAAAACAATCAAGTCCACCAAGATGTATTCTATGGCACTAATGGAATAGAATGAGGCAATTTTAAACTGTACATACATCTTTAGTGCGGTTGTTCTTTACGTTATATTTACACTTTGTAGCGCGGCTGACAGAGGTGTTTGGGTTCAGTCTTGGTAGAGGGTGACGGATGGCAGGTGATAGATTGACGGATGGTCTTTACCTATCGGGGCTGGCATTAAGTTTGTGGATGACGACTAATGTTCACCCACCATGCACTAATGTTGTTTAGGAGGTGACGGCTGATATTCATCCTTCTTCGTTGATGTTGAAGGTGGCGGGTGACAACTAAAAGTTCATCCAACATCCATCTACCATTGATGTTAACGCAAGTCTCCGTTGATGCCCGTTAATCCGTTATGATGGTGATGTTTCTGCGGTGTAGTAACGAGTGGCGGACTAAACCACGTAATTCTGGGAAAAAAGGAAAAAGAACTAGAAATAAAATTCGTCTTCCAACACTGAACTGAGAGAACACTGTAGTTGTGAGTTGCCAGCCAGCAGTGAGCAGTGTGCGTGTGTCAGTGCGAGGTGTAGTTCGTCCCTAGTGACTCGGGACGCCTGTTTATCACCTCCTACGTCAGGGGGAGATATGTATAATTTCTCTTGAAATACTGACATCGCACAGTCTATACCAGAGGAATTGTATAACAGTTGGTAGGTCTGAATATAAAGTAATCGATTGTGACTATTCATATATATTTCTGTCGAAACTAAATTACGTATTTTAACAAGATATTAGTCACTATGGCAAAATCAAATATTTAACCCATTGAGTGGGTTAAATCGTCTGTCATTACCCAGAATAAAATACTCGTACCTACTGTAAGTGCAACACGACTCCCGAAAGGGTTACTGTCATTACTACTACTGAGCAGTCAATGAAGATTGGACAATATTAGTGGTATCAAACCTTCGCCATTTTGGCTTATCCATTTAGAAAAAAAACCATTTTGTTGTTACTATGGCCTCCAGCAAGTTCCAATATATGTTTGGTGTATTTTCTTCACGGGACAAGTAATCTTACGGCTCCGGTGTCCTGAAGGTCAGCTGGGTCCCCTGCTGTTATACACAGACAACAGGAATGGATCGCCGTCCTGTTTGGTTGATTCGGTTGTCGGAGATACGAGGGGAAAATATATTATTGGGGTCTATAGTTATTTTATTTTAACAACTGTTGAGTAAATTTATGTGCTCAGTCAGACATATTATTAGAAAATAGTTGTTTTTAATGATAAATTTAGTTAATATTTAATCATATATGCAGCCGAATAGATTAGTTGTACGTCAGCCTGTGAGCCTTTATTACAGCAGCAAGATAAGCTGGAGATAATATGTATAATATAATATAATGCGAATCTTTTCACAACAACGTTTATTTTAGCCATCCATTAGTAGTCAACCTGTCGCTTGTGTACATAAGACGAGTGGGGCGAGGACGGTGCCAGGAGCGTCATGGCCCCGGGCTGTGGCGGTGAAAACAGTGACCGCCTCACCACACCTCACCACACCACACCACGGAAGTCATGGTTTCCGGCAGAAGCCCCAGCCGCTTCGAATACTCTTGTCATCCAATCGTTTACTTTCGTGAAGAGTCAGTCAATATTAACCACATTAACTGTACACGTTATGTACAGTTTAAAATGCTGACCGATGCTTACTGACACGGTGACAAGAATCTCCAATCATATTAGCATGCTACTTACTCCTGTGGAACACTAGTCGGTTATAAATGTGCCTTATTACGAACCCACTACAGCATTACAAACAAGCGTTGTTCTGTGATCTTTTTATGTATGGAATCTGTCGTAAACACACACACACACACACACACACACACACACATACATATACTTGCATATATAGACAGGTAATTCCTTCCGTTTATCAATACTTTAGTTACCTGCCCGTATAGTCAGACTGTGTTAACAGACGATTAGTTTATATTCAGCGTGATAGTGAGGCACAGAGGGTGTTATAAAAAGTCTTAGCAGTCAGCATGTTACCAGGATTTTAAAGTAATTACTAGTGGAGTCTTAAGATTTTATTGTATAGATAAGTGTCATATCAACTGCCACGATGGGGAGAGGATGATAGGAAAGTGTCCATTGTTTCTGTACCTTGAGTGAAGCTTTCCATAACCTTCCAGACCTATGGAGAGTTTCACTCGACCATCGTGACAGAGTGTGACATGCGACCATCGTGACGGAGTGGAAAGTTAGTTTTCACTTGTGGTAAAGCGAGAAGCGAGCCGGAAATTCCTGGCGTACTTTGACGTAGAATAACTGTACTGTAATTACTGCTTGGGTTTACAGCACCTGGACATGGGTGTGTTGTATCCATTAGCATATTGATAGTGGATGGTATTGTACATTGAGATTGTTGACTATGTAATGACTGTGTGTGTGTGTGTGTGTATGTGTGTGTGTGTGTGTGTGTGTGTGTGTGTGTGTGTGTGTGTGTGTGTGTGTGTGTGTGTGTGTGTGTGTGTGTGTGTGTGTGTTTTACCCCTCTAAAGGTCTTAAAACATCACAAAGACCCAGTAGAGTTGGGTAAGTAGTAAGGTCTACAATATCTGGGTAATGTATTCAAACGACGTAGTGTAGTTATTAGTTTGATCATTACACATAGGCCTATAGCTCCAAGAGTGGCCACTAATAGACCTATTATAATTCTTGTGGTATAACAGTTGTGACTTAATGCTTCTTACTCATTATATATACCGTTGTGTTAAAGCTCTACATTAACGTATTTCAGCTAAACATTCTTACAATGATTATTAATTAACCCTTCATTGCCATCATGTTTACAATGTTTTGTTTGTGTTGGGGAAGTCTAGGAGGTTCATTGTATATATAGTACCGGCCAAAGTGTCTTCTTGTGTACCCAAGTCTCAGTGTGCTGCTGCTGCACTTCCCTCACCTGGCCATCAAGCCTATGAGACTCACCCTCACCTTTCGCAATTAAATTAGTCTAGAAAAAATATCGTATTTGCAGGCCAGAAGATCGTAGTGCTGCAACGTAGGTGATGGCCCAACACGGCGCCAGCAGCGTGAAGCAGGAGAGCCAGGGGGCCACTGACGCCGAGAGTGTGAGGCTGAAAGAGGACGCAGCACGTTCAGCCAACTGGAAACGCTGGGGTCCCTACCTGAGTGAGCGTCAGTGGGGCACCGTAAGGGAGGACTACTCACCTGACGGAGACTGGTAAGTGGCTTTAACCTAACCTAACCTGATGTCTGTTCAGTCACACACACAAGTTCCTTTACACGGTAGTCAGTCTCAAATATCCTGCCAATACAAGTTTGTTTATATTCCAGTGTGTTAAGATACATTTTCTCCTAAACCCAATAATATAATTTTAATGAGGACAGTGGTGGCACTTCACTTAAAGAAGAAAACTTATTCCCTGACAAACGTCTATGGCTCCCGTTTACTTCGATTTTCTTTCTATTAAGCCGTCGATAACGTGGAGAGTGTAAGGTTAGGCATCTAGTCACAGCTGAGTAGGAGTGCCCCGGGATCGAACCAATGACACTTAGAACAAGAGGCGTGGGCCGGACCTTTTAAATTCTTAAAACCAAACAACGCAAATCAGAATCATTAATTTTTGTCCTGTATGAACAATACCGTTTGTACGAGTCTGAAATGGAACAACAACAACAAGGCAGATCTGATGAGCATTGACTCACAGGGGATCCTTCTACGTAATATTGATCCATGAAGCAAACTTTCGCCTTATACTCTGTGCAGTTGGTCGTACTTACCTCACGACGCGGCCAGATCACGGGCGTACCGCTGGGGGGAGGACGGGTTGGCGGGTGTGTGTGACCGCCAGGCGCGTCTCTGTCTCAGCCTCGCCCTCTGGAACACCCGGGACCCCATCCTTAAGGAACGTCTCTTCGGTCTCACTGGGCCTCAGGTGAGCAAGTCAGTGCCGTGGTCAACAGGGGTGAGGGACACAAAGAGATAATCACATATTTTATCCATTGAATATAATGAATTAGCTCATAAGTGTAGTCATTTTACCCAAGGGAATTATGTCATCGTATTTTAAGAGTTAAAACATCGTCCTCAAGGGATTAATTCATTATAATCAAGGTTAAGTTTTAAGATGTCTTGCTCAATGGTCTACTTCATTAAACCTAACCTAACCTAACCTAACCTAACCTAGCCTAACCTAACCTAACCTAGCCTAACCTAACCTAACCTAACCTATATGATGTGTCTGTGCAGGGTAACCACGGGGAGGACGTGAAGGAACTGTACTACTACCTGGACTCCTCACCCACGCACTCCTACATGCGGTTCCTCTATAAGTATCCTCAGCAGCCCTACCCGTACCAAGACCTCGAGCACACCAACGCTCAGAGGACCATTCACCAGCCTGAGTATGAACTGGAGGATACAGGTAGGGGGAGGGAGAGAGAGAGAGAGAGAGAGAGAGAGAGAGAGAGAGAGTGTTGACATTATCTTAAGAATGAGATAATATTTAACTCATCCTGAAAGAAATATAATTAGGTATAAATATTCCCTAGTTTATTATGATAGATATAATACTCTCTCTCTCTCTCTCTCTCTCTCTCTCTCTCTCTACTCATTGGAGATAACACTTCCATGTCTTTTTGGTTCTGTATTTATTCTTTTTTACTCCGTGTGTTTGTCTTTATCATCGTGGTATCTTGACCTGCTAACGTGTGTGTGTCCCCGGTAGGAGCCCTTGATACTGGGTATTGGGACGTGACGGTGGATTACGCCAAAGCCTCCCCCAATAACCTGCTCATGGAAGTGAATGTAACCAACAGAGGGCCCAGTCAAGACACCATCCACGTCCTACCTACGTTATGGCAAGTTCTCATCATGTTATGGTAGTATTTGTCCACGCTGTGATATGTTCTCTCCACGCTACAGTAGTTCTATCTTGCTACGGCAGACGAAAGTTACAGACAACTACATAATATAACGCTGCCTCACCTGGATGACGTTTTAAAAATCACTTACTCGTTCGCTATCAACACTTTGGTCGATAGTTGCTGTTCTACTTACTTGTTACACGTTTCTAGAAGGAAATATATCTCACATTGCTGGATAAAACAAAACAAAATGCCTCATAATACGGGATAAAAAGAGGGTTATAGACAGTAGATAAGGAGACAGGGAATTGTTCTCATAACCCCACGAGAGACACAGGCTGCCAGGACGGACAGTTGTTCATTTACCCCAGTGTGTGTGTGTCAGTCACTCCAACACTGTGTGGCTCCAACCCTACACTTGGTGGGATGAAGGTTTATCGTTCACCAAAAAAAGTTAACAGGAACATCTTGATTCTAAAAGCCCGGTAAAAGTAATTCTTTAATATGTACTGTGCTATAGATTAATAACCGGCACGTAAGGCATGCTCCGGGTTACGGAAGGTATGTGTCCTTGAAAATTTGTCTGTAACGTCAAATTCCATAATGCGAAACCAATTTTCCCATTGACTTCCATTATGTAATTGGAGATGCGTTCCCAAGGAAATATTTTGGGCATAAAGACGTAATACAAGCACGTGTCGTCATGCCTATGGGACCCACTTTCACCTTTATCTGGTACTGACCCAACGAGGGGCTTAGAGAGGAGTGAGTGAGGTAACAAGGAAGAAGGTATTTGTATTTGTCAGCTGGGTTAGTTTACCTTGATTTATCTGATGGTGGTCGAGGTGACGGCTGTCATTCGTTCGTTAGTTTTCTTCATATTAACAGCACCAAGCACACACACACACACACACACACACACACACACACACACACACACACACACACACACACTGTTCCTCCCAAGGCTGTATGTACAGTATGACTTACACTAACACGAGACAAACATTCTCGGCCGTCGGACACACTACACCAGGGTCTAGGTTCAGAGGCTCTTAATTATTTCACTAAAACTAAAGTATAAAATTAACGTCAATTTGAAGTAAATAGGTTCACTTAGAAGACAGAATTATGACAGAATCTTTTCAGTTTCTGTGTTAAAGTAGAATATCAGTCAAATTTTTACGTTAAGTTTAGATATCATGTTTCTCATCTAAATCAACTCGTAATTATTTTCACATAATCAGTTGCGTAAATTTATCATAAAATCCTTTGAAAATCTGATGGTCGATAATTGATCTGAGTGATTTACGACTTTTGGCTCGGCGTTGGCCTTCGGGGGATGAGAGTGCGGGAAGACAGCAGACCCGGGATGAGTCGACATTGTAACTGGTGATGTGTGAAGGTCACTTTGGCCTGGAGAAATTCATATGAACATTTCTGTAAGTGACTGGCAGCGTTGGGGAAGGAATCTGTTGTCCTAATCCAGGGGTTTTCAAACTATGGGTCCCGACTCTTCAGTGGGTCGCGAAATAAATAAATTGGGTCGCAAAATAAAAATGGATCGCGAAAATAAATAAGAAAAAAAAAATAAATGCACCATAATTTAGGCTTGGTTATTGTAATGTACACTCCACAGTCTAGGAAGCGACTGCAAGGAGAGCATTTCCTGATTCTTTCTTTACCTCTCATGTCAGTGTTTGTCTTTGATTTACTCATTTCATATCATTACACTTAGGTTTAATGGGTCGCAATTCAAATTGTTGTTCTGGCTGTGGGTCGCAGTATAAAAAAGTTTGAAAAACACTGTCCTAATCTCCTCTTGTTTATAACACTGATAGCCTTTGCATGCGTGTGTGTGTCACTTTATTATTCTTGTTCTAAGGCGAGGTATATGTGTGTGTGTGACAGGTACCGCAACACTTGGGTGTGGGGGTGTAGTCACGAGGGCTGCGGTCTCAAACCCAAGCTGGAGGCTGTGGGTGTGGACAGCAAGAGCGGCGTCAGCATGGTACGCGGGCGGCACGAGTCCTTGGGCGAGTATACATGGGCGCTGGACCAGGTAGGTGATGGACCGTGGAGGCTTGAAGTCCCCTATCCTGGCCTGTAATCTATCCCACCCCTTACCCTGGCCTGTAATCTACCCCACCCCTTACCCAGGCCTGTAATATTCCCCACCCTCTACCTTGGCCTGTACACCCAATCACATTAAGTGTTGGACACATTCACCTGTTCACTTTAACGCTCCTGTAGTATCCAATAGCTAATATTCTTACCTGCTTGTTGTTAGTCTCTAAGGTTTGTGGACGACTGGATACAGCGGTGACTGGTTCGTTCTCATGACACACTTTGCTGAAATTTTTATGTCATGTATCATGTCGGCCAGTTAGGTGCATCACAAAATCTTCAGTTGTAAAGATAATTCATCCGAGGAAGTACTCAGTGTACCTTGGTGTGTCCACAGAGTGTGACGGAGGCAGCTCTTCTCTTCACCGAGAACGAGACCAACTCTCAGCTTCTGTTTGGTGCAGACAACAACACACAGTACGTCAAGGATGCCTTCCACCGCTATGTCGTCAACGGTGGGTGTAGGTGTGACTGTGGGTGTACTGTAGGTGTGACTGTGGGTGTACTGTAGGTGTGACTGTGGGTGTAGGTGTGACTGTGGGACTGTGGGTCTGTGGGATGTAAGTGTGACTGGGTGTAGGTGTGGCTGTGGGTGTAACTGTGGGTGTACTGGTGTGACTGTGGGACTGTGTAGGCTGTGGGTGTAGGTGTGACTGTGGGTCTAGGTGTGACTGTGGGATGTAAGTGTGACTGGGTGTAGGTGTGGCTGTGGGAGTGGGTGTGGCTGTAGGTGTGGTTGTGGGTGTAGCCGCGATATAACGTGAATAAGGACATAGCCGTGGCTGATTATAGCATGGTCAATTGGCCATCACGAAACAAAATGTTGTTTACTCGGCAGTACTGTAATATACTGTAATTTACTCCTCTTAAGGTAGGGCAGGGATAGAAAGGTGCACCCGGTACTATCACACACACACCACTAGCTCTCCTGGAACCCTGACAGTGTTGGTAATGTCTCACAATATTGTTCTTACAGGTGAGACATCTGCCGTAAACCCCAAGGGGCGAGGTACCAAGGTGTGTGGCCACTACGTCGTCACTCTGTCCCCAGGAGCTTCCACCACTATCAGGACGAGGCTGTGGCAGGCAGACGAGCCCCCAGCCTCTCTATCCAGCGGTAAGCCTCACCTGCTGCAGGAAAAGCAGGTCTTCAGCCAAGCCTTCACCAGCATCATGCAGCGCAGGAAGGAAGAGACTGATGCCTTCTACAATCAGGTGTGTTTCCTCATGATCTTCAACAACTAATTTAACAGTTTAATTTATGAAGTGTTCGTTAATTAAATTTTTCTATGGATTTTGTCTGCTAAGTTAATGTTTAAGCAATAAAATATCTCATTAGCTTTTGCTTAATTTATAAAGCGGTTGGTATAGATATTTAGACGAGTCAAATCCTAAAGGTGAATTTTTTATGTATTCAAAGTACAACAACATCAGGGAGGAGGAGGAGGAGGATTATTCCCCATGTTTTTTTTTTGACACACTGTGCAGACATGGTTCGTAAAATTAGAGACATAACTAATAAAAATAAATCACACACCCTCCGAGAACATACTGTGGCACAAGAATCCGGTCTAACAGCGGCTCATTTCGAGAAGTAAACTTAAAAACTGTTGATTCTAAGTTCGAGAATCTATCCAAAATAGGGGCCTTGGGAAAGGTGATCTGGCCAAACGACTCCCTTCTTTATAACACAGACCTAGTGTGGCCAATATTCGGCGCGCCTCCCCTCCACCACACCACACCACCCTGTTATTTATGTTCACAAGATACACCAGACTGTGAAGTAACCTCCTTGATCCTCGGCAGCATGTGTTAAGTCCTAAGCTGAGTGTGGAGGAGCGACTGGTGGCGAGGCAGGCGCTGGCTGGACTGCTCTGGAGTAAACAGTTCTACCACTACATCGTAAAGGACTGGCTAGGCGGCGACCGGTGAGTCACTCAATAAATAGTAACATAAGCACATTGGGGTTTGGTATGAATATATATTTTGTTCATATTTTAAAACTTGATTCAAAAGGTTTATGATGTGTGACCAGTAATTTGTACTGATCATCAGATATGTATTATAGCACCTTCACCTCTGGCTGTAAACAGAGACCAAGCACACAACATAACCGTCCAGAGTCTTGTTCTTGGAGACAGAGTTCGTCCTCCACTCTAGTTCTCTCTTTACAGTCAGTCACTGGCTGAGTGAAGTTAAATATGGTTCAGTAGAGCGTCCAGATATTCTTCATCATGTTCCTTCGTGACAGACTTGCAGTGTGGCAGTGGACCTCCTCAGGGTCCAGTACTTGTTGATGAAAATACTTTATCTTTGTACTGTATTGGTATAAATCTCAACCCTCTCTGGTATTAAACCTCAAATGTTTCTTTCCAAACGTTACATCTCTCAGTTGTTATGGACATACTCGTGCTGCAACAGTCCATTCATTTTAATGTTACTACAAACAAACAGCGTTAAGAGATTTGGCTCTTTTAATAGAGTATCACATTTAAGATAGACCTAGAATTACTTAAGAAAAATTCACACAAGCGTTACTCAACCTTGAAAACCAGATCTTCATTCTCTTATTTTATTGGAAATTTATGTCTTACGCCTGTCTGGTTACCAAGGATTCATACTATCAACGACACTGCTTCAGGTACCAACCACCACCGCCTGAGTCACGGCTGAAGGGGAGGAACGGTGAGTGGGGTCACCTGTACAACCGTGACGTGGTCTCTATGCCAGACAAGTGGGAGTACCCCTGGGTAAGTTGCTGACACCTCACAACATTCTACATACATTACGCTTTGATTTACTACAAGTACACAAGAGATATTGTTACCAGTCGCCTTTGTTTATTAATATAGAGCGATACTTAACACAACTTCCATAACAACACACACACACACACCACTTCCAGTTCCCAGGCCATACATCTAAGATTCTCCTTTAAGTTCTCAAGGTGTTATCTAAGTTATTACATCATTGCTATTATTAAATGTTCTTTGTTTTATAGTGAATCACAATACTGTATATGCCACATATTTATATATGAGTATCGATTTATAATATAAGCATATACTTTATGAGTACTTGTATATGGATACTGACACATTATACATACGTACAGGGTATTTGTTACGGGACACATCAATTATATTTGAATATTGATATGAGTATACATGAGTATTTATTATAGTATGTATGATTATGTAAAGCTAGATAATACTTCATAAATATATATGTATTTGTTACAGGATACATGAGTATTCGTGATAGTAATACATGGCAAAAATATACATGAATGTTAACATGTATGAATAAGTACTACCCTGTGTATGTAATAGGAGTTGATGTAAACAAGTGTGTGTGTGTGTGTGTGTGTGTGTGTGTGTAAGGGGGCTGTGTGAAGGATAATATAACCTTGTACTGTATGTGTGTGTGTGTGTTACAGTATGCGTCTTGGGACTTGGCCTTCCACATGGTAGCTTTGGCCTTGGTGGATCAGGACTTCGCCAAGAATCAGCTGATGATGTTCCTGAGGGAGTGGTACATGCACCCGAATGGACAGATCCCAGGTACAGTATAGGTGTCAAGCTAGGGAAGGTAACCCATGATATATTTACAGGGTAGTAGTAAAATTAATTAGATATCTGAGGGATTTGGGCGTTTTAGAGTTAAATATTTAGTAATCTTGTTTTCATATAGCGCCTAAAATTCTCCTGTTCTCTTTTTTATAGGGAGTAATGGGGTAAGATATAGTAGGTGATACTGTTTTCTTTGTTGGTATACTGTGTGGGGACCTATACTGATCTCGGCCACCTGTAGGTAATGGCAGGAGTTCGGACGTTTTAGACTTAGATTTGAGTCGTGTCAGTAGGTTGATTCACAAGACGCATGAGTTGGTAGACTCTTAAGATCCCTGTAATGACTCCCAGTGGTGTGGCTATTTACTCTCTGCGTTCTATAACTCATTAACCTTTATCACATGTGCTTACTCACTCACTCACTGTCCCTAGTCACTCACTCCCTAAATATTCACAGCGTACGAGTTTGCATTGGGAGACGTCAACCCACCTGTGCACGCCTGGGCTGTAATGAACGTGTACCGCGGCAGTGCCCGACGTGGCCACAGGGACGACGCCTTCCTGGCCAGGGCCTTTCATAAGCTCTCCCTCAACTTCACCTGGTAAGTCACCCTTCAGCTGTTGAGTCCTCTTCAAGTGGTGATTCTCTTTCCATTTGGCGAGATAAGATTAGTGATTCTTAGGTCATTTCGGCTCTATTTCTGGACATTTCGGCGCCATTATTCCAATAACTGTGTGTGTGTGTGTTGCAGGTGGGTGAACAGGAAGGACCCCGACGGCAGGAACCTCTTCGGCGGAGGGTTCCTCGGGCTGGACAACATTGGTGTGTTTGACAGGTCACGGCCCCTCCCAGTGGCCGGCCAGTTGGAGCAGGTACTGTCATTCAGAGCTTTGTGACAGCTGAGCGAGTGACATGGAGAGAGAGAAGGGGAGGGGGCGACTCACCGAGGTTCATAATGACTATGTCACTATAAAGTCTCAGAAGACATCAATTACATAGTTATTAATATTCTCATACAATCCAGCAATTTAAGTATAAAAAACGTTAGAGTTACAACTTTATTATTTCTAGTTATATCAATTTATAATCTTAAGTTTTATTGGTATAAGAAATATCACGTGTAAAAGCCAATTTATATGTCTGTGTGGTTGAGAAGGTATTACTATCTTCTGCCTGATGTAAGGATTGCGTGTGTCGTTACAGTGAGCGCGCGTGCAAGAAGTAAATCTGATTACTTAGTACGTTCTCTGCATTGATTATGAGGTGTTGTGACGTGTGTGTTACGTCCCGTTTGTGAAGTTGTCCTCTTCATGAACTAGATAGTCATTTTAACCAGTTTATGAAATGGGTTTCTAATCTAACACCTTGCTATATAGAAAGACGGATGTATATATTATACATCTATCCGGAGGTAAATATTAAGATAGATATAGATTCTCATACATACATACAAACATACATAGAAGCTAAGAGCACAGGACATTGCGTGCATGAAGCTGTAAAACCACTGGGCAGTAAAGGTCAGTGATAGAGTTATGGGTCCTCCACCAGGCAGACGGCACGGCGTGGATGGCCTTCTTCTGCGTGGTGATGCTGGACATGGCGCTCACGCTGGCTGAGAAAGATCCCGTCTACGAGGACATGGCCTCTAAGTACTTCGAGCACTTTATTCTCATAGTAGATGCCATTAATTCATCGGGTCAGGGCCGCGGCCTCTGGGACGACGAGGACGGCTTCTACTACGACTACATCAGGAAGGAGGACGGGAGCTCCATGCCCCTCAAGGTGTGTAAACCGCTATTGATTGTTGACTTTAAGCGTAATGACTAGAGACAAATTATCTTAGATCAAGGCGACCTGTTTGTTTCCCAAATACACCAAATTGCCAATCAGAGTATTGTAAATATGTTGAAGAGGTGATAGCGTGCTGGGTCCTGTAAGTTCCTGCTGTAACTAGTGTAATTTGTTACGCTGGGATGACTTAGCGAGGATTTTAAACGTCCATTCATGACATTGAAGATAAAGGGGGATGGTTATAAACATAGTAAAGGTTGGAGCGGAAAAAGAAATCCCTGCTCTGATATAAGACTTGAATAACCACCGTCCCTTAGCTACGGTAGGTCTGGTGGGGGGTCCGACCTGCCTCCGTCTGTAAACAAACCAGGTTTTTGTCCACTCCATTTTATATTTACGTCATAGTGTAAATATAATTTCTCTAACCGACCAAGGTTCCTCCACTTACCGAACTTTATATCCTCATTTTTTTTTACTGTCACATTATTTTTTACACTACCAAATACGTTATGATGTATTTGTCTCTAAAGATGAACATTAAGACTAAAATATTTTATTGATTTGTTTTATCAGATTGAGTTGTACAGTGTCAGCTATGATTAGGGAAGTGTAGATGGTAGAGTACAAAGCTATATGATGTGTCTCCTTGTGTACCAAATACGAGATATTTTTAGTATTTCTCATCCACACCGTCACAAAGAAACAGATCTATAGCTATGGGAGCCATTTAAGTGAATTGTGTTGTTGTGTTGTGCAGATACGGTCGCTGGTAGGTCTGGCGCCCATGTTCGCGGTGTTGGTGCTGGTGAGGGAGGAGATGCTCTCACTCCCTGGTTTCTACAAGAGGGCGCAGTGGCTCATCAAAAACAGACCTGACCTCGCCTCCAGGGTATGTTTCTTCAGACCCCTTCTTTAGTTTCCAGACCCCTTCACGAGTTCCAGACCCCTTCACTAATTTCCAGACCCCTTCACTAGTTTCCAGACCCCTTCACTAGTTTCCAGACCCCTTCACTAGTTTCCAGACCCCTTCACTAGTTTCCAGACCCCTTCACTAGTTTCCAGACCCCTTCACTAGTTTCCAGCCCCTTTCCTCTCATCCAGCCCCTTTACCTTCACGAACTACCAACACCTTCATTAACTAACTGATATCCAATGTATCAGTTCAGTTGTAGGTTGAGAAGAGATATTCGTGCACCATTTAGGGAAACGTTCATATTATTATTATTTAAACTTATTGAACACAGAACAAACATATTTCTTATAGAATAAATCACCACTAAAAACTTAAACATCTAAATAATATTCTGGCCTGGTTCAAGTACAGCAATGCTCCTTATCTATATTTGGTAAACGGGATCTGTGACTTTGCTGGGACCTACATTCTATCATGGTATAGAGGTATTAACAGTTGTCGTGAGAAGTTGTTATCTCTCTTCATTCAATAAAGTATATTTGTCACACATTTCATATATTTCTAAACGTTGCTGTTATTTACTGAGTTTTCCCTATATTAAAGTTTTAAGTATTTAGTTTATTATGGGACTATACAAGCTATGTACAAGGGGGTGACGACCTAAAAGCATCACCATTAAGCCACTGTATTTACCCTAAAATACTGTATATCAGGAACATATTGACGGTTCCTCAGTCGTCCTATCATAGTGAGAGTTATGATCCTCCCAGGGCTCCTGAGAACTATTGTATGTTGACAACCAGAGAATTAAACATAACATGACGCCCTGGGTATACCTGCTGATCACGTGAGAGGAATACCGAAGTAACAACACTCACGATACCTCTTCCTTACACTAACTTGACCTACAGGTAACCTTCATGAGCGAGGGCGGGTCGGACAAGATGCTACTGGCCATGCCCACGAAGGACCAGCTGCTCCGCCTTCTGAATTACCTCTTGGATGAGAAGGAGTTCCTCTCACCATATGGCATCAGGTCTCTCTCCAAGGTCCACGAGGTAGGTAGACCCGCCAGAGCTTGTAGGACAGAAGGAGTTTGACCGAGGCGGAGAAGAGAAGTCACGCCGGTAATAGAAGGGTTGTCAGGTGCTCCAGGTATATTAGTCCCTCATTTACCTGTACACCTGGATTGTCTATGCATGGTTGGAGTTAAAAAGGTAAGACGTTGATAATGATGTAATAATAACTAGTGTCATTCAGTCCACTTGATACATTTTTATCTCCTTAATAATCCTCTCACGTCTAATCACTATAACTTATGTCCTACATCTCTGTTTGTTATGACCAAATACATATGACTTCCTCCTCTCCCTTCCTTCCACCACGCCCCCTTGAAGATGTCATTGATTATATATAAGTTTATTTTGTCTCTCTAATTACCGTAAGCGATCAAAGCAACTTCCTCAACCCTTCCAATAATTTCCCTTACCTTTCTAAACAGAGATTCACCATTACAACTGCCCTGCTTTACAATATCCTTACTTAGATTTTGACACACATACATCCTCCTCCCTTACCCCGCAGGAGTCTCCCTTCGTGCTGGAGATCGAAGGAAAGAAGCATGAGGTGTCCTACGTGCCGGGGGAGTCCAACACACACCTCTTCGGCGGGAACTCCAACTGGCGAGGTCCAATTTGGTTTCCCATGAACTTTCTCATCATCACATCACTCAAGAGGTTAGTGTCTCCCCCTGGGTGTAGTGTCCTCTGGTGTAGCATCACCCCTGCGTGTAGTGTCTCCCCTGGGTGTAGTGTGATTAAATATACAGTACAGTAGGCCAAAGTCCTACACTGACTTACACCATTATATACCGATACTACTGTAGCTATTACAGTCCATAGGTACTGTATAACAGTACAGTATAACTAAGGTTTGCCTACAGGTACCACTTCTTCTACGGGGAGGATCTGAAGGTGCAGTGCCCTACGGGGTCAGGGAACTTGCTGACGCTGGAGGAAGTGTCAGTGTTCCTCGCCCGACGACTCGTGTCCCTCTTCCTCCCGGGTCCAGACGGCGCCAGGCCCTGCCACGGTAAGTCGTGCCTGAATTATGTCCAACCCCTGACTATCCCCTCTTAAACCATCGTCGTCAAAGGGTTAAGCCGTGCCACTGACTACTGTATATCACTAGTTCTTGTAGTAAGGCGGTGCATTTATGTGTTGTCAGGTCTTGTTGTTTGCAAAAGTGAACATCATTAATTTACTACAAAAATTTATCTTAGCATCAAATTCCCCAAACGTATTTACAAACCTGTAAATTACGGTGCCTCTCTCGTTGCTCATAAAGTGGACCACGGAAGGTACAGGTGGTGGTGAGTCAAGACGAGGAGAGTCTTGACAAAACTTAATCTCTCGTTCATCCACAGCAGAATATACTTGTACGATAGCTAGAACGAGTGTCAAGAGGGTGGTCAGAAGAGATATAAAACGATATAGGAAAGTGCTAGATGAAAGATGTTTCTTGATGTAAGAAAATAAAATCCGTTCAAAGTCCAACACGAAGACCCGGTCGGTGGCAGATCAGCTCCTCAGATAAACACCGGTTCCTCCTTCCTCGCGGTGTCGTGTCTGGACATCAGTCATGGAAATAATCCGCAAATTCAGTAGAAAAAACGTAAAAAAAACCTGTGTTTAGCTTTGTTTCTCTGTAATGTGTTTCAAGAAGAATAAAGGGATGATAAATGGACACTTGTTGTGTCTTATCCGCATTTACCGGAGTTTATAGTTCTATAAGGAAGAATTTCAGGGTTACTTTGGGATATATGCTTACCATTACGTCAGGTTTACGTGTCGAGGGAAATAATTCTGGGAGATTCCGTGAGTCGGTGATGAGCAGTGTGGCGGGTGTATTATTCTCTCTCGTTTTCACATGACGCCACCACGACACCTCAGCCTAAAGAAAGCTTCAATGATCAGGTATTTATTTACACATTATTGTTGAAGGTCACACGCTCAGGCGTATAACGTGAGCCAGTTAATTCGTTGATAGAATTTCTTGAAAACGGGATAAATATATGATCGCAAATATTCTTGTTAATAATTACTTTACGGCGGCCCCGTTTGTGAAATTGCCCAGTTCAGGAGTTGGGCTCAAACCCTAACCTAACTTAATCTAACCTAACCATAGTACAGTAGTAGGCTGTAGTCATGGTGGTGGCGAGGGTTCCCAGATACTCTATATACGGTTCACGTTATTGTCTCGAGAACCTGTTTACTGTTTATTGTTTACTTTGAGCAACTGACGAGAGATAAAACTGATTCACCCTCATCGTGGTCTCATAATCCCTGGGCAGACTTTGGGCAAGATATTTATTACAGAAATTAAAACTTAAAAGTGTCTTGGCAGTAGAATGAACGAGAAACATCGCTATTCAAACATTCCGTGATGCTCTCCAATAACAAGAGACCAGTGTTTGCCTACCCCTTGGTGCATAACGTTAGACCTGGCAGCAGCTCTCGTGTCTCGCTGCAGTTAACACACTAGTTGGTCGCTCTCTCGTTCTAATTTTCCAAGAGATGACCAGTTTAAGGAGCCAGGGGGTGGGTGAGACGCACGGCAAGGCGGTGAGAAATCTGGAACTATGACAACTTACAGGGCTAAAGTTTCCTCCTTGATGATGTTAGGTTATATCAACGCTCTAGTATACCAGGAGTTAAAATTGAGCCTGGTTTGACTTGTTTGGGTAAGGTTATACTCGTATGTTGGATTAGATTAGGTTAGATTAGTCTAAGTTAGTTTAACTTAGCTTTGTCCAGGTTAGGTTAATTTAAGTTTGGTTTAGGATAGAATTTTTTAGGATTGCATTTATCCAAATCAATAATATTCCGATATTATAACCTTACTACGTTACTTGTTATACGTATTTACACACACACACACACACACACACACACACACACACACACTTGCGTTTTGTTGGTTAATAGATTTCCATCGATCATCTGGACAAGGTGTTCACGCATCGTCAGGATTACTGTAGCTGTGAAAACACGGAAATGTACTCTGTGGTCAGCACAGGCAGTCTACAACGTGATGTACACAGAAAGTGTACCATGTAATGTATACATGGGAAATGTACAGTGTAATGTACAAAGGTAGTGTCTCATGTGACACACACGGGAAGTCTACTACCTGATGTATGTAGGAAGAGTACAATGTGATGTTCTGTACACAGGAAGACTACAATGTGATGTACACAGGACGTGTACACTGTGATGTACAAAGTAAGTGTACAATGAACTGGCATTGCATGTTTCACGATAACCAACTGGCATCTTAATCTGTGAAGCTTCCTGGTGGAGTAGAGTGAGGACACGATCATCTGAGTGAGCAGTGTGACTCATCCCGTGGCCAGGATGGGTGAATGTTGCTCCTTTGCTTCTGGTTATTCGCCCTCTCATGTGTGCTATACCTTCTACAGGAGAAAACGACCAGTACCGTGACGACCCAGCCTGGCGTGACCTGGTCCTCTTCCACGAGTTCTTCCACTCTGAGAGCGGCCGTGGGTGTGGCGCCTCTCACCAGACCGGCTGGACGGCTCTTGTGGCTAACTGCCTCAACCTGGCCCTGGGCTACTCCCACTCTGGCCTCACCTGTAACAACACTAAGAAGAACTAGTTCGTACGAGAGAGAGAAAGGGAGGGAAAGACAGAAAGTGAGTGAGGAGGAAGGAGAGAGAGCGAGAGAGAAGAGATCCCACTCATAGGTCTATCCTTAGGTTTACAGAAGAGCATAAAATCATTCGTGAAAAAATATTTTCTTCTCTCATGGTATACGAAACGATGGCACCAGAACTAGCCACATTACGATGGTTTGTCTAGAAGAAAGTGTCATCGTTTTTTACCCGAGACTAATACAGATCCAGTTTCCATGTGATTTGTTTCAGCTTGACAGGACTACACACAGACACCTTCCGTCATCTCCCACAAAACAAAACCAATCAACAATTAAGTTTAATATGATAATGTTCCAGAGATCAAAGTCACAGATAATGAGGGAAAATAAGTTACATTACTTCATGAATGATGTGCTTAGGTATATTTTTGTTACTCACCATTTTCAGTGAACTATATCGTTGTGTCTGCCTCTGTTGTCCATAATTCCTCTTAAGAACTGAGTGAATCAACGACGTTATAATTATGTCTTGTGTGTTCTCAGGGGTGGAAGGGAGGGGGGGGGTCTCATGGACTCTGCCAGAGGAGGTATTATGTCTTGGAAGGTTAAGATAAACAAGTCTGATGACATAAGTCGACGTGGAAAGGCTGGTCGCGTGTCGGCTAGGCTGTGACTTTTTACTGACCTGAGCCAAGGGCGTTGCTCATTCCCCTGACCCGTCCACTACTGGAGAGTGAAAAAATTACTCTTGAACTCCCAGGGGCAGAGGCCTACTTCTACAGACAGCATACAGACCCTACAGCCTGTAATTTGAGAGCGTACACCACACCCCATGATTGGCCGAGAGTCGGTTTGATATATGTAATCCAAATTTGTTTTTAATTAGTCCTGATGTTAGCAGGTAAGGGGTCAGGTGTGTGACAGGTATGGTGGTCAGGTGTGTGGTATGTATGGGGGTCAGGTGTGTGCTGCTGTGGCTGTTGGTCTTAATATTCACGTGAGGGTCATGCTGGTTACCCATCTGGAGGAAGATTTTTATTTTGAAGATATTTCCTGAATTATACACAATATTACTCTTAGGATTAAGGATAATCTTTTACAGGTATATATAATATATTAGTTAGGGTATAGGATTAAGACTACAACTACCATAAATGAATACCTCTCATGCTAGTTGATATTGCAAGTTAACTGCTGTAGTTAACAATAGATTAATTCTTATCTTCCATTATTATCAGTATTTAAGAACCTTTTTTTTTAAATAAATTACATTACACGCAGTTGATCTTTGAATGAATTTTTACCTTTTGGTCACAATTCATAGTTTTATTCCTTTTGTGTATAATGTTCCACCTAGGGGTATTATTTGGTGTTCCTTCTCATCAGTAAAGGTGACGTTCCACTTGTTCTTCTCATCACCAATTTTATTATTCTTTCTATTATTCTCCATCTGTTAACCTATATAGAATTCCATTAAAAAAACTCACTTTTATTACAAATCTGAGGTGTGTTTAGTGAACCAAAGGTGTGGTTACTGAGGCCAAGGTGTGGTCATTTAATCCCGGGTGTGGTCACTGAACCCAAGGTGTGGTCACTGTATTTAGGATGTCCAGATATTGGTGTGATTTGCAAGTGTGCTGTCTTGGGTTTCGATGTTACTAAAGGTCTTGGCGCTGGTGTAGACGTTGTTGTGGAACTGAAGGTATAGCCGTGATGTAGGAGTCGGATTCAGGCGGGAGTCGGATTCAAGTGTATGCACCATATCGTTCTAATCTCAAGTCCGGGACAGAGGAGCGCCAACCGATATAAGCTGAGAAACGATAAACGAGAAGAAAAACAAAATAAAAGTGTGAGAATGATTAGGAGAATCTATCTGGCGATAAAATTCAACTTATTCCTTACATTACCTTCCAAATAGAGCTGTTTTCGATTGCAGTGACATATTAGTTAATTGAATACTGAATAGAGTGTTATCCAACGGGTTAAATCACCAAACTCAAGTGATTAAGTTATTGGCCAGAATGAGATAAGTTATACTCAAGGGATTAACTCAAATTACGATCCTCTCTCACAGGACACGTATGATATTGTGAGGAGATTGTGGTGAGGTAGTAAGAAGGTTTGGTGAGGTAATGAGTTTCTGGTGAGGTGGTGGAGTGGTGAAGAGGTTGTGGTGGAGTGGTGAAGAGGTTGTGGTGGAGTGGTGAAGAAGTTGTGGTGGAGTGGTGAACAGGTTGTGGTGGAGTGGTGAAGACGTTGTGGTGAGATAATGACGAAGTTTTGATGTTGTGGTGAGGAAATTAGGACGTTGTGGTGGAGTAGTTGGGATGCTATGGATGAGTCGAGTTTTAAGGAGTACCTACCACTAGAGGTTGGTGGGAGGGAAGGACCTTGGGTGGCGTGCGTGTAGGACTGTTCAAGACGTTGCATGAAAGCGTCCTTTGGTCCTTCCCGCCTCCCTCGTCCGTCACTCGATGGTGAGGTGGAGGGAAAGGAACTCTTCCTTGATTGAGATGATGTCGAGAGCTGCAATGATAATAGAAATGCTAAATGGAGACACACACACACACACACACACACACACACACACACACACACACACACACACACACACACTATCTACACCTCCACACACACCCCGTCACTTCTACTCTCTCTTCCTCTCACTATTTATGTCAGACGTGACTCAACAGGGGCATGACTTATCTGGGACATAACTTACCTGGGACAAGACTCAATAAAGACATGACTTACCAGGGAAATGACTCACCTGGGCCATGATTCACCAGGGAAATGACTCACCTGGGCCATGATTCACCAGGGAAATGACTCACCTGGGCCATGATTCACCAGGGACATGACCGTGACACAGCCTCCGTGACTCACCTGACAGAGAGTTTGGGTTGCGGCATAGTCGTGTTTCCTGCGCTGTGCCGCCGTTGCCTCTCCTCTCACCACTGATCTCCTGGAAAGAAAGTTTTAAAATATATTCGACCTCTATTGTCTCATTTAGGCAAAAACCTGTTAAAGATGTGATTTATTCTCTGCCCTTTAAAATAATTGACATATATTCGTCAAATTTTGTCTCTACCAGAAAATATGATGATAGTTGTGAATTCAGTGTCTTTCATCCCAGAGTACGACAGTTCTTCTCGGGTGATTTAGGTTTACATACAGCCTCACTGCCAACCGTTTATAAATACGACTGACAAGTATCGTATTCTTTCCCGTACATATTCATCTCAAATTCCGTATTTCTCCCTCAATATAAAGTGTCATCAAAACATCGTAGGTTTTTTTTTTTTTTGGACAGTTTGGTCGCATGATATTGAACGAGTGATCAAGAGAGGACTGAAAACGAGTGATGTTAAAATGTATAGATCAATAGAGTTCTTTTATTTACATATTTGAAGATAGTTTCCAATCGTTTTATCACTATATACGATAAATATTACTTGATACTATTCTTATAACGAAGAGAAAGATCCACCGTTATATAGCAAAATCTTTCTCGCGTCCAACAGTTTGTCATGCAAGTGTCAACCTGAGGTAAATTATATCCGCTGTGCTTGGTTTAATTACATCATAAAACTAATTGCACACAATGTAAATATCTGGACCACATGTTTATTATACCATTAAACATGACATATTTTAGTATTTTATTAAACCATCTATGACGTAAAAAAATTAAGATGAAAGTTAAATCAATAAAGTAACATTTTGTTTATTATTATAATTCAAGAATGCCGACAGAGTTGCGTTCGTGTGAGAATGAAATATGAGAGACCGGGAGGTGTGAGTTCGTTGCTCTAACCCACCACGACCACTACCACCACCAATCATCACCACTCACCATATCAGATCATCTTGCACCGGGTCCTGGGAGAAGATACAATGCCGGGTCTTGGAGTAATTTGGAGTCTTATATTTCTTAGGTTCACACTTGGCACATTGGAGCTTCATCAAGTACTCCTCGATGTCGAATTTGCTTCCCTTCATCGTTCTGGGGGATACAGGAAGAACAGGCACTTCAGGTTTTTATCTTAGGAGTGAGAATAATTACTAGCTGCAATAAAATGAAGGTATGTATAAAGAAAACAAATATAGTAGTCATTTTAGAATTATTTTGATGTTTTTAAGAGGTGAACATTTAGGTCGCCCAACATGATGTGGAAACAGGTGAAGATTGTTGTTTAGCGTTATTTACATTCGTGGCGTTAAATGTGCATTAAACTTTAATTATAATATTCATGAGTAGAAGAATGTGTGTGGGTAATGGTCTTAATGTTTTTTTGTTTTTATGTAATCAGGGGCCTCGACTGCCAGCGTCTTCCAGCACTTTTGTTTCTACTAAAAAAATCAGAAATTGAAAAGCGGCAATATTTCTGACATGTACAAAGGAGGGACCTCAGCATTACAACACACACGAACATTAATTTGCACTCGTCTGTTTGTTACTCATAAGAACCTCGAGATTATCATTCTATAACTAGTATTGGTCGTGAGTCTAATTTATATGATGTAACTTAAATTATATATTATTTTAACATACGCAAGCATGAACACTGCGTGCTTGGGTGCGTGCTTGAATATAATATCGTATAATGTCTCCTTGTTAGCGCGCCACTTTGTTTATAAACATTTGGCCGTTTGGAGTCTGGGAGATACAACACCAACCTCAAATATTTATTACGGACTGTAACTGACCATAATTATAGTGATGGTGCGAGAAATCGAAAACAACGAAGGATATACGCGAGAGCAACTAAGAATTCGACACTTGGCTGCGTTGGATCACACATAAAAATCCTTCGTGTAAAAAATATCAACTCAGGTTAGAAAAAGCAGTTTTGGGTTGAAGAAACACGCAACAAAACAATAACAATGAAAAAATAACGTTGATATACTCACCAAGAATATGATAAAACAGAGTTAAAAACAACGCTACATAACACAAAGAACGTAAAATATATGACAAAAGGTTCGTCTCTTTGTCAGGATAAAAGTCGTCATTAATGTTATCATGAAGAGTAAGAGAATGTATGTTGTGTGGTCTATTAACACCGGAAACATAATACTTCATGTGGGTGAGTACTAGTAACGCAGTCATATTCCCGACGACTTTTAGAAAATACCAGCGTGGCATTAGACCCATTTAAGTGATTGACGTCCTGTATAACAAAATCCCACTCTGTACTAGTCTGTGCTTGGGTCACACTGTCAAAGCACAACCCCACGAGAAAGTTAATAAAACATGCACATAAACGCACCCGAATTGCTAGTCGACACCATAAACCGCGTCAAGCGAACACGACCCGCCTAGTGGTCGCTGCAAGAACAAACCCTTTCCAACCATTGTTAAAATCACCAAAAAATCGTCGGTAACTTGTGTATTCACTCCTTGCCAACCTCACGTTTATAGTGCAACTTGTGCTGAAAATGTTTGTTTAATGAACCTCTTTGTGTATTTATATGTTATGTATGTATCACATCATCGTGTGGCTGCTGTACCTGTCAATAATCCGTTTATTATTATTTATTAACACACACACACACACTAACTACGACCAGTGTCTTAATGTGTACTGTACAGGTAAGATGATCAAACTATCATCATCATTATTACTGTCAACATCAAAATCATCAGCCTAACATGTTCACCACAACCAGTATGACCATTATCATTATAATTATAGTCATACTCACCATCATCGTCACTATATATAAAATGACAAACTCAATAGACTGAAAATATGAAAATAATGTTAAATAATGTCTCCGTGTTGGCATGAGTAGAGAAATTAGCATGGATATAGTGTTATCATATGTTACACATAATTGTCCTGGCAGGTAACTTGTTAACCTCCCCAAGTGTCAGGTGTCGTGACGCGGTACACTCCTGACTGGGTGATGGCGCCTCTGTGTTGTAGGTTTAAACGGTGTCGTGTGATGGTGGTTAAATCTACGATATATGCGATATGATTACTGCTGGAGCCTTTTTGTACCCATCAAAGTAGTAATCATCTTTAAACTTTCAGCCATATTGACCAAATACACGATGGGTTTACTGCTGTAATGTGTAAATGGTTTAGCTATGATATACACGCTGTAATTGCTGCCAATATCGTCTTGGGGAACCATTAACAGCGTGGTGTTGTATCTATTATCAGGGCAGTTGTGACTAACACGTGTAGTTATTATACCTGACAGTGACAACGTCGTGTGGGAGTGTACTGTGGGGAGCAGTAAATTCATAATGGTGCAAAATTCTTGTAATCTCTCGCAAAATTTAATGCTAAATTTAAAAAAGTTTTACATAATTCTTGTAAATATCTCAGTTAATTTACAAATATTGTTTAGTTTCCTTTCTTTATATTATGATCAGTAGCATCTAGTAGATTTCTGTGGCCATCGTTTGCATTTTAATAATATAATTAAAGTTTAGCAACATATTTCAAGAACTTTGTAAACTTATATTATTTCAATGTAAACTTTCTCAAATTGTGTCTATGATGTATTTAAATCTTTCGTGTGGCACACACCATCTTCTTCCCTGCCTTAAATAACCCTTTGGAGATGTCAAAAAACTTACTTGAAGAAGAGAATCAATTTAAAGGTTAAGTCTACCAGTTTGCCAATTATCTTGAAATAAAAATTATATGAAATTTAGAAAAGATGTACTGACGTGGCCACGGTCCTGAGCTCAATAAGACATCAAACACCAGGACGATAAAAGAATATTACTCCCACGTACAAACACTGAGGAATCGTTACCTTGACTTTCATTCCTCCATTGAGCTTCACAAGGTCAAAATTAAATATACATATAAAGTAAAATTGAAAGAAAATGATGTAAATTAATATGTAGATGACGAAAGAGAGAGTAAATAAGATATGACCTTCGTTCTTGGTAGCATGGAATAAACATTGAGAATGACAAACTGTAACCAAGGATTGTATCATGAAAGGGGAGGAAGAAATATACAAACATTAAAACTCTAGATTGGAGAGGAAATTTTCTTTTACACAGATGATGTATTTTTTTTTGTATAATAAAATATAATAATAGGAGAATTGAGGTTAGAATTCGGAAGGTTTCGCTATTCTTCCATAAATTGTAAAAGTTTTGGAAGGTAATTTTAGTCATTTCACACAGTTTGTATCCGATGTTTGTGAAAAATGTCGCAACTTCTCCGTATTTGTCGAAGAAAAGCTCCCAACTTTTTGGTCCAAATGTTCGAACCATGAACCAAGGTGACCTAAAAGCTAGTTTTCTTACTCTTAACTCCAAAATTATGAACCGATCATAATAAGATTTACAGAAGTGATGGAGCTTGAAGACCGAGGTAGACCCGAAATGAATTTTGTTAAAACTAGTAATTACTCGCACTCAGTTATGCGGTTACCAGCAAAGTTTGACCAGTCTACTCTCCATGATTGTGTTCTACCACCACCACCTCCAGAACTACAAGGATTGCGGCATGTGGGTAACTATTGGTTCGAGTCTTGGAAACCCTCATTCCACCCAGCAACCATTGAGGACCTGACTTTACAGTTGGGGAAGTGATGAGGTACATGTGCAGTGTCGGTCATGCTGTCCCTTTGTGACCTACAGCGACACTTTTACTCCTGCGGCGACCTGACAACAACGACCACCATACTCCACTGGCTTCCATACTCCACCACTTCAGTAACTACCATACTCGAATACCATTAGCACAGCGTCCACGACTATTAACCTGACTGAAAATGTTTTTGTTTTCTTTGTCGCACTGAAAGTTTATTCATACGAGGTTTAACACAGCCACACACACACACACAAACTCTCACGTGTCAGGGGAAGTGGCGCCCCCTAGGTGGTCAAGGGCTATTGATGTGTGTGTTAAAATATGTGCGTGACCGAGCTTACACTGGTGCACAAAATCGTAAATGCATTTCTGTAATTTTTGACCAGCATTTCCCCCTTCATCCATAAGCGGTATAAGCCCCGGCGTGAAATTACAAAAATGTACGTAACAAGGAGCTGTGAGTTGATGAAGGAGGGGACTCACACGGCACTACGTATAATAGAGACGGATGTGTGACCTGGTTTACGGCCGTTTTCCCACTTCCCTTTCATTACAGTACAGAGCGTAATGGAGACTGATCTGGCTCACTGAAGGAGGAATAACTATGATCCTTCACCTGGCTGGAGTGAGTGTTGGAGTCCATCTCAAATCACAATGTTGTAAAATGAGAAGTTTGTTGACTCTCTTCTTTTTAAGTTCAGGCATGACAAGACGAAGATAAAATTCGTTACAAGGAGCCAAGTGGTGTAATTATTGTTATGTTTAAAATATTATAATTAAATGACATCTATTGAAATAAGATAATGTATTGTTTATTAGGGGAACTAAAACTATGCTAGTTATCTCAGCATCGCTTTCTGCAAGTCGAGGTTTCACTGTACTGCCTAACAAGTCGATGATTCACTACTGCCTAACAAGTCGATGCTTCACTACTGCCTAACAAGTCGATGCTACACTACTGCCTAACAATTCGAGGCTTCATTGTATCGCCTAACAAGTCGAGGCTTCGCTGTACTGTCTAACAAGTCGAGGCTTCGCTGCACTGCCTAACAAGACAAGGTTTCACTACTGCCTAACTAGACGAGGCTTCACTACTACCTAGCAAGACGAGGCTTCACTGTACTACATAAGTCGAGGCTTCACTGTACTCCAGGTCTCAGTATACGATTTACTCAACATATAGTCATTCTCCAACACAGTTCAGCATTGTTACAAGTAATCATATTAATTAACGAACAGTTGACACCACTCCTGTTGTAAATTAGATTCAAGTAACCTTTTTTTTCTCGATATTTTCCCCAATAATCTCACGTTATGACTTTATATTGTCCAGGATCGCTAACTTGTATTAAGACAGGTTATAGTTCTTTAATTAACATGACTTTAGTGTGACAGAAACTCCGGGATAACTACCCACAAGAAGCAAAACACAGTCAAGGAGACGCATCAACTGTCAGCGTGGCCCCAAGCCGAGGAGGGGCACCGCCTTACTTCCAATCTCCACCACTACGCCCCGAACACTGCCGCGCCTTCTGCTTCTGCTGCCTCGTACGGTTGCCAGACACCTACTTGCTGAAAAAGTCCACCAGTATTGTTCGCTACGATAAACAAACAATAGAATGTGTATCTGATATCAACAAGGGCATTATTTCTAACCCAGACCAAATACTTTATAATGAATTTGGTTTAATTAGGATTAATATATAAGGGATATATTTTTTATATTGTCAGTTATGATACTTAACTCGCCAGGTCTTAATGTAACCTTGATTAAGAACGGAAAAACACATATTATGGGCTACTGGTGTTCATAAGTTGTTTGTCGACTCGTCCTGGGAACACAAACTTACCGACTGTGTAAGCATTAATCGTAGTATTATGTGGCTGGTGTAGTGTAGATGATGGTTTGTTTTTTATCTGTAAATATTGATGCGCCCACGTAAATTCGCGTTCTGGGGGATACACTGCAGTAATCTCTCTCTCTCTCCTTCTCCTCCCTCCCTCCCTCTCTACAACTTCTCAAAGACTAATACCTACAGACTTGCTTTCCTTTCATTCGACATTAATGAGTTAAAGAGAAGTAATTAACCTGAGTGAAAACTCCTGTATCTGTTTACCTGTCTGTGTACCTGTCTACCTGTGTTCACCTGTGTGTACCTATAATAATAATAATAATAATAATAATAATAATAATAATTAACGGTTTATTGAAAGAGCATAGCAGCCAGAAGGCTGAAAATACACAGTTACATAATTGGGGAATGGGCTACGATTTACAAATAATATACAAGTAACATAAGTGACACAATTAAGATCTATAATAACTAGATGGGGAAAAGCTTAAACTGCAGGGCATTTCAACATAGTGACAGTGTAGGGAGCAGTGTTTACTGGGAGTGAATACACTGATTTATTACATGTTATTGATAATTTTTACAATGGTTGGGACTGGGCTGTTCTTATAGCGATCAGTTCGTGCACGTATGGGCTGGATGCGGTTGTGGTGTCGAACAGCAATTCTCGGGCTAGGGATCTCAGGTGGTAGTAGGAGCCGGTGTCGAGGATGGTGTAGAAGCTTCTCACCAAATTTTCAGATGAGGTCGTGGTGATGGTCAGTGAGAGACGTGAGGGTTAGTGTGTTGAGCGCTTCTTGATATGTGGAGTAGGAAGGGGAGAGAATAATCTGTGTGTGTACCTGTGTCTCTTAATTCGTGGGCCTAAGAGAATTTCCTCGCCAAATCGAGAAATCTTTGGGTATATTTACGAACTGAATGAGACAACAGTATGGGTGAGTAGGCCTTCATATGTGTGTGTGTGTGTGTGTGTTCCTCGTGACGGATAAAGTGCTGTATCGATAACCGTTAAGTGAAAATTATCCTTAATAAAATAAAATGAGTGTGTGTTATGTTGTGTTGTGTTGTTATAAATAAATGAAAATGAATCTTGAAAGTTGTACAAGACCCGCTGAGAGCTGTTGATGTTATAAGACTGTGGGCCCTTTCTTGTAGGGTGAGTTCTGGGCTATTGTATTCAGTCTTGTACCAAACATCGAATATCCATGTTAAATTTTTTTCGATCTCGTTGAAGAGATTTTAAGATGTGTTTTGATGGAGTTTTATTGGGGATGAGAAGCCAATCTTGGTGGTCATTTGTTACATTTTAGTGGAGAAGTTTGTCCAATAACCATAAAACTTATTGACATCTTCTAATGTGGTGTTGCTTCCTCCAAAGCTTGGTGTTGGCAGGTTATCGGTGTTTTCTTTGCTTTTCATCTCCAAGTACGAAATCTCTTGGAAGAGTTTTCGGGATACTGTATGAAACCCGGTGTCGGAGTCTGGGGGCCGGAGTAAGACTTACTTGAACAGTGAACCCATAAGTTCACGGTCCCTCGGGGTTCGCATTGGGAAGTGGGCTTTTGTTTTGATCTCTTCTTCTCGCACTTTTGGGAATGTAAGTCTGTATATTTTCAGCCACCGGCTGCAACTCTATTAATAAACCGTTTATTATTATTATTTATTATTATTACACACACACACACAAACACACACACAAACACACACACACACACACACACACACACACACACACACACACACACACACACACACACACACACACACACACACACACTACTCTGGCGTGTGACTCCTTAGGTTTTTGTACCTCTCGCATACACACAGACAGAAAATCGAACACGCTACACAAAAAACTTGAATACACTTACAGTACAGTACAGTACACACACACACACACACACACACACACACACACACACACACACACACACACACACACACACACTACCCACATAATTACACACCTCACGAAATCTTAGAGACAAGGAACAAGGTGTAATAAGTTACTGCCTTAGTATATACAGTTATGTTGTTGGGGCCAATGTGTGGTGACGTGTGTGTGACCTTATTACTGGGGAGTTCTTTGTTCCGGAGGAGGAGTTCTGAAGTAAATTACAGGAATAAAGGGATCATATCAGGAGCTTGGAGTTGGCATGATGTATTTTGGAAACCCTTGTGTGTGTGTGTGTGTGTGTGTGTGTGTGTGTGTGTGTGTGTGTGTGTGTGTGTGTGTGTGTGTGTGTGTGTGTGTTCTTTCTCAAATATGTACTGTAGAGAAATATAAATAAACCAACGCTGCTGAAAATGATCCTCAGATTTTACCGCCACCAGAGAAGCTAGCTGATATTAATCTTCATTGTGTTATAGTGAATGGCGTCCATCAGTGTATGTGGGTGTTAGACAGATAGACTTATTTAGTGAGGAAAATATCCCAACATAAATGTACAACAGATCCACCTCCTCTCAGAATTACTTTACTCAATAACACCTCAATATTTTGTTCTTCCCTCATACTAACACAAGATATCTTTATGCAGACAAAAAGAAATCTTGACTCGTATAAGAGGTGAGACAGGTGTAGGTTAGCCACGCACGTCACACAGGTAAACACACGCTGCTAAAAATATTTGCTGGTAGTGCGATCCTGACACGAGCGAGCGACTGAAGCAGCAACCTTGACAGTGATCCTTCGTGCAAATCCAAGACGAGGCGTAATGATTATTATACTCTGTGTGATTAAATTACTCACGACGAATCAATATGCAGCTTTATGATTCAACCGAGACGCAAAATTCGTTTACCCGCTCTCGAGTTATTTTGGAGACAGAGAGACAGACAGACAGACAGACAGGGCTGACAACAATACTGTACCCTGGCAAGTAGTCGCTGAGGGCAAGGTAATAACAATAGAAGCAAACTTGGTCGACAGGAGGCAAGGGGTGACCCAATTGAGGTGTATAAGCATCTCAAGGGGCACTACTCAGTCGAGTGTCCTTACCTGGAGCTGGCGGACGCTCGCCCCACAAGGGGTCACAGCTCTAGGTTAAAGAAGCCGCAGGTCCGGATAACTGTGAGGGGTAAAATTTTCGGAGTGAGAGTTGTGAACTCTTGGAACAATCTACCAAAAAGTGTTGTGGCGGCACCGAGTGTGAGCTCTTTCAAGACAAGACTTGACCAACACTGGAGCAGGTTCAGGTACATTCAGGAACCGGTGCATGCCTAGTACTTGCCAACAGTGCGTAACAGAGACGTGACCGATCTCCCAAGCAGCTAACTAGTCGATCATTTGGCGAAAAGGATAAAAGAAAAGGAAAATTAACAGAGACGTGACCGATCGCCTAAGCCGCTAACGAGCCGATTAGTGGTGAAGAGGATAAAAGTAAAAAAAAAAGGTGTTATCAACAGAGAGGTAACACAGACAAGAGGACGCTCTCACATTAGCTACACTGCTCCTGGTGACCAACAACACACCTACAAACATAAAGCAAATGTGTTCTTGTGAGTTGTTGTCTGGGAATAAATTAAATCGTTGTGCCCTTCCCCCGAGTACAATTAATTAGCTTCTTTGAGTAAGGCATCTCAGTCCCTTGAGTACAGTGATTTCTTAACCATTTTGGTACAATGGCAGTACAGTGGTTTGTACTGAAGGGGTTAAGTTATCGAACTCAAAGGGGTAAGATATTTCCTTACAGAGTAACTAGAACACACATGAAACAAGATTTTCTTAGTTCGCCGTCCCTCTTCTGAGCTGTGTCTATTGTGTTCAGGATGTGCTCACACCTTGTAAACAGTTACTACTTCCTTACCTTTTTCCGTAAAGAAATCTCGAAAGTTTTACAATAGTAACATTGGCCTAACTTTATTTAAGTCTCAGACCATTGTTAAGAGATAAATCAAGTTAGTACTGTTGTAATATAAAAACACACTATCCACGAAAATATCCAAGGTCGTATATATATATATATATATATATATATATATATATATATATATATATATATATATATATATATATATATATATATATATATATTTATATTTCATGTAGATCCACAATGAAATCCTGTATATTCCTTTTAATTAACATAGGGTGTATACTGTAGCTTGTGGCCGTACTGTTAGCTCCATCACTTACATAAAACAGTACCAGCAGTTTCGAGTTCACATAGCAAAATTTAATGGTCAGAGATATTTACTATTACTGATAGTGTTCAAACACTTAAAATTTTATAATGATTTGTCCGGTCAGGTCTCACCCCATCACACATATAGTTCCTTAAAGGTTCATACACTGTATTTAGCTGGACTTTAATGTCTTCGTTTAGTATTCCTTCGGCGTCGTTCTTTTAAATCTGTTATTAAGTTTTGTTTGCAATTATAGTATCAACACAAGATGCAATTTATTTAAAATACTGATATAAATATTATTTAGTTTTTAATTAATATCATAAATAACAAAACAAATCAATTCTTAAGATATTATAAATGAAAATAATATTTAAAATATCTTAAAAGTCCAACACGTGCACCGACTATGAAAACGCTGCCACAGGTAAACAGAGAGAGACGCTGAGAGGACGTGATCATGGACACCAAACCCAACGTGAGTCAAGATGATATTGGAGAACCCGCTGACCAGGAGGATTTTCCTTATGGGATGGCACCTAAGATGTTGAACATGTTGCAGGTGGTAGATAAGATTGAGAAGGACCTTACTCCCTTGATATCCCGTCCATACTACGAGGTTCTCAATAAGGTAGTTTATTCTATTTGTTAACGTGGTATATCTGTATGTTTTTTAATATATATACTGTAGCCTTTGTTCCTTATTTCACTGTTTTTATGAAAAAGGTTCAGAATTAAATACTATATAAGAAAGCTGTTTTCATCCTAAAGCCCAGGTCATGTTGCACCTTAACTATTTTGTTTTTCTCTAGTATTTGTTAAAGGGAAATTCGTCGCAGATTTAATTACTGCCATGCTTAGAGTTAAAATGTCGACGCATTCGCCAGCCAAGGAATCCAAAGGTTAAGCAGCCTTCCCTCTGAGCTTTCCATATGAACTGTTAATAATAAAATAACACCCTAACTAACCTAACCATCCTAGGATAGGGTAGGTTCATTTGATTTTTTTATGATATATTGTGAGTGGTAAGCAGTTTCTGGGGTAAAGGTGGAGGAGAAGGTTATCACCAGAAAAAAACATGAAGTGGTTATTTGAACCCGCTTTTTGCACTGACAAACCATTCCCCTTGGTGACGAGAATCTGGTGCAAATAGTTAAACCATTATCGGAACCCGAGATTTCAACACTTATCGAATACTAGAAAATTTTTGCATTGACAACACTTGTGTCCAGATAACAATTTCACTATCTCTTAAACAAACCAATAGTTAAGGTTAGGTGGCAGATATCAAAGTAAATACTTTTTTCTTAATATGGCAGGGGTCCAACCCCCGGCTAGGGAGCTAGGTCAGGTCATGTGGGTTAGGGTCATTTCGTACCCAAGATAAATCGTACCCAAAAAAGTCAACTCGTACCTAAGACAACTTGTACCCAACTCACGAGATAAGTCGTACCCAAGATCACTTACACCCATTTCAAGAGATAATCCATATCTATTAGTATACAGTATATACCATGCATTTTAGCTTTATCTATGATTACAAAAAAATATTATGCAAATCTTGTAGGAAAGTGCAGTGAAATAGGGAATTGTAATGCAGGTTTTAAAATGGTTGCATCTCATTACATAAGTATGTTATTCCTTACTACAAGCACATATTTCACACTGATTTTGAATAACTTTATTGCTTTTTACAGATAGGCGAATAGATTCGGCAGTTTCAATTTATAAACTGGACGATGTAAATGTTTAAAATGGTCATACATCCCCCTGTAAGTCAACAAAATATTGACATGCATAAAAACAATTTGATTTTACAGCTCCAGCATTTTGTAAACAAATCAGTTAGTATACATACAATATATAATTCGGGGCTCCTCTCTGGTACTTCTTCCGGGATAACGAACTTGTTCTACAGAGTGGCCGACATCGTGACATCGTCAGGAATTTCTTCTTCTGATATGTCAATGTCAAGAATGAAATACAATAGTAATAAGGATATAAAAGAACGAAGAGTGAGAATATTGGCCAACGCATATACACTTAGATATGTTATTGTATGTTAATGATACTCTGGATAGATTTGTTTAAACAGTCACGACCACACGGAAACAAGACCAGTATGAGTAACGTAAAGACTTGATTATGTGTCACCCAATATTCACGCTCTTCCTATTTAGAGAGAGAGAGAAAGCAGACTTATTTACTCTTAATTTGTTAAAGTTAAGGTCAAATGGACACTTTTTTAAAAAACACATTGCTATTCTTGCAGTACAGTACAGTATATTAAAATCACATTTCCATTGTGGATCTATATATATATATAGATACATACAGTACAGGTACTGTATATATGTATTGGTACAAACTGTCTCGTAAATTGGGTATGAGTTATCTGGATTTTATTATTATTATTATTATTATTATTATTATTATTATAGTGATTTCTTATGTGTTTTGCTGTGATTTTAATGAATATGATATATATTTTTTGGGCTAATACTTATTTATAATGAGATATGACCCCTTAAGCTCTTTCTATTTATTGTGGTGCATGAGGCACTATCATGGGACTGTAGGATTGGTGTGCCCTTGAAGTTGTTTTATGTAGATGACTTAGTCCTGATACAGTAGATAGTATTAAAGAGGCAGTGGATGGATGGAAGGGCTTCGAAGTGAGGTACCCGAGGTGTAAAGTAGAAAATAGCTATGTACTGTCTGTAAGAAAGTGTTGGCAGCAATTCTATACTGTGCAGTGAGTGTGGAAGGTGGGTATGTTAGAGATGCAGTGGATTAAATGGAAGACTTCAGAATTTTGCTGACTAAAGTGTCTTGTATGTGTTTGTGGCAAGACTGAAGAAACTCAACATTGAGGATTTATCATTGGACTGTGTCGATGTGTTCTGCTACCTGGATGGCATGATCAGTGCTAGCTCGGTTACAAGTGTCGGAAATGGCTGGAGGAAGTTTGGAAGTTACTGCCTTTATTGATAGCAAGAGGGCCTTTTCTTTGGGTAAAAGGAATGATCAATGTGTAACTGGCATGAAAAGTGTGATGTCTTATGACAGTGAAACATGGTCAGTGAATGACAATCTCAGGCTGGAGTGAGTTGAAATGAGAATGGTGAGGTGGGTGTGTAATGTAACTCTGAAAGATAGAAAATATTGCTCAGAGTTAAGAGGCTGCTGGGTATTTAGAATTGCTAATTTTTATTTTCTTAGATATACAAAACACTTGAAGGGGAAGTTATAGCTCAAAAACTTTCTTATATTACAGCTGCCACCACTTGACAGAGCCAAGATAGGCATGATGGAGATTTACACCATTAATTCTTTGTTTTGGGGTAAGTAATACACTACAGTCTCTCCTCGACTAATGACATATTCGACTTACGACAACCTGGACATATGACGGCCATGGTCGTATAAAATATTTTTCACATTACGTATTTTCGAGTCCCGACGTTAGTGATCGTGCTGTGCACTTACAAAATTTTCGTTTGTAATTCCCTTTAAAATGGCTGGCAAGCGTAAAAGTGAGAGTTCTTGTGGTGCTGAGAAGAAAAAGAGACAGCTATTTTAGAATTTATATGTATTATTTTCGCATTTTCGACTAAAGACCTGGTCGTCGGGGCGGAACCCCGTCGTAAGTCGAGGAGAGACTGTACTGTATACCAATACATTAAAAAATTAGTGTGATATTACTTAGGAACATTTAAGAACCATTTGTATTGTGATTACCGTCAGTCCTTGACTTACGATGGTGTTAGGGACTGATGACAGGTTGTAAGTCTAATTGGTCATAAGTTGAAAATGCGAAAATAATACATAGAAAATCTAAAATGGGTGTCTCTTTTTCTTCTCAGCACCACGAGAACTCTCACTTTTACGCTTGCCAGTCATTTTAAAGGGAATTACAAACGAAAATTTTGTCAGTACACAGCACGATCACTAACGTCGGGACTCAAAAATACTTAATTTGAAAAATATTTTATACGACTGCGGCGGTCGTAAGTAGAGTAGGTCGTAAGTCGAGGAGTACCTGTATAGTACTGTAGTTTTTATTTAAAAGACTAAGAAGTATGCCATGTTAGAGGATATCCAGCCTGTTAACTTGTTTTAAGTCATTGATCCTAATTATGTATTAAAGAGATTAAGCCAAAAAGAAAAAGAATACTGTAGTGTTTTATTTTTTTTATTGCCACTTCTAAATATAAAACAGATTAAAAACAGCAGTAATACAGGATACGTCCCTAAGTCGGAAATACAGTATATGGGGCTCAAGGCTGTCCGGCTCATGTGTGATCTTCCCCCGGGTACTTCCAGGAGCAATATTAAGTTTAACAGTATTGTGTACTGTACTGTGTTAATAAAAACTCTGTAGATATTTGTATTTTTTTAATAAAATTATATATACCCTGCATAGAAAGTATTGTAAGTATAAATTTTAGAGACCAAATGAGTTTGAGTATACAGTACGATGTGTAATGCTATGTAAAGCACAGTTACTTTAGTCTAAAAATGTTTTCAGTTTTAATTAAAGCTTCAATGTTATCCTGTGGTATGGTATTGTACAGTGAGCTACAGTTGTAGTTAACTTTAAGGAAAATTATATTTCCACACTTATTTTGAATGTCAGATTTTCATATTTAATATTGTGATTAATAAAATAAAATGTTTGTTATTTTACCCGTACTTGTACCCGAGAATCTATTTCTGTTTTGCCATGATATATTTTATTTGGTAATATTACAGTGCTAATGAGAACCAGTGGAGAAGACATTGATTTAACACTACGAGAAGATTCCAAGGTAGAGATGAATAGACTGAAGGAAACTCAAGCTCGTATAGGAGAAGTAGAAGCCAGAGCCCATAGACAACGATTAGACACAGAAGTTGCCTCCAGGTTCATCAGACACGGGCTGGGTATTAGAAACGCACAAGTGGAAGAAGGTGCAGTACAAGGAATTAAGATTATTTGTGTTGATATACTGTACTGTTTTGAAGCTCAAATTTTCAGGCAAAAGGTGGGAGGTTCAACCTAAATGAGAACTATTTAAGTGGAGGGCAACTTATCTTGAAACATTAGCAACCACTACCAATAACCTACACCATGCTCTCAGTAGGCCAAGCTTTTCATTGTAAGTTATCCTTTCATATCCAAGATTATATTGTACCAATTACTGTACATGTAATTTACTACATGTTAAGCATTGGTAGCTGAAGCTCTTAAGCCTAGAGGCAGGCTGAGGTGCTTTGGGCATATGGAAAGAATGGATGAGACTAGTTGGGCCTAAATTAGGAGGGTGGGAGAGTCAAGAGAAGGTCAAGAATGACATGGGTAGAGGTAAGAAATGACATTAGAACTAAGAGACTGCAAGAGACGTTGCTCCATGGAGACCTTCCATCAGGTAATTGTGGCTAACCCACGCAAGCATGGAAAATTATTGTAAAACATTGATGAAATGATGAGATTGAGGGCAAAGCAGATTTAAAGTGGAATGTGGGGATATTCTGCTTTAAGTCTGCAAAAAGAAAAAAAATTCTTACACTTTAATGAGTATGAACAGAACAGTATTACATTTTGTTATAAATAATGGAGATAGCCCATTATTCAAGGCAGTCTCTGCAAGGGAAGTTGTGAGTGTGTTACTTAACTCTTCTTTTTGAGCAGATAATGTGTTATTCAAGTTGAGTTTGTTTGTAATATTACAGTACAAGGCTATATAAAGTGTTTAGATACCCAGGTAGTTGTAGGGCTTGGCATAACAGCAGGAAGTCTACCTTGCAACTGCATTTTGTTTCCAGGTTATGACATGTTGTGCCAGTGATGAAGAGTACAAATTAATGATTATTATTTAATACTAAACCAAAAAATTTTGTCAACAGAGGTTACGCCATCATCTTTTATGGCTGAAAGGAGAAAAAGAATAGAACAGCAAGAAACCCAGGAATCCAGCAACTCCAGTGAGAGTGAAGGAGAAGACAGTGGTTGTGCAAACAGAACTTGGTATGGAAAAGGATGGTAATAATGGTGTAGGTATTAATTTTTATACTGTTTAAATTTTTACAATGTCATTGAAACAATACAGTAGTCATATGCATGGATGTACGTTCTCAATAAAAACTACTCCAACACCTGGGCACGATGGGTGTGAGAATGAGCAGAATGGGGCTTGTCATCTGGGACTAGTTTCAGATTCTTTGTTCATTTTTCAGATTGCAGAGTGCTTATAGCGCTCAAGAAGTTTTGGGTGAATACAAGGCATAAGGACATTTTAATTTTACAAATGTTTTATACAATATCACATTTATGGAAACAAATTCATTGTAGTTATATTAATGACTTATACATGTCTGAAAAACAAATACTGTATCATATAAAACAGTGCCCTAATGATAAACATAATAGCATCCAAAATATAAGTATAATTTTTGTTGAGATCAAGAAACATTGTAGGTACAGTACTCATAATCAAGACCGAAGTGTCACTCATGAACTGCCGCTTATTACAAGGCATTGTCATGTACAGCCATTTTTGAAGGAGAGAAATACAGTGAAGTACACATGTTATATACTCTTCAGCCAAATATAGATTAAATTGACACTATTATAGGCAGATGTAAAGTGTTGTCTTAATAGCTTTCTTTAGAGAACTGTTGCTGTACCTGATGGTCTGTTTCATAAATAGCTGATTGTAAGGAACCTCAAATTATCGAAAATGTATTGCTTCAATTCCTTGAAGATGAATTGAAATTATATATGTTTGTCTCAGTTATTAAGGATACTTGACTAATTAAACCATAATACACAGTAGATTTTTTGTTTTTATTACTACCATTTGATGGAAATTAGTTAATATACTGTAAGGTTGAATTTGCTCGGCTTCATTTAATACAGTAACGGAATTCCTTGTAGCAGAAGTTCGATTCAGTAGAACGAATTTGAGCCGGTATTTGCCTCTTCATTTAGCTAGATGAAGGGAGTTCTTTTTGTTGATTATATAGATTACTTATGATCTCCTGTCATAAGGACTCCAACCACTGTATCCATTATAAATAAAGACTACTGTACATAGAACTTTCTGTAAAAAATGCTGCTGTTAACAGAAGACAGACAAAAGCTCTTCTCCTGTAGCCCCCATAAGCATTTAATTCCTGGGTAACTGGGAATGGTTGGACCTATGAGTGTTTGTGCTGGGTGGTAAGTGGCAGTTAGGGAGGGAGGTGAGAGTGGAAAGAGAAGGGATGGTATATGATGTGGTGTAGTGAAGATTGTATTGTCATGGTGTAGTTTGTGTGGTGGTGGTGTAGGTGATGTGATGAAATGGTGTAGGTTTTGTTGTGATGTGGAGGTGGTTGGTTGTGTTGTGGACAAAAGTAGAGCTGCCATGGGTTGCCACCAGACGAAGAAAGACCTCCGGTGTTGCTGCCGCTCTTGTAACTATTGTCCCTTATTACTCGAAATAAAAAAGTCACTGATAATGGAAATTGAAACAAACAGCAAGTAGGTAATCTATAGTGGTATGAGAGAACCACTGAGATGCCTGGCAGGTAATAATGACAGTTATGATCCAGTAATACATAATAACACTACATAACATAAGTCAACAAACAAATCATTTTAAGTCAAGTATACAACAATTCTTCATTAATATAACTTAAGAGTACAGTATAATGTATTCATGGGAAGAATGGTGTAGGTATAAGAATGGTCTACATAACATGATGCCACCAATGTTCACTCGGACACTCCACATACTGTAGTAACTGGTCAAACCTGAAGTATATGTACGTCACTTGTTGCTATAGTTGTCAATTCATGTTTTACAACTTTCAGTTCAGAATGCAAAATGCCATTTGCAGTATATGTCACCTTCGAATGAAAAACTGTCCATTCGGGCCGAAAAATGCTGAATTATAAATCATTAAGTAACAGGAAACACAAATCACCTGAATGCCTGGTCCGCTGACAAGTGAGGAAATGATAAATAAATGAAATAAATACAATGACTATCGTATTATTCGTGTGGAAATAATAATAAGATATATTCAGTAAACTTGACATACAGGTTTACAATTGGAGAAGCAGTTCAGCATGAATATATACAATGTAGGCATACAGTGCTTGTAGGCCTTGGGAGTATACAGCTTCATGTGTGCAGAGACAGTGCAGGTAAACAACAATGGTAAACAGTAAGGCAACTTGAACCAAAGACAGCCAACAAAGCTGCTCGGGTGCTTATTTCTAGGAGGGTCCTTAGTACAGTAGCATACTTAAAGACCTTAGGTGCTGAAGCACGTAAGTAATAATAATTATTAAACAGAAGTACTGGTACCTGTAGAGTAAAATGTTAGCATACAAAGGATCACCTGAAGATTAGACACCCTTGCTTATTTTACTTTATTAAACACCCATGTTACCTGGGTTTAGGTTTGGGTATGTCAGATCAGGATTGGTTTGGTGGTTATGTTGTGGTAGGTTTATGTTGCGTTAGGTTATAATTTATTCAGGTTAGGTAATACTGTACTGTATAGGGATGGGACTATAACAGGACATAAGTATGCAAAACTGTACAGATCACCACTGTCCAAATTGTTTATTTTTTATATATACAGGTACATGTTTTTTTTTAATATATGTAGCATGTAACTTCAGCAATGAATGTTTTTCTTTCTGGGTCTCAGGGCGACCTTAACACTATCTTCTCTAAATATGACATCTACCCTAAACCAACTGTCTTAAAAAAAAAGATAATAATGAAAATAGATGCCACAGTGTTTAATACAATTTAACCACATACAATTCTTATACAGTACGGTACTGTAATCAAAACTTAGATATGACATTTACCTCGGGTGTGTTATACTGTGACAAAACAGATCTGAAGCTTAAGTCAGCCTTTTTTTTTTTACGGCAGCTGACATAAATTTTCAAGAAAAATAATATTTAAATTTTGGTATTTTTTTTATTACCGCCGATCATCACTCAGGTTTCCGGATGTTTTAAAAGGCGAAAGCTAATACGAATTCACATTTTTGGCATGTGTGAAGTACTGTATAAGAATCACAAATATCTAAAAATTATCTTGTGTTTCTTGTGACCCTTGTAGCTCTGCGTATGTTCAAGTAGTATGTTACTAATGTCCAGTTTAACATTCAAGACCGCACCCACGTTTTAGCTTGGACTGAATGTGAAGTTAAGGGGAAAACAGTTAAAAACACTGCCATTAAAGTATCGTCAGGTTACATGCTAATAGCAGTTCGTCATTGTCACAGTTGGAAGAGTTTCTGGGCGACCACGTGGTAATGGCTCAGAGGAAGACAAACTGAAGTAAGAAGATGATGTACTTGGGACAAAATTTATACCCTCTGATGATCACCAACATACGGTTAGCTAGCTGAGACATTGGCTAGAGTGTAGAGAACTACCAGTAAAATGAAACATAACAACCTGTAAAGAGGTAAGTCTTCTGGTTCTGTCGTTCTCTTTCCCATTCATGTCACATTTTGTATCTTCCATATATTTATGTTGATAATATTTATCCTTTAGTTCAATCATAATAAGTCTTACTTTAAGGTTCAACAGTACCGTTAACTGAGTTTCTGTGCTTTTATTTTCTGTGTTCCTTCTTTTCTTCTGTAGTCTTTGATAAGTCCATCTAATTTCTTTTATTCAGTTCTTGCTTTAGAGTAAGTAGTATGTGCACTTCCTATATTTTTTTATTTATTTGATATTAATACCGTATTTATTACAAGTATTCTCTACTTCGATCTAGCACTCCTCAAATGGCTTTATCATTTGATCATCTATTGTATATCTAATTATCTCTTGTTCGATGAAGTTATTATATTATATAATTGCATGATCATCTTGTATTCAATTGTATCTTTTATTGGCCATATCGAAGTTTGTCCTGTTCCGACTAAGGGTTATAGAGGAAGGATATTAAACTGAAACTTTTTTGGTACTACAGTAGATGGGTAACTTAAGAAAAAATATGTAATCTGCGCGACATCGTAGAAAATGGGTATAAATAGTGAGTAACTGATCTATATTATTGTTTTTAATTGTGTGTTGACTGCGATATCAAAGAATAACAGTGAACAACAAATAACATAAAACAATAGAAAATATACATATATTTTTCATATACTGTATATACTTTCTTCAGAGTATATACGTATAGTGCATTTATTTATGTACAGAAAGTTCCCTCATAATTTTTTTTTATCGTTGTTGGACTAGTGTATTACTTACCTTGTTCATCGTTAAAGCTCATTAATAACATAACAATAATATGCTTTATCTTATATTTAAAAAATTCAATTGCATTTTTATTGTGCATTTTCTTTGATTCTCATTAGTCCCTTGGGATTAGAGGAAAATATGTGATGTTCGTATTTTTTATAATATAGGCCTACTGTATTTACATACCAGATCATATGAAGATTCACCCCCCCAGAGTAGCCAACTGAAAAATCTCCTCTCTGTTGTAACTGATAAATTGCTTCCCCTCACTAGTTTTATTACTTCAATTCAATTAATGAATCTACAGCATTATGTAATTCAGGACACGAAACTACAACATAAGTACAAAAACTTTATTAAAGAGAAAATGAAACCAAATCACTGTGTAGGTATAGTTGCAATATAGAATTGGTTAGGTTAGGTTAGCCCTTAACCTAACCTAATCTAATTTCACTATGTAAAGGTAATAATCCCTATCTCACCGTGTGACCTGGTTACGTTAGGTTAGATCAGTATCTATGTACTGAGATTATCGACATTACCCTATAATTTATGGTTTTTTTCTTTCGGAAAACAACGGAGTTTCAGATGGTTATAATTGATCCTATTCTTCCCACACACAACACAGCTCCATCTGCAATTAATAAAGTTGATTTCACGTCTAAATAATTAAATTTGTCGATTTTATTTTAACTTTTTTCTCTTTTGATCCCGATATTCAACTTCGAAAGTAATATCCGTAAAACATAAAATAAAGAATATCTGGCCTTATCGTCATTTGTTTAAATTTCTCATAATTAACAGACAGATATATATTGTAATGAAAACTTAAAGGCTAACCTCTTGGGGCCCTATAAAATCCTTGAACGATCTACACTGAGGTACTGTCAACCTTAGACGTGCTACGAATAATTTCTAACATAACTTCCACACTGTATAGTAAGGTACTGAAAGACACCATCAGCCGTATCTTTCAGCTGTCTTTTTTTATATATTACGGTCAAACTATTTTTTGCTCACGCCACCAAAGTGAGTTGTACCACTTGTCATCATACATTACCCACCACTTGCTCATTATCTCGAATTCTGTCTCCTACACCTTATTTACAGCGGCCACAGAACTATACCATTTATTTCTCCGTTTTTTTTAGTTTTTTTTTATTCCCTTTTTCGTTGGTGATTTATTAACACCATTTTTTTTCATGCTGGGGTCAAAGCTTTGTCCTCAGCATCATGACACACTATAAGCTACCACTAATTGCTAATATAGGTTCCATATAAATAATATACACTGCTATTAGAGTATTGACGTCATTAGGAATGGCTGGACATTAGACACAAGACGTTGTGGTTGATTATTCAGTATCATTAACGGCTTAAACTCAACCAGATAATAATTAAAGGCAGCCGTACATGTCAATACACTTTCTAATGTATCTCACAATTCACTTATTCTGTGGGTCTTGGTTTATACTTTATCTTCATTGATGGCTTCCCTGAGAGTAGGATTATTGGAAAAAAATATATATTTTAAAAGTTTTTCTATCACAACAATATCACTAACA